AGTTTTATGTTAGTTCATCCTAGCAAAACAGGAAATCATGCAAGAATATTGTTTAACAAAGAAGCAGCTACATGTGCACTTTCAGGTCAGTAGTAAGCAATGTAAAAGTTACATTCCATGGATTAGATGAAAAACTTACCTTGGACATTCTTTAACATTTTCAAACACATTTTTTTAAGATTAAATATCAAAATTTATATTTTTCAAAGGCGAAAAATTGCCGAAAGGGCCTTTTCTTTGGATTTGTATGCCGACTGCTCCTCACTATCAGCATAATGAGCTCTCCCTTTACAGAAACCCACATACTGGTTTTGTTCTGGTGAATGTATTCATTTTTCAAATTGTATTTTGCAAGTTTGCAAGTGTTAAATTAAATCCCTGAGTACATAATTCAGCAATTAACAATATATTAAAGCATTTGATTAAATTAACAATTCATCTATTACAGACTCCTTTCAGTTACCTTTATTCTGACCAGGCTTTAACATTTAATTTTCATATTGATAATTCTCAATTTTGAAAATCAGTGTTTATCCCATAGTGCATATAGAGAAAATAACCAAGGAAGCAACAAAGCAATAAATGGACCTATATATTTTATACTGGATCTAAAATGAAAAAAAAAAATTAGTGCTAAGACATATTATCATTCATTATCAAATATTTCCAGGAAGGTGTTTGCTGTTCAAGATTCACATAACCTATGATAAAATAGAGAAGAAATAATAAGACTATGTAACCTACAAGCATTTCGTTCATTTCACAACATTTCAGGGCTCATCCGGAAGGGCGATTCAGGCGAAAACTTCGCCGTGTATATTCCAATTTCGCTCTCCCGATTGATCAAAGAGAAGTCAACATCGCCGATAAAATCTTAATTCCCAAATAGTAATTACTTAGCGATGTAAAGAGCAGAGATTGTATCCGCCCATATGACGACCGCTAATTATCATTATCCAATCAGAGCGTCACTTTATACTACCCTTCTACCTGTAAGCGAAGCGATAGACCGCCTACTCTAAACAGTAAATAATAAGAGCATCGGCCCGAAACGGTACAATTGTGTGATAGTTTTGCGAGTTTAATACGGGATTTGGCGATAATTATACATTGTTTTTTCCCCGATTATCTAAACACGTGCAATCTTCCCTAATTGATATACACGATGCACTTCGATGGTGGGTTTTTAACCCGAGTAAAGGCGATGTGCAATGGATTTTTCACAGCTATCACAAAACTGTTAGTCAATTAAAAATAATCAATTTCATTAATGATCAGCGACCGGATTAAAAACTTAATCATAGTTTTGAATGATTTCATGATTTCAGTCTGTTAACATCAATTTTTACTGTAAAATTGTTATGTCGCTCACGTCATGGCTTCAAGGCGAAATGCCGAAACCGAGCAGTAAGAAAGTTACTTATTCTGATAGTTACACCTACGTGAAAATTTAAGAAAGCCAATTCGCAAAAATCTTGCGATTGGTATGTTGTAGACAGTGGGGTGTTTGGCATTGTTCTCTTTGTAGAAATGCCTAATTTGACACAGTTTACGCACGTGGCTAAACTACATATTGGTCTATATCATGTAACGTATATAACAACAAACTTTGTCAGGAAAGAAGTGTTCTTATTGTTTCAATAATATATATTTGTTTTAATGTCGTAAATATGACGCTCAGATTAAGATTTATCAATAGTAAATTTTAAAAAAGCATTATTTATAAAGATATTACCGAATTTAACATTTCATGAAAATAAAGGGAGGTAATTAGACATTAATTTTCTACAATTTCTCAGTCAAATTTTTCAATAAGAAATGAATGTATGTAATTTTAGTGATCAAATATGATGTGCACAAATGTTTGCAGTACATATTTTACATATTCTTTGATGTTTGAAAATTGTTTTATAAGCATAATTATTTGCATATAAATGTGACATTACAACCTTCAGGACTTTGAAAGATATTTCTGTTACCAGAACAGAAGAGATATCATTAATCAATATCCAAAGTGACTTCATCTTCTATTAAAAGTGAGGAAAGAAAAATATGTAAAATTGGTTTTATCATATTTTTTCTTACACATTATTATCAACAAATGTACATGAATATATATAAACAAATATTTAGAGAAAGCTTATAAATAGCTGATCAATAGATATCAAAAAATAATTTTTATATTCATATTTGCAGCTCAAAAACATTTAGATGCCATTGCCAGATCTACTATTAATTAATCTGCTTTTAATTAATACTACTATTAATTAATCTACTTTTAATTAATAAACTGGAGAAATATTATAAGTGATGTTAATTGTGTTTAAATTATAATTAAAGGATGTATAGCCTACATGTTAATGCATACACATTGGGTTGTTTCCCATCTCCCTAATTTTCGCGAGGAAGTCACTTCTCCCTAAAATTTCCCCCCAGGATGAGCCCTGCATTTGTAATTTTGATGTTTACCTGTTTACTGTTTCAACTACTTTATGTATACCAGTTACTTAACTTTTAAATACATGTATTGTTTTGTTTCAACATAGTATTTGGTCAATGTAAAACTTAAAATATTTCTTTTTAAATAGAACATGAACACTCCCAAAAGTGTAATTTGTATGCTCTTCTGAATCAGGGTCAGCTTAGCCCTAAAATGTACTCGGCCCCCCGAGTCAGCTTGGCCCTTTTCCAACTCGGCACGGGTCAACTTGGCCAACTTTTCAATTTATATATATTAATATATTGGTTTGTTTTATCACTCAATATTGTCAGAATAATTAATACGGGGAAGTCAAAGACCGGGCCCGCAAAGCGGGTCCGGGCTTTGGCCTGCCCGGCTATAGACTACACGTGTATATTTAAAAGAAAATCACATAAAAAACAATTAAAAATATATAAAATTCTATACCTATCAAAGAAATTTTCAGTGTCAGTTCTAGTCGGGCGCCGCCATTTACAATGTAACTCAATGATAAATGGCGGGGTATTCCGATAACGGAACAAATCTCCACTTTTCGGATAAATGTTAATCGCCGAGTGTTCCGAATGAAAACGGAAGCGGTACATGTAATACCGAATGACACCTTTAAAACGGAAAGAATGAAAGGAATTTTTAACGACTTCACCGTCCATAGGCTTTGCCTAATTTCATATTATCTTTTGTCAGATTTGCATGATAATGTAGTATTTGTTTGCGATTTCTTGTGCGCACGAACATCGCATCCGAAATAAGAAGGGTAACATATTTTTGTATCCCATCGAACCTGGTCAATTTATTTATTTTTGAATAGACGTGATACACACTTATATACAGAATTCAGACAACTACAGAATCATGTAAACTAAACATTAATTAGCGAAGAACCATTTTTTTTAGTTTTCTAGCTAGTGTTCCCGCTCCCCTACGACGCGTTGCGGTATACAAGATACGCACTTGATTGAAAAGCTATCTAATCAAACCACTTTATTGTTCTTTTTCTCTTAAAAAATATATAATACGACAGTATATCATGGTAATTAATTAAATCTTTGTGTGCTAGAATTTATAAAGCTTACTGATATTTTCGCTTCAAATGATTAAAATTGATTATTTTAAATAATGGTTTGCTAGTAAAATTGCCTTTTTGACACCAACTTTGTTGTCATTTTTCATTTTAATGATAATACGGGGAAGTAAAAGACCGGGCCCGCGAAGCGGGTCCGGGCTTTGGCTTGCCCGGCTATAGACTACACGTGTATATTTAAAAGGAAAATCAAATAAAAAACATTTAAAAAATATATAGAATTCTATACCTATCAATGAAATTTTCAGTGTCAGTTCTAGTCGGGCGCCGCCATTTACAATGTAACTCAATGATAAAAGGCGGGGTATAACGGTAGGCGATAACGGAACAAATCTCAACTTTTCGGATAAATAATAAACGTCGAGTGTTCCGAGTGAAAACGGAAGCGGTGCATGTAATACCGAATGACAATTTTAAAACGGAAAGAATGAAAGGAATTTTTAACGACTTCCCCGTTCATAGGCTTTGCCTAATTTCATATTATATTCTTATTCACAAACGTATAGATGTTATCTTAAAATTATTAACATACACTATTGTTACCAATCAACCACGTGTATGTTCAGGGAAGGGTACTGATTAATCAGGTGATAATTATGTTTGACGCAATCATTCAAATTTGATAAATGACCACCTGCAACTGATTAGAAGCTTATGATAATAAATAAACACGTTTTTTATTTCATATTTTATTAAAGATTACTTAACAAACAAAAAGAATCAAAGGAAACACATTTGTACTACATCGATTTTTAACGAATCTGCAAGAAAAAACATAACGAATTTCTTCTAAATATAATATACTTTAATTTTGCAGAAGTACAATGTACAATTACATAATTATAAACCAGATATTTCTTATTTTGTCTGACATTGATAACATTTTTTGGCCTTGACAACATGCAAGTAATCGAAAAAAAGTTAATATGTTTAATGTTTTTGTTTTAAAGAGTGCAGAGTTGACCGTGCCGAGTTGACCTGGCCCCGAAATTTCTCCCAACTTTCACTAGAGGGAGAAGTCTATTCTCTCTCAAATACAGAGCTAACGTGATCCGTGATTCGCAATATGCTACCTCATACAAATCCAAGCAATTTTGCATTATCACAATTACGGAAAATTAGGGAAACAACCAAAGTAAATTGATTCATGAAAACTATGGTAGATTCTATAACAATCTGAAATATATTAAAAGATTCACACTAATAGGTTACATGGCTTATTAAGGACAAATGACAGAATATATTTATACTATAGTACGAGTCTGCTTAAGGACGAACGTTTAAAGATGGGAGGTGTTCCTTCACCAATTAACTTATTTCTACTTTGTTCCCCTTTATCTAAAAGAGATTAAGGTGTAATACGTGAAAGCATATTTTTATCTTTGTAAAAATCACAAGCTAAACGTAGATGTGTGAAAAGATCCCCAATTAACTTACAATAATGTAGGTTGACAGCCAACAGGAACTGCATCCAGAATCCCACGATGACGTCACGAATAAATATTATTATTTTTATTTTTTTGCATATGGACACTGTTTGATTTACAAACACAATAAATGTATATAATTGAGGATTTATTAGGGATAAAAACCATTTAAATAACAACTACAAATAAAAATGTTAAAAAAATAATACTCTAACTATCGACTGGTTTTACTTTATTCATCCTGAAAATGTATGAAACTAAGAATGTCAGTGGTACCAGTAACACCTGGTTAACTACCACTAAATATTTTCCTTCTGTAAAATATGGTAAACAAGATCAACAAGGTAAGGCGGCGTTCAATAAACTAAATTACAATGTCTCTAGTTTAACGCAACGCTTATAGTTTTCACAAGGTATCTTTCTAAAATTATGCTGTAACTTTCGTCACATCACATGATTTTACTGAAGTCAACCATAACAGATGATCAGTTCTTTGCATGGAATAGGTACATGTATAATCTATCTGTCTGCGAGGAAAGTGATATGCAAGTCATTGTAGTCATTTGACAAAATTCATAAAATTTAACAAAAATAAAAAGGCAACTTTCACACGACGCAGCCCCCGACACACCCAATCCCCCAAAGCAGGGCATCCAGAAGGCACAAAAGCAAAACCGGGAGTGGACATAAGGGCCCAAAAGGAGGCGAGGGACATGTAATGTGTGGAATGATAAAAACTAAAACGGGCCAATATGGGGGTGAAAAATACTTACCGTTAACAACAATTTAATAAGGTAGACATCACAAAACATGTAAACATTCAAAACAAGTATCAATACAGACATATGAAGTATGTGAAGGAACACAGGGAGGTATGTATACTGCCTTGGAACGGTCAGTGATAGTTACATCACTGGGGAGCTTAAACCGGTTTAAGGCGCGCCAAACCTCACTCATAGCCCCAATATATTCCTATATGACACGAAAGTGTAAATAAAATTAATCCCTGCCAAGTGAAATTCTAACAATGGTCATGGTTACATAAGACGAAATTAATAAAGCACATCAATGGTTGTGTAAATATGTACAAACAAAAAGGTACAGCCTAATGACCATTACCAAAGTACTCGATGACTTAAAAAAAATTGCTACTAAAAAAATAAAAGTTAAATAAACTTCAATAAAACTTTTAAAATATTACAGGGTAATGGACAATAGGAGACAAAATTTAATTGACGTCATATAAAACAAATCCGAGCTATTTTGTAAATCGGTACCAATATCGCTTAAAATAACCATGTCGTCTGCAAATAAAAAAAGTATCTATTGATAAGCTGCTTTTGTGTTTTTCTTGCAAAATATTTCAAGGTCATCAATAAATAAGGAGAACATCAACCAAAGGGGACATTACATTTGTACTTCTCATTGTTTAAAACATACAGCTCATTCGAAGAATTCTGAATATAAATTATAACTTTTAATGCAAACTTTAATCTGTGAATACAGTATATCCCTAACTATTCAAATGACTTTCTATTAATGCAATTTATATAATTTAAGCCAAAGGACGTTAAGATTAAATAGAGAAAAATAGAATCCATAACTAAAGAACGCCGACAACGGCAAAATTGAAAATGTTGCTGGTTCAAATTGCTTGAGCCTAGTGGTATTTGCAAGCTATCGTCCACGTCCCTGGCCATGCAAAATTTCAACATTTAAACAAGAAAATGCTGAAATTCTGAATTTAGACACAGCAGCAAACGCAATCAAATTCTCTTTTCACATCGACCATACACCACTACAAAAGATTATTTTAATTTAAAACCTCATGAACAATAGCATTTCAAACAAATACGGCATCAATTTTTGATCGACCTTTGCATAAACCGAATCCTGCATAACATTTTAAGTTTCTGACCAATCACTTAACCACTTATACAATAAGTCTGTGAAAAATGTTGATGTAATGCCTCTGTTATGTACATGGCATGGTACTTTCATTCCTAAAATAAGCGCAATAACTTTGCACGACCAGTCAACGGGAAAATGTCCATAAGAAAGAATAGCATTAAAAATATCAACCAAATTAAATAAATTCAACCTCAGCAGAACTAACTGGATCACCAAACTACAATTATTACATTATAGTTATTAAGTAAAGGTGCATTAACTTTGTTAACACGTTATGATAAATGTCTACATAAAAACCTGTATTACTTACATGTAGAAATAACAAAAAAAGGCAGGTTTTGCCGATATTGTTTTGACTACTCATGAGCCCTTCGATTTTAAGTTCAATTCAATTCAATCCAAATAGTTTATTTTTGTCTCATCACATGTATAACACATATATCACAATCAAAATGAATAGAACTGGTAAAAGTACATATGCCATTCAATATAGAATTATTTGAGACGCGTATCTATAGGTAGATATAATAAAAAGATCATATTTACATACTTATATGGTTAATATATACAATACACACTTACAGTGATTTTTTTATATTAAGACAGTATATTTAAGTGAATGTGATAATTAATTTGCTAAAGACTGGATTGGTGGTTGCATAATCTGTAAAGGCTGGGAAGACAATATAATTGATAGATCTTTACGCTAACCTTAAATTATTTAAATAACAATACTGTTGAATTAACCACAAACATTGACATGTGCATGCTCTTTTGTTAACAAATAAGTTGTGGTGAAATTTTTTTCATTGTAAACCACTTATCTGATAATTAGAATTATACCGGTAAGGGATATATGCATTGTGGTGTTTCAATATAAAAGTTAATTAATGATAAATTAAAAAAGCCAAAAAAAAAGCAATTCTTGTGAGATCTTAGGCATATTTTCATGTCTTTTTGGTATTTTACATGCTTTGACTTAGATAACTCGTTGTCAATGAAATGCTTTTAAGCTTTTAATAAAGCGTCTTGACCCTGATGATTTGTAAAAAATAAAACGAGCTTGATAAATAAACATTCATATCTAATCTTTATTAATTAAGGTAAATGCATATAGATAGCTTGTTCAAACACAAACGTAGATTTCTTTTTTATGAAACGCAATCAATGACAGTTTATGTCTGACATGATTGACTTGAAGTAGATGACATGTCAGGACAGGTCGGTTTGTCATGTTTGTTGTCAAAAATGCAGCAGTGCATGGGGAACTTGTATTGAATTATCATCAATTTAAATACAATGTCTATGTCACCATCAGAGGTTTGACTAATTAGAGTGGTTAGACGAATATTCCGCACAAAATAATAACAAATGTTAGGAAAAAAACTTCAAGTGAAAAGACCAGGGTTTTGAAACCTCCAGGGCCGAAACGTCCAGGAGGTGAAACATCCAGATACATAAGTGACAACATATTTTATAAAAGTAAATTCTTTCTCCCTGACTTGCAGTTATCTGTACATTTTGTAACAAATGTCTTGATGAGAGAAGTCACTTTTCGAATAGCTTGAACCCTTACAATCATAACTAAATATCCCGGTGTAACCTAAATTCGGCGATATAAGAACAAATATCAATGGCATTTTCAATAAACTACAGTAATCTATAATTATACTCGATATAATTTTACTACAACTTTTTGAAAAGTTACTTTAAGTTGATTTCTAAGAATGTTATCGTTCAGCGGTTGCCAAATATAAACAAATATGGCTGATGTAAAATCTTACTAAGATCTGAAAACGTCACCTAAATTCTGCGATTTTGATTGGTTGCAGTAAATTTTCAATTTTGGTGGGATTGTGACGTAGTATGTTGACCTTGATCGGCAGTGAAAATAGTAAGATAACAGACGGCGACTGTCAAATTATTTTAAGCAACAATATCAATCAAATAGAGGAAATTATAGATAAACTTGAAATTGCATCATGTAAAACACACAATTTTTTCCATGTCATATAAAATTCTTAATGTTTACCAGCCGTATCTGCATCCTTGATGCAGAAATCACTTGAGTTTTACAAATAGACCGCGGGACATAAACATGATTGACCTTCACCTCTGAAATCTCGCGTGAATGACGAAAAACAAAACATCGCCGAATTTGGGTCACGGTAGGATGCAACTCAAGATATCTAAACAAGTTAAGTAGGATGGTGACCCCCAAATATTTTTCAACGATTGGTCTGATGACGATTCTTAAATCATTCTCTATGCTGCTTTAAAATTTACCTTCATTGTCTTTGTAATAATTGCATGACTCCAGTCCAGGAAACATCTCTAATTCAGGACATACGGGGAAGTCAAAGGCTTTGGTTTGTCTAGCTATAGACTGCACATGTGTATTTAAAAAGAAATCAAGTAATATAAGATAATAACTTGTTGCTATAAGATAATATAAATAAGTCGTGGCCATGACACACAAAAAAACATGCAAATGTCACCCTAATGCCACTGTATTTGTAGGAGTACTATTTCCTAAAATATTCTTCCTCTGATGTGTTTGACTTTAGGAATAACAGAAAGTCAAACTTTGCCCCAGCTAGGCTGTGGCTCTTATTTCGTAAATGTATCAGTTTGAAAGTGTCCATCTTACATTGAGTGTTAGGAATATGTTTTTCAGAATAACATGATGATTAGAATGTTTGATATTTCTAACAAATTACTTCTTTAATTATGAAACATGAAAATGATTTTTATATTGATTATTTTAGATAATGGAGGGAGCAGAAGATCCAGCTAATACTTGTGGTATCTGCAAAGTAACTTATGCTACTGGAGCTGTAAGTTTTATTGTTACACAATAACATAAGATATCAATTACAATATTTGCCTTCTTTTTAAGATGCAACAGCTGGGTTTTAAGTTACTAACACTGAATAGATCGTACCTCATAACCTGTATGGCAACTTTTAAGCTAAACTTGTCAGGCACAAGTAACCTTTTGAGTAAAAGTGTAAGCTAGCTGATTAGCTTCCTCACATGAAGGAATCCAAAGATTCAAACCCATAGCAGTGAGGACAAGTGATAGTTTAAATCATAAAAGTCTATTATATCATAGAGTTAACCAGCTAGCTAATATTATACTGTCAACTTGTCAGTCTGTGATTGGCATATTTTACAAATGGTTATAAGTGAATTTAACAGAAGGTCAAAATGGTGCTTTGACTTAATCTCAGCTAAATATTTGTGTAACTATTTTTCAGTTAATAAACAAAAGTGTTCATATTTGATTCATCATTGAGATTGATGCTTGAACCACAGGTCAAAGTATCTGTATCCAATAACACAATGATGTAGGTAACAATCAGTGATAGACTAGGAAAATTAGTTAAACTTACTCACTACGAATAACTCATGACAGTGAGTTAAATTAATTTTTTTTTATAATCATATGAAGGCATATTTACATGTGTAAATAAGGTAAAATTAAGCCAAGTTCTCTTTATAAAATGTTTACGGTAATTTATCTTAAAGGCCTAACCAAATCTATTTTGGTGTTACGTGTTCATGTTTATCTTTTGTCCTTTTGTTATGGGTAATTAAACTGGTTTTGCAAGTTAAGTAATAAATATAATAATCAATTTTGTATAAAAGTTATTTTTAAATAATTTGGTTCTAAAATAGCTAACATTTGCTTGGTAATTCACCACTCCTTTCATTGCTTCCAAAGTAATAAAATCACTTTAAAGTCTATTATTGTATCTCAGTAATTTCTTAATAAAAAATACTTAATATTTGTATTCAATTCATTTAAGTTAAATTTCTTCTTACAAAGCCTGGTATGTATATATTTATTATTTGTAAAAGTGTTTTAATCGATTCGTAATTTAAAATATGTTGTATAACATTTTTTATTATGTATTTTGTAAAATGTATTTGTCTTGTAAAATATTTGTTTTGTAATGTAAATTCTTATTGTTGTTTAATTTTATTACAAGTTTATTCTTTATAAAAAAAAAATATATGTATATAAACCTCATTAAGTGTTTGTCAACTAAAACCCCACCACTACACATGTATTAACTTATTTAATATGAAAATTGACATCAATACATCACGTCTAGAAAATGTTACATTTTTTATCAACTAGATAAGTTTACTATTTATTCCCAAAGTTATATTAGTCAAGTATGAATAAAAATTTGAATGATGAGAAAAAAAATCTAGCTTTTTGAAGAAATGATTTCAAATTTGATTTACAGGAGCTGGATGATCACAACTGGTCGTTAATGCATCACATTAAAATAGAGAAAATAAAAAAGTAAGTTACTGTGAAAGATAAGTTTTTCTTGGTGTGTGTGTGTGTTTTTTTTTTCTTAATATATTGATTTCTTTTTATCAGCATATGATTTAAAAGCATCAAGATTATTTAGTATTTTAACTTGAATTTCATTATAACTGATAACCTAATTTAAGCTTATTTAGTGTTTCTAAGCATGAAAGGTAATAGGAATATTAGTTGCTTTAATTATTTTACACTTAAAAATTAAACGTCTGACATTTTCATTTAAAAGGATAGTTGAGAAAATTATCAAGGTAAGTAGTTCAATGTAAAAATATAGTTCTATAATTGTAAAATAGAAATACAAAGTTGGATCCCAATCTATGTATACATGTATTGACTCTTTCAATTCAAATCCTTTTAGAACAGGGACCTCCCCCCCCCCCCTTATATTTTACAGCCGAATGAAGGCTGTTTCCAATAGCCAAAAATAGGTGTATTTTCCACTGAAAATGCAATATTTCCCCCTGAAACGCCCTTTGCAAACTAGTCACCATAATTGTGACTTAACAACAGCTGATTTATATATACTTATTGATAAATTTAAATGAGCTGTCCCTATAGATATCCTCTTCTATTTACCATGCATGTTACATGAATTGCAATTTCAAATTTTATTATATGTGTGGATAAATTCCATTCTCAGTTGCTGGAATTTGATTTCAGTTTCCCCCCCCCCTTTTCAGATTTATTATGCTATAAAGTCCCAGCCCAAGGTTATTTTGAAAATTGAAAATTGATTATTTTTTCTTAAAATCAATTATAATTGCTTACAAATTTAAGATATATATATTTGTTACAATTAAGTTGTCTTATGAAAGATCGTAGGCAAAAGGGTTTCTTATGCCCCCACTACTTAGGGGGTATATATTTGCTCTTGTCTGTCTGTCCTTATGTCGAGCCAACCAACCATAGATTGGAAAAAAAAATGGAATGTGTCCTGTGGACACATTTCTAGTTTATACTTGTGATTTGATATTTTCTTAAATCAGATTCTGTAGAGATGCATAATTTAAAGTTCTTTGTTTTTATATTATAGAGGGGCGCCACACAGTTGTAACCTTTGTATGGAGTCTTGTGGAAATATCATAGAATATGGAAAACATCTTAATGAAGATCGCCATAAACTGGCACTCAGTCGAAGAGCTAAAGAAAGCACTGAACTGTTGGACTCTTTTTCATCGTATGCTATATATACTTAACCCTTAACTAATGAACTTGTACAACTTCAATTTTTGGAAGTTTTCATTATCAGTTTAAGCAACATTATCAATTGATGAAAATTTAAAGTAAGTCAGCAAGTATTATGAAGGTAAAATAACTTTTGTTGTAGTATGATATGCTGCTCATTTGTCTGTATGTTTCTGTTCATTATTAACATTGATATTCGCACAATAACATGATAACGTTTAGTTGGACTGCTGACAACATACTTAGTAGGGTAGATAGTGATAGCCCCTATTGATTTGAGATCATAATGTCACCGGACACTAATGTAAAATCCTTTTCCACTCAATAACTCAATAACCATTAGATGTTCATTTCATTAGATCAAAGGTCGAGATCACATTGACACTAAGTATAAATCTTTGTCATCTCAATAACTTAAGAAGGAATAAGACTAGGGTTGTGAAACTTGGTAAGGATGTTGCCCTTTGCCAGAAGATGACGCTGACTAGCATTAGGTCAGAGGTGAAGGTGACAGTAACCTTTGTATTAAATCCTCTGTACTTACATCCTTGGGCGCATAATGCTCTGAGGATGGAGCTCTTGTTCAGAAATTAAGAAAAGGCATTTTCCAGTTGTTTTAAAACTTTTAAAATGTTCATCTCAGAAGACTACATGGTAGTTTTTTTTGGGTTTTTTTTCAACGTAAGTTTCAAAACTCAATCTTACAAAGAATATGACTAATGCATGTACATGAATGATTGTTGCAGAATTCTTTCTTATTTTCTTTCAGACAAGGTACTCTTTTATCAAAGGAAAAGCTTATGTCTTCAGAGTTTGATCATGCATTTAATGGACAAGATTTTATAGAGCATATGAAAAATGATTTTCAAGGTCAGAGACAATCAAACTTTCTAAGGGAAATGGGTCAAGGACATTCAGTGAACAAACACTCAAGGTCATTCTCTCAGCCTAACCTTTATACAGAGAAACCACCTTTTTTGTTAGATATTGATCCATATAAACCAATAAAAGGACAGAATTTTGACAAATGGACACCATGGATACAACAAGATAAAGCCTTCAATGAAAATTCTTGGGTTCAACAAGTTGGACAACCTTCGTTTGAGTTCAAGGTACCACAGGGTCGTGCAGGAGGTCACTCAAGGACACATAGTGATATGAGACATAATTTTCCTGTTGATTCGATTAGACAGAATGGTTCCAATAATGAACAAGACACTTTCTATAGTGATAACTTCGATAGAATTAACTGGAATGACAACAATTTTTATAATGAAAAGCATGCAGGTTTTCAAAATGATCAATTTCATTGGCAGAGGGACATTAGTGAACAATATAGGGGAAATGAAAGGGCAAGGCGAGGGAGTTTTGATAGTAGTAAATACAGAAATACTCAACAGGTTAGAAATGAAGGGAATATGAATACTTTTAAAGGTGGAGGGGCTCAGGAAAGAGGGAGAAAAAGTTCAAGAAAGAATAAAGGAGGGAGTCGAGCTCATTCATATGATAACAATTCACCAGAAAGCACATCATCGTCTGACTCAGGATTGAAAAGAAGACTTGAATTAGATGACAGTTTTGCACCTGGAAAAAGCAGACGAAGATATGGTCCTGAACTGGACTTTCCATCCACTAGTTCTGGTTACAGGTCGGAAAGTTCACAGAGTATGATAGAAAGTCGAAATAATCAGAGACCTAGAAGTCGTAGTGCTAGCCGAGACAGATCCAGAGAGAATGACCTTGATAAAATTGATCTAGAAAGACCTTCATCTAGAAATTCTGATAAAAAGGTCTCCTGGTCTGATCAGCAGTTAGTATCATCGACAACTGAATCTCTTGGAGAAAGTCAAAGAACAAAAAGAAAGTCCAATAAAGCAGCTGATAGGTCAAGATCCAAAAGTCCAATGGTGCCAGATTCCTCGTCTGAATCAGAACTAAGCAAAACTTCAAAAACATCAGAAAAAGGTAAGAAAACTTCACCTAGACTAAAAAGTAAAACATCTCAAAGGCAACAAAGAAAAACTAATGTGTCAGATGACAGTACAGAATCTGTTTTAGAAAAAGCTGAAAAATTATGTAAGAAATTAAGAAATGAAAGAGAAAAAGCCAAACAAAAGAAACATATTGAGGAAAAGAAGAAGAAATTTGAGAAACATAAAGAAATAAATGACAAGATTGAGACACTTTCTGAAAAAAATAAGGCTAAAATAACTGGGGTACTTGATGCTGAAACATTGTGTGCTAAGGATGATGAAATGCCAGGAATGAACTCATTTAAACTTGATGGAACTGAAGTTTATTTTGAAAAGCCAGAAAAACTAAATTCTGAGAGAAAAACAATGGAACTTAATAATGTAACTGAAGTAGATAAAACACAACTCATTCCAGAGAAGTTGGTAAATGTTTCAAGAGTTTCCCATAATGTAACTGTAAAAAATGATGCTCCATCAAAAGGCATCACAGAAAGAATTGCTCAAACAAAGGCAGATATCGATGTGATAAGAGCCAAAATCGAATCTAGTGTAAGAGGCACTCATGGTCCTGCCAGTCTGGCTGCTGAGTCACCATTCTCTCCTACCAGGCAGCCTCAAAATCAAAATGAGGCTGGCTCTTCACAAGGGAGGAATGTACAGTCTTCAGAAAGAACAAGTCTTTTAAAAATGGTAAACTCTCCTAGAACAACTAAAGAACGTAACCAACTTGCTCAAATGCTCAGAGAACATGCTAAATCACAGAAGAAATTGTCTCTCCCAAGGTTTAATTTGAAATTTTCTGACCTGTGTTCTGACAGTGATAGACAAGATGAACAAGTTGATATAGACACTTTAGCACCTAGTGTTCAGCTGGAGATAGCAAATATCATTGAAGCAGACGTAAAACCTGATATTGCAGAACTTGAGAAGCTGTTAGATCTAGCTAGCGCCAATAATGAACAACTTGATATGAATATCCTGAGTCACCTAGGTGTTTCTTCTCCACCCATGGGAAGAGCATCTAGTCCCAGTTTAGCTCTAGATTTATCTAGTTTTAATAATGATCTAGGGTTTGAGAGTAATAGACATGAAAGAGTTCCCTCCCCTGCAAATTTGAGGACTACTGATTCACATGAACGAAGTAGGTCACCTATCCAGCAGCTGCAGATAAGGGAAAGAAGTAGGTCTCCTAATCCACAGTTGCTTACAAGAAAGAACTTCTCAATGAATCTTCATGAAAACACTGAGAAAACCTTAAAGCAAAGCAAATTAGAAACAGTAAACCACAGTAACTTACGTGACAGGGACTTCATTTCAAAAGACAATCAAGGCATGGGGCAGACATTAAACATGGATGATCTTGTAGATAGCAATGAAAGAGAGAAAAGTCACACTAGTAGAAATATGAGTAGAGAAGAAGATAGTAACAGCAAAACTGAAAATAGATTTGCCTCATCTCTACCGTTATCATCAACAACTGTTAGTAGTTCAGCAAATCTATCAGCTTCAGTTACTTTACCAAGCAGTGTAGTGAAAATCAAGCAAGAGGTTATGGATGATGATTATGAACAAGCAGTCAGGAGTGCTTTAGCGAGAGCTAAAACCTTTATAAAGCGACCTGATGCAAAAAGTGATAGTACAGAGACTAGATCGTCAGATAAACCCGTCAGTAGAGAAGATTATCTAGGAAACGACAGAATGGTAGATAAATCAAAGACAGATAATTTAGAGGCAAGGAACACTGATACAAATACTGTTCAGTTTTCGCCTGTAAGAAGAAGTATACATACTCAGAACTTGTTCAGAAATGATGAACACCCTGTTAGAGATTCTGGAAGATTCAGAGCAGAACAACCTGAGGTAAGTGCATGAAAAATTATGTACTTTGTTGTATATATACATACATTTACCATTGATCATTGTGCATATACCATTGGTCAAAGTACATAAAGAGTTCATAATGTATAACATTTAAACAGATGGTGAGTAAGTCTTTTAAAATATCATTTCCATTTACAGTTACAAGTTATATCTATGAAAATGTCCCAATATACATATATTACAAAATATAGAAAGCAAAATTCTTGATTTTCAAGCTTTTGATTTGCTGTTACACATGCTTCTAATGTTTTTATTGTATATTTATGAATATTTATTCTGAAATTTATAGGCTGATGATAGAACTACGTTAGAGAAGGTAACCAGTATATTAGATGGGGTACCAGCACCACATGTTGATTCAGGGGCAGATAAATCTTCATCTGCTACACCTCCTGAATCTGTACCAAGATTCTCACAAGCCAATGGTTAGATTATTTCTTTGATTCTATATCATAATTTACATAAACATTGATGTTGTTGTAAATAAAGTCTGTCATGTTTTTAAAAAGCCAGTTAAAAGAGTGAAAGAATATTTCTTTTTAGCTCACCTGTCACAAAGTGACAGGGTGAGCTTTTGTGATCGCTTTTCGTCCGGCGTCCGTCCGTAAACTTTTACTTTAAATAACATCTCCTCATAAACCACTAAGCCAATTTCATCCAAACTTCACAGGAATGTTCCTTTGGTGGTCACCTTTGAAAATTGTTCAAAGAATTTAATTCCATGCAGAACTCTGGTTGCCATGGCAACCAAAAGAAAAAACTTAAAATATCTTCTTCTAAAAAACCCAAAGAGCTAGAGCTTAGATTTTTGGCATGAAACATCTTCTGGTGAGTGTCTACCAAGTTTGTTCAAATAAAAGCCCTTGGGTCAAAATTGGCCCCGCCCCAGGGGGTCATTGATTTTCCCTATATGCATATAGTAAAAACTTAAAAAATCTTCTTTTAAAGAACCCAAAGAGCTAGAGCTTAGATATTTGGCATGAAACATCTTCTAATGGGTGTCTACCAAGATTGTTCAAATAAAAGCCCTAGGGTCAAAATTGGCCCCGCCCCAGGGGGTCATTCATTTTCCCTATATACATATAGTAAAAACTTAAAAAAATCTTCTTTTAAAAAACCAAAAGAGCTAGAGCTAAGATATTAAGCATGAAACATGTTCTAATGGATGTCTACCAAGTTTGTTCAAATAAAAGCCCTGGGGTCAAAATTGGCCCCGCCCCAGGGGGTCATTGATTTTCCCTATATACATATAGTAAAAACTTCTAATAGATGTCTACCAAGTCTGGGGTCAAAACTGGCCCTGCCCCAGGTGTGTCATTGTTTTTAACTATATGTGTAAAGAAAAAACTTTAAAAAAATCTTCTTTTAAAAATCCCAACGAGCTAGACCTTAGATGTTTAGCATGAAACATCTTCTAATGGTTGTCTACCAAGTTTGTTAAAAAAAAAAGCCCCCGGCTTTAAACTGGCCCTGCTCCGGGGGCCTATGTACAGGTGAGCGACTTCAGGGCCATCATGGCCCTCTTGTTTGACAATTTGGTCCATTTTAAAGCAGTTAATTTGTTTCAAATGAGGAGAAAGATGGTGTGTAGAACATAGTATAGGTTTTCTTTAACACATGCATTACTTAAATGTTGATCTGTCCATATAATGGGTTAAGACAACCTAGTAAAATCTATACATCCACTATTAATGTGAATTTGTAATACGAATTTGATTTTCATTGAAGGACAAGTTGGCCCATATGATAGAGCTCACCAGGTGGCATAAATTGATGCCCCTATTGATTTGTACTTTAGAGAGCATGATCTTATATTGTTTTATTATGTTCAATATCTAGCTGTTTATGTTTAAAATCATTATCATCATCCCATACCTTTGAAGGATTGAGTAGATGTTTCATAAAAAAATTCAAAATAAAGTGTGTATGATAACATATATTAACGCTTGAAGCAATAATAACTTGCAGTCTGACCTTGTACTTGTTGACAGTTCAGTTATAGTACATGAATTTTAATATTGAAGTCCTTTAAACTATTTGACTGTTCCTATGTTCTAAGTCAAAGCATGACAATTCCATGATACAGATTTAATAGTAAAAAGGGTTTAAATATTGAATGATAAAAAACATCAATGTTTTAAAAAAAAAATAATTTCTCATTTACAGAGAAGCATCTGGACAGCTCCCAGCATTCTCAGGCCTCTATACTTGATGAAGTTTACAATGTTAGTATACAGGAGGAACATGTCAGGCAGGAAATCTCAACTTGTGACCTCAGAATCTCCAAACTGAAGAGTCTCATTGAAGAGGCCTCGCAGGAATTGCAAAAATATTCCCAAGAAAAGCAAAATGTAGGTTTATTTGCAGCATAATTCTAGTTTTTTTAAAGTATTATGTAATGAAAATTGAAAAACTATATGCTCCTTCATTATCTGTGTAAATGTAGAATGGTTTCCCTTGGAGCTCCTGAAATTTAATGCATTAAGCACCAGTCAAATGTAAATATGATCAGCCCACCCACAAGGAATGGCGGGAAAAATGAGCTGAGTTTTTACCTTTCTCACACTGCCAGCTCATTATGAGGATGTTAGTAAAACACAGTCGCGGGACTTGGTCAACTGTCTCTTCTTGGTGAGGCCATAACCAGGGGTTTGAAATTAAGAAGTCAAAGCCTCCTTTATTCCCCATGGGGATGAGTGGCTGTGCTTACAACTGACAAGTGCATTCATTACATAAACTATAAGTTTTATATAGTTTTGCATGTAGGTAGATACATAATTTATAGCTGTTTATATAGTTGTGAAAGTTAGAAATGTGTTCTTGTCAAATAATGTTGAAACATGTATTTTCAGTTGGTTGAACGAGAGAAATCCTATAGGACAAAGAGATTGATGCTTTTAGAAGGTATGATGTTTGGTATTTTTAATTTAAAGCATAAATACAACTAATAATTTTGTAAATTTTATTTTGATTTAAGATAAGAGTTTATGAAATTTAATGAAATGTTGAAGTTTCAATGCATATGTAAACAAGATGAAGTATCAGGACACAAGTTTGATGATTTTTTTGTGATGCAGCTCTTAAAATAAAATATTTCTAAACCAAGATATTAAATAACTATGACAGTTATGGCATGATTCACTCTTACCCTGCAGAATTTGCCCTTATTCAATATTTTAAAAGTTCATTAGTAGTTCAAGGGAGTTGAGTTTCAAAGCCCTTATAGTTATAAGGTCAGACCAGTCAGGCCAGGCTCTGTACTAGTGGCATATATGGCTCTATATCATCTTTACCTCTATGCAAAGGATGTATTTGCCCAAAATCATAGTTCAGATTTTTATCTTCATCCATCTGCTTTGCTCATTTTTTCAGACTCAGCATTTAGCTGGAATGATGACAAAATAACTCTTAAAGATGTCCATCATCTTGTCATGTTTATTTTATGAGATATTGATTTTCCTCATTGATCATTATAGTAAGAGAGAGCCTCAGAGGTATTGTTTACTATATTTATGTATGGTTTTATCTTATGTTTCAGAGAGTAGAAGCTCATCCGCATGTTCTCAAACATACATGACACCTAACATACTAAGCAGTCTTACACGGGAACAACTTGATAATCCGGTCTTAGTAAAATTTCTTATGTCACAGAGACAGTCAGATCTGTCTTCTGTTGGTGGATATTCTAACGTTGAATCTGGTTCCCAGCCAGACAGTGAAAGAAATCCTGAAAGACGAAGCTCGTTAACATCCAACATGTCGGAACCCATGACATTTCCAGCAGGTACTAAAGACAGTAATCTGTTTAGTAAGTCTATAGAAGCTGTAAGTGGAAGTTCCGATATTTCAGCTTCAGTGAGTGTCAAGGCCTCAGCTGATAAACTGTCTGGTCTATCTGAGAATCAGAAGCCTAAAGAAAATGATGGTATGAAAACATCAACTGAATATACGAGTATTAATTCTACAAACTCTATAAGTATGTTGAATAAGCCATTAGATAGGGTAGGTTTTGTGACATTAGATGCACTAATGAAAGGAGATGGGGATATAGGGAAATTGTTAAACAGAAGTTTAGAATCTATTGAAAAAGGAACTATACCTGCAGGAGCTTCACCTTTGCAGAAACTCTCCAGCTGTGAGTCAAATGAAACTCCCGGGACAGTTTCTAGAGAAAGAAGGGATAGTACATTTAGTTTAGATACGGGAAGTGACTCAGAAAAAAAATCTGTTTCATTAAAATATATGGGAACTTTGCCAGAGGGAACAAATTATGAGTCTCTAGTACGACAAGTATCTCAGGATAACAAGAACAAGCCGTTAATGATAACATTATTTAGTTCTCCAGAGGCAATGTCACAGCTGAGGAAAACTCCAGATGCTGGTAGTACACCTGTAGTAAGGTCAAAAGAAGGTCATTCTCGAGTTGACGTGGGTTATAAAAGTGATGGTAGCTCAAAAACAAACAGTACAGTGACTTTAACTCATATGAGTGATATGGAATCTCATAGTGCAAGGAGCACGTTCTCATTAGGTGAGCAAATTAAACGAATGTGTGACGGGTATAATTGTGAACAAGGTATGGAAGTGGAGACTCCTCGTGGAGAACAAGTTGATTCTGCTCTCCAATCCACAAAAGTTTCAGGGTCTAAAGAGTATAAGTTAGAAGATTTTAAAATTAGTGATGTGAGTACCAGGAAACTGAGAAGTTCTGGCGACACGTTGAAAGATGAATCGGTACCAAGTTCTAGAAACAGCCCTATCAAAGACTGTTATGTCAAGTTAGAAAAAATAGATGGTACAGAAATGTCTTCACTTAAACATCCCACAACTGATTACGGATCACCAATTAGGAAAAGATTGAAATCAAAGAAAGAAAGGGATCAAATGTCACGAAGGAAACAAAAAGAACTTTTTATTTTACAATCAGACACAAACTCTGAAGGTGAAAGTGAAAACAAATTTGCGAATAGATTGAATTTACCATCTCGGTTAAGCTCAAAGTCGGAGGAAGACTTGGTCCAGACAGGATCTGAGGATCGTACGCCAAGGCCGGAAATGAAAAAGATTTCAGAAATTTCAAGGTCAAGGTCATTGCTTGATGAAGTTCAACTTGAGACTGAAACTCCATCAGATTCATGTGAGGATAGGTCACTTGCCAGTGAAAAACAAAGGTTTGTTCATAATATGTACACATACTTCATGTACATATATATATATAAAGATCATCATAGGGTATGCAACATATGTAAAGTTAGTTGCAACTCCTAGTTTCATTTTCTTGTTTTAAAATTTGAATTTATAGTGCTTCAGCTAGGATTTGAAAAGGGCCTAGTGCAAGAGTAATTGGGCAGTCTGAGGAACATAGTGTCCAGTTTTTGGCAGATGTGTGTTGGAGGGGTATCTTCCTTCTACTGGGGTGTTAAGTTTGGGGTCACCAAAATAAATTGATATATTCAATACATAGGATAAAATGATCGACTGCATTTTCAAACAAATAATATAACTTCTTAGTGCCTGCAACCTACTACTTTCTTATTAGTCCCCTACCGGTTTACCGGAGGGGACTTTAGGTTTACCCTCCGTCCGTCTGTCCGTCCGTCCGTCAGTCCGGCCGTCTGTCCGCCCGTCAGTCCGTCCGTCCACAAAACTGGATCCCGCGATAACGCAAAAAGTACTGAAAATATTTTAATGAAACTTGATATATGGATAGATGGCAGTATGGAGATTATGCACGTCTTTTTATTTTCTTCCTATGTTGAAAATTCTGGTTGCTATGGCAACAAATAGACTGAAAATATGACAAATTTTACACATAAAATGGATCCCGCAATAACGCAAAAAGTATTGAAAATATTTTTATGAAACTTGACATATGGGTAGATGGCAGTCTGGAAATTATGCACATCCTTTTTAACCAGGTTTTCCGAAGGAAAAAACTGGTTATTAGATTGAGGTATGTCGGCGGGCGGATGGGCGGACGGGCGGGCAGGCGTAAACAATTTCTTCTGTGCGCAACTCCTCCTACATTTCTCAACGGATTTTGACCAAACTTTCACAGAAGCTTTGTCATCAAGTGCCCTGGCGCATATTGTCGGGGTTTTTGCGATTACATAATATTTGACCTAATTATGGCCCTTTGTTTTTTTTCCTTATATAAAAATATATAGTGAACAATTTCTTTTGTGTGCAACTCCTCCTACATTTCTCAACGGATTTTGACCAAACTTTCACAGAAGCTTTGTCATCAAGTGCCCTGACACATATTGCCAGGGTTTTGCAATTGGTATATATTTGACCTAATTATGGCCCTTTGTTTTTTTTTCCTCATACAGAATATATAGTGAACAATTTCTTCTGTGCGCAACTCCTCCTACATTTCTCAACGGATTTTGACCAAACTTTCTCAGAAGCTTTGTCATCAAGTGCCCTGACACATATTGCCAGGGTTTTGCAATTGGTATACATTTGACCTAATTATGGCCCTTTGTTTTTTTACCTTATACAGAATATATAGTGAACAATTTCTTCTGTGCGCAACTCCTCCTACATTTCTCAACGGATTTTGACCAAACTTTCTTAGAAGCTTTGTTATCAAGTGCCTGGCACATATTGTTGGGGTTTTGTGATTGGATAATATTTGACCGAATTATGGCCCTTGTATATTTTTTCCTTATACATAATATATAGTGAACAATTTCTTCTGTGCGCAACTCCTCCTACATTTCTCAACGGATTTTGACCAAACTTTCTTAGAAGCTTTGTTATCAAGTGCCTGGCACATATTGCCGGGGTTTTATGATTGGATAATATTTGACCGAATTATGGCCCTTTGTATATTTTTTCCTTATACAGAATAAATAGTGAACAATTTCTACAGTGCACAACTTCAAAAATTAAGCAAAAATAAAGTACTGTTTACCTTTCTAAAACATTTGGGGAAAAAAGGCGAATAGACAAAATAAAATTTCTCAAACATTTTTGTTTGAGGAATATTAAAAAAGCCATAATTCCTCCTAAAAATTCAATAAAAAACAAATGCCCCTTCATGACAAAGCTTCTGTGAAATATTTTGCTGAAAACCTGGTTGCATCGCATTGCGATGTTCCTTGTCTTTTCTTTCTATGTTGAAAATTCTGGTTGCTATGGCAACAAATAGACTGAAAATATGACAAATTTTACACATAAACTGGATCCCGCAATAACGCAAAAAGTACTGAAAATATTTTTATGAAACTTGATATATGGATAGATGGCAGTATGGAGATTATGCACGTCTTTTTCTTTTCTCTCTATGTTGAAAATTCTGGTTGCTATGGCAACAAGTAGACTGAAAATATGGCAAATTTTACACATAACCTGGATCCAGTGATAACACAAAAAGTTCTGAAAATATGTTTATGAAACTTGACATATGGGTAGATGGCAGTATGGAAATTATGCACATCCTTTTCTTATCTTCCTATGTTGAAAATTCTGGTTGCTATGGCAACAAATAGACTGAATTTCAAGATTTCTTATTCTAGTTTTTAAGTTTTTTCACTATAAGTTCTTTATTTCTTAAGGTATTTTCTTCAAACTTTAAATATAAGTTGCTTGTCATCAACCACATCATATGTGACAAGGTTTACAACTCTAGTACAAAATTTATCAGAATTACCTCCCTTGAACTTAAAATTTTCATGAAAAAAAACATTGTTTTTTTAATAACTTCTTTTTCTGAATGTATCTACTTCAAACTTCATATAAATGTTTTTTATTGTCACTCAACATTTGTGAGTGTTCAATACTCTAGCAAGACTATTTCCAGAATTATGCCCCTTTTGAATTTAGACTTTTTTTTGAGAAATTGGTAATTTTTACTCAAACTTCTTCAATCATGGAAGGATTTTAAAAATGTTATATTTTGATAACAGGGATGTTTAAAAAATAACTTTAGAGTGTCCTTCAGTCCGTCTGTCTGTACATAAAAACTGTTTCCTGTGATCACTTTTAAAGAACTTTTTCAACAAATTTACTTAAAATAGGAACCTAAGTGAATGGTCCTTCAGAATGTTGCTTGGGCTCTTACCGGTAGGGGACTTATGGATTGCTTGCAATACTATGATAATTGCTTGTTTATCTAAGCTCAGTTGTGATAAAAAAAAATCAACATTAATTAATCCACTATCAAGGCTGTGACCTCAGTATGACTCTATTTCACCGCAAAAACATTGCTTGCCAAACTACCTTGTGCTGAATCATTTTGAAATATTGTACATTAAATTTAGATTATGAAATGAAAAATTATACATGTACAAGATAATGAACAGGAACAAAACAACAGGATAATTTGATAAGTTATTTGCAAGTTCTCAAGCATGAAAGATCAAAAATAGTAGTATCAGATTTATGAAAAATCAAGTGATGTATCACTTAGCATTTTCTTATTTTGTGTCTTAAGAATTGATAAATATGTAACATTTTATACCAAAATTTACAGTGTTATACATTACTGCGGACCTTCTCTATCTGTTGCTGCAGTACAAGAGTTCAAAGGTGATCTGTACGTCTGCTACAATGGTAGTGAGATTAGAAGATTTGAATTACAGGTAAATAAAATAATTAACTTTAATATTACTCTACAGCAAACATTTTCATTTTGACCATAAGAATAACATTTAGGTGAATCTGAATATTTTGCAAATTACTTTTTGTCTGTTCAATATTTTAAATAGAAAGTTAACTTGCCAAATGACAAACTGTTAGTGGTTATATGCAGGTGTCTATTTATGGCAAAGTACAAAAAGGTACAGTGAATCATCACCAGAGTTCGAAAAAATGTTCATATTAAGACATATGTTTGGTCACTTTTGATTGCATTTGCCAAAGGATGGCTTAGAGACCTTTAATTATACATTTGACAATGTATTCACTACACAAAATCCTTTTGTTAATTTCATAGAAATATACATCAATCAGGAGACTTCCTGCTTTGACTTTAAGATTTTATTTAATAAAAAACAGATAAATAGATCTTCTCTAAACCAGTACAGGTATTATTTGTGGAGTGTGCATTTGTTTTAGTGTTAAAATGTTCAAAATAAAAAATGAATTAGTGTACTACTTTTTGTTCAGGAATTTCAAGTTTTCATGTAAAGGGCATGATGTCTATGCTTACAAGTCATGTAAATTTCTTTAAAACATTAGACTGGTTCATATTGTTTTATTTTATTTCAGACTGGTCGTATTTTGAAAGAATTAGACTGCTCACCATACCTAGTCAACTGTCTACATGTAACAAGTATAGAAGGTAGAGGAGATGTACTGTACACAGGGGGTACTTGTAAAAAGTTAATGCTTTTTGAACCACAGGTAATCAGAAATATTACTTTCTCATATATATTTTAATTAGAAGGTGTCACTGGTTACACTTTTGGTGTAAATTTTGAATACCATCTTATTTTTGCTATCCATTTTATATCTTAAATGTATAAAACATATTCATTTTCCTGTTACTTGGCTAGATATGATTAAACATCAACATCTCCTTGTGGCTGAGATTTATCCCTACATGATTGTAAGAGGCAACTAAATGGGTCTTTGCATCTCTTAGCTCCAGCAGGTGAATTGATTTTGACCCCTGGTGTTGCTTTAAGTTTATAACATTTGAGGTTAGCCAAAATCATCTTTCCTTTTTTGACGCCATATGATTATGACCTAAATTGGTGCACTGTAAAACAAATAAAAAAATAAAACGTCAACACTTTATTGCTAGCAGCACCGTTACAGCATCAGACATTCTACATGTTGGTGCAGTCTGAGATTGAAACTCCTTAAAATAGCAATGAAAAGTTCCAAATTAATTACTGGCTGTGGAAGGTCTTTATCCAAATATTATGGTGTAAGATTTCAAAATTTAAGATTCATTATGAAAGAGATACAGAAAATAAACTAAACGTATTACTAATATTAAAAACTTACTGCATAGCACTTATTTGTTATTACCTAGATATTGATTACCAAACAAATATTTTATTTTTGTTGTTGATTCTAATAATATTTTCTTAAATTTCAGAAATTTGGGTTAATTACAACATTTGACTATACAGAAAGAATAACATGTCTACATGAGAACTGGGGTAGATTGTTTGCAGGTCAGTCAGATGGGGGCATCTCTGTTAGAAGTCTAAAGGTAATTTCTCTATTATCTTATATTTCTTAGTTTGATATCATTTTTTCAAGGTCATTATATGTGCACTGATCCACTTACGTTACTAAAAAATGTCATTTGTTTACTTTAAAAATTGTCACTGCAAGCAGCTTTCTCTATTTATTAATAAAAAAGGTTTGGAAATACAGCAAAAACTCGCTAATAAGACCACTGAAGGGACTTTGCAAATCTGGTCTTAATAGCGGGTTGGTCTCATTAATGAGTTTGGTCAAACAGAAAACCAGGCAATACATTTTAGGATAACATGTACTGTACATGTTAATTTCTGGGTTAAGTGCAGCTCAAAAAGACTTTATGAAATTTTTAAACTACTTTAAAGATACAAAATGTATTATGAATGTCTTTAAACACAAACTTATTTTTATATTCTAGTTAAAAGAATGACACAACTTACGCAAAATAAAACACTTATGAAAGTCACCAATTGACTACAAAACACACCTACCAATTAACCTTTAATTATTTTTACAGTTTTCATCGCCGATAACAACTTGAAAAACATAATCGCATCACTTTTATGTTTCTTTAAAATTATGGAATGAAAGAGATAATTATAGCGTCAACACCTCTAAAAAACTTTTTGTTTACATCACATGTCAAAAGGATTTCAGCAATATACATGCACATCAATATAATTACAAAACGGGACTGTCTTTCTGGTCGTATTATGTAATAAGGGGGTGGTCTTGAAATCAGGGTTGGCGACCATTGAAATAAAGAATAAAAAAATTGCTTCTAAAAAATTGTTCTTCGGAACGGGTTGGTCTCGAAAACAGGGTGGTCGTAAAGCGGGTTTTTACTGTATTTGTGTTAATATTCACCTTCACTTAGTTAGACTTTTATAGTTCTTGGTCTTTCTGGCATCTATGGCCATCAAAGCACCATTTAGGGATTGAATATGTAAGTAATATTGTTTAAGCTGGGTTTTAAAGTAGATTTTATGACAAAAAATAATGCATTTCTATGCCGACATTTACATAGTTGACTTTCTAATCTTATATTTATAATTTCAGACGGACAAGGAATTAAACTGTTTCTCATGTACTACTAGTGTTATACACAACATAGGTAGTAGTAGTGCGGGTATGACCAAGATGTTATGTTTAGCTACGGCAGATAAAGTGATATACGTCCTTGATGCTATCACAGGATTGTTGATTACAATGTTAGAGGGCCACACACAACCTCCTCGCTCTTTATATGTAAATATCTATATTTATTTATGCATACATGTACAATCAAAATAAAAAAAAGCTTTTTGTATAATAAATGTATTTAGTATTAATACAGTTGCATTTACATTTTCTTTACATTTACTCTTACCGGGCTGGTGGTATATGAATCTACCCATGTGACCAGTGCATACCAAGATAAGCCAGCATATCCATTCCATCTGATCATGGTCTGCACTGTATGCTATTCAGTCAGTATTTATTTTAAAATTTTCCCTATAAATAAAGAATGTTTTTGTCCAGATTGGAGGATTTTCAAATTCATTAAAGATATTTAGTGTGGTAAGTCTTAGTGTAGGTGTAATCTAATTGGAGTCCAAATCTATGGTGGTTTTACTATTGTCTGTATGATACCAAATATGTATATAAATTGAAAAACATAAAAGTTTAAAAAATATAATAATTATTTAATAAACAATTTCTTTTAATAGGAATAATTTTTAAGTTCAATTTAAATGTACTTTTGAAAATAAGTTCTACTTGGCTTCTATGTGTAAGAAATAAGTCTTTGTATATGTATATTATGGTGCTATATTTTTTATGTTTTGATTATCTAAGAATATTACAATGTTTGCAGGTGATAGGAGAGGATACCATATTTCTGTATGTGTTTTGATTATCTAAGAATATTACAATGTTTGTAGGTGATAGGAGAGAAGGTAATCAGTGGAGGATCTGATAATACTCTTACAATACATTCTATCACAGTAAGTACTGTAAACTATACAGGTTTCATGTGTATATTTATTATATTCATGTATTTATTTTAGTTACAAATGATTGTTGCATTAAGACTAGAATTACTTGTATTGTTACGCATGATTTGTGTTAATGTTTGTTGATTCTGAATATTGTAAATTAGGAGTGTATAACTACAAGGATTTTGGTATTATTGTCATATCGAAAAAACAACAACCTTGCTTGACTCATTGATTTAAATGAATGTTGATGGTTGGCACCAGTGTAGTTAGCTTACAGAAAGTTGGTGGTTCTACTCAGGTGGTGTTCCTGTCTGAAATTATGCTCAGAAGGGCACCTATGTTCTTCCTCCACCAGTAAAGCTTGAAAGTCGCCAAACCATATATACTGTGTTGGTGCGACATTAAATTCAACAACTTATGAACTGATACTCTAATTTTTAGGGAAGGCATATAGTATTGCACTTATCAGTCCTTCCTGCTGTCACACTGTCAAAACAGTGGAATGTGGTGGCATACATGTCCTATGGACACATTTCAAGTTTTTTGTTGTTGTTATCACTCTGATCTAATATTTGTATATAATACATGTACATTTGTATTTCAGACTGGCAATTTATGTAAGATGATGGATTTGGGTCAGGTTGTAACATATATCTGGTGTGATTCTACAACTATATATACATCTAGTTGTGACCATATTATACGGACATTCACCCATGTAAGTATACTGTAATATATGCCTAAAAGAGTTTTTTTTATTGTCTTTAGATTTGGATTAAGATTTGCAAGTTTGAATCTAACATAGGGTCACATGTTAGTAAAAGAATATTCACTGTATATTTTTTGTCTATCACTGTATATTTTTTGTCTAAAGTGAAACAAAGGAAGCAAATAATTCTATGTTCTATCATGAAAATGTTACAATATTACTAAGGTTTGATATCATGACTATATCTTGGTTTATATTACAGAATCTAAAACCAAGTGAGATGTTACGGACTACTGGTAAATGTATTGTTACATGTGGTATTGTCAAAGACAAGATGGTGATTGTTGGAAAGAGAGATGGAGGGGTGGAGGCCTTGATATTAGACCAATTTAGCAAACTTTCCTGTAAGGTAAGAATAATGTTTGTACATGTATATATTTATATACTGGGATCCTATATATTTACCGGACAATCAGTTTACCGGACAAAAGCTATTCCTGCCGAATAGTGCTTTATTTTTTGCTTCGATTAAAAATTCATACAGTCTGAACCGTACACACACTTTCTATTTCAAAGTAAATAACAACAAAACCACTCTCAGGTAAATATTGTTGATTCAGTTCTATATAGATCTACTTACATGCCCTTTTGTTTACTAGTTATTTCATGACCTGGTCATGCGGGGGAATAAACAGTCATGCGCGGGCCCGAAAATGGAGGCCCATAATGGGTTATTTTAGATAGGTTTTACTTTTAATTCTTCTCAATGTTACCCCAAGAGACATTATCGTAACATCTTTTTAATAATAAAAAGTAATTTGAAATTTAATCCAAACAGTATCTGGTTGTTGTCTTTTACAAAGAAATGCAAATTAAAAAACATATAAGGAAACGGGTTACGCCCATGGGAGGAAACTCCTCATAAAATGTAAATGAAATAGATTTTATGGTTTTTGTAACATGCTATATGATGACCAAAGGAAACTGTATGACAAAAAACAGAATTCCATTTGAATATCAAAATGTTTCATACGTTTAAGGATCAAGAAGAATCAATACATTTATTGAGTTAATAGTGTTCATTTCAATTACATCTTATATACTGGCCTCTTCGTAACAGCATGGCTGCTGTGTCTATTTCTAGTGACATAATGGGTTTTTCGAATATCATAACCTTGCCATTCAAAAGTCGTAGTTTCCTTGCTGATTGTTTAAAGATTAATTTCAATTCAGGACTTCAACAAATTTTGAAACACAATGTCCGGTAAATTGAGCTGTCCTTACGATTTTGTCTCTCTTATAATGCCCTACTTTAAAGACACATTTCTACGGTCAATTGTTTAATTTCATGATTGATAAAGTAATGTTTACGTGTATTAAGGACCAAAAATTATTTGGGTAAAATTCCATTCTTTTTTATTATTTTAAATAAAAGTTACAGATAAAAAACATCATATTTTGTCCGGTAATACGTAGGATCCCAGTACCTTTCCTTATAGCCTGGATTGATCACACTTGGAGGCAAGTCTTTCATTAGTTTTTTTATCATTTTATTTTTTTAAGTGAAAAAGTTAAACAGAATTTCTTGATTTATAAATGTACGAAAAAAAGTAAGTGAACAGATTGTATAGTGTCAAAGCGATAACCATTGGTATGTTACTTTTTGAAATTGTGTTACAAAGTAAAAATCTGCATGCCTGCAGATGAACCAAAATATTTCAAGAAATTCAAACTTGAGAAAAATATGTCAAGATTTTAAGAATAGTAAAAAGATTTAAGATTCAAGTAATAATTTACTTGTTATATGCAATTCATGACATATTTTAAAGTATTTATCACCATATTTCTACTGCGTCACTAATGCAGTAAGGGCTATTTTTGCAAATTGGATCTCTTTTTAGTTATTTACATGGATTATAAGTAATGTTTGCAATGTGTGAAGTAAAACTACTTTTTGTTCACTTCACAACATTTTACTTCCAAATACATTTTCAAAATTTTCATAAAAATTAGCATGAATCTTGAGGCATGCTGCTTTAATCATATTGGGGGTGGGTGGGGGCACCTCACTTTAAGTTAGTCCATAATATTAGGTGAAGTTTTGGGGAAATGCCCTCTGGATTTCTGTTATTAGATTTGCAGATTATGCAATTACCACTGTGCCATATTGTTGGTCTTGAGACATAATATGTCATTCTGCCAAATAAATCCCCTAAATGGCTTTTATTCAAAATGAGAGCACATTTGATAGGTTAAGGTTATAAAATTTGTGATAAGGCATGTGGTAAGTAATTAACACCAGTTTCATTTGATCACCTCTTGATATGGAGACACTACAATAAAAAGTTAATAGCTAGATATGATTAAGATTTAGTTATTACCATAGTTAATATACATTTGTGACTATTAAAATTTATTACAAAACAGAATGACACAAATCTTCAACAATGTATACTATACCGTTTTTGTTCTTTTCTATTCAACAGTTTGGAACATGTAGACAACAGTTTAGTGTGTTCAGCCATTTAAAACTACATGTATTATCAGAGCATGTTAGTGACAGTATAACTCATTGTACACACAGGGAATGTACTCATATTTTCTTAAAACAAGATGATAGAAGGGTAGGTGAATCTTATATATAATTTTCTTTGTAACAGCCTTGATATTCTGTCTGTTTCTTCATTTAATATTTATACTTTAACTGTAGTCTTATATAAGCTAGAGACTTCATATTTAGATAGGTTCAAAACCTTCATTTTGATCTGGTGATATACGACAATGTCAGGTGCCTGCTAAGCATGTGCCTGAAATAAAGTCTCCTTCCATCAGTAAAACTCTAGAAAGTAAATGTATGACCTTGACTTAAAATCCAACTAAACTAACAAGGCTCTTTAACTATCTTTTTTTAAAACTAACTTATTTTAACTATAGCTTATTATCTGTTTAATTTACATAAATATTAAATGAGTGGATTTATGTTATATTTACAGGAGCATGTACTGAAACATCTGGTGTGATGAATGAAAGGTTTTACTGTAACTACCACTCAGAGGTCTCTTCATCCTTCACTTCTAAGGGAAAACTTGAGCATCCTGATCAAGCGAGAGAAGGAGCACTTATTGTTATAATATACATATCATTTGGAAGAAAGTTTCCTAATGTTTCATGATCCAGTGTTGGTCAAAACATGATTTTGGAACTGTCTACTGTCAAAATCAGGGGTGTCGGTACCCATATGGTAAAGTCCTGTCAGAGGTGCATGATTTGTATGGACTTTCAGTTCTCCCCCATAGAATATTTGTATCTCAATTAATCAATGTTCATAATATCATACAATATCATATATACGTCACAAATTTCTGGACTTGCATGGTCTCATTATTTGAATATATAATTTGTTTGGCATTTTTACTAAAATGAAAGAAATATTTTTGAACTTTTACATAAAGTTTCGACATTAATGATAACTTTTTTACCTATGAATATATACAAAAAAATAAAACACATACATATATTTAATAGTGTTCACCATTATAACATGTGTATACAATATATAAATAAAGGGAAAGAGAACCTGAATTTGATCAAGAACTTTCAGTTTTTGATATGACTTTAGACAGCATAAAGAAAGTTGAAAAAAGTTTTGAGACAGTATTGTGAATCTCTTTTTACCAAAATATAATGTGTTCTAGTGATGTATAGGGTAAATGAATGTTATTATGTTGTGATAAGTAGATTATAAATTTTCATACTATACCCAGAAGGTAATGGCTATACCTGCTTCTTCACATGTTCTTACTCCTACAAAATAACTATTGAGTTTATTTATACTTGCCACTAGTTACCCATATGGGCAAGTCCTCCAGAATGCTCCAAATCCAGAACCTTCTCCTGGTTCTTTTGCGTGCCAAGTGTTTAAGCACTGATACACAGGACCTTGATTAAAGTCTTATCCAGAAGACTGATTAGTAATTTTAGTTGGCTAGCCCGTGAATCGAGATTACAAAGCTTGCACTCTAACCGACTGAGCTAAACAGGCTGGCTAGAAAAATAACTTGGTTGATACTATGCTATTTTGACTTACTAGTAATTCCAAAAAGTAGAATGTATCAGATTTAATTATAAACTTCAATTTGTTTATATAGGATTCTGAGGTAGGTCAGGGCATTATCTCCTAGGTCTTATCAGTAGGTGTTATCATGTAGATGTTATAATTTGTGATGTACTAAACCATTTGAAAATAATACTAACAGAAGAAGTTTGAAAAACAAATCAAATGTGCCTTTACTTTATTGTGTGCTTAAAAACAGTATTGTAGATTTAGCAAGATTTTTTTTTATGCCACCGCAGCATCTGCGATGCGGTGGCATATAGCGATTCACCTGTGTGTGTGTTTGTTTGTGTGTGTGTGTGTGTGTGTGTGTGTGTGTGTGTGTGTGTGTGTTATATAGATTATATAGTGAACTTAAAAAATCTTCTTGTGAAAAACCACTAGTCCAATTTCAACCAAACTTGGCAGGATTGATCCTTGGGTGAAGGGCTTCCAAAGTTGTTCAAAGAATTACATTCCATGCAGAAATCTGGTTGCCATGGCAACCAAAAGGAATTATAAGAATAAATTAAAAAAATCTTCTTGTAAAGACCCAAAAGGCCTAGAGCTTAGATATTTTGCATGACGCATTGTCTGGTAGACCTCTACCAAAATTGTTCAAATTATAGCCCTGGGGTCAAAATCGGCCACGCCCCGGGGGTCATTGATTTTCACTATATGTACATGTAGAAAAAACTAAAATACCTTCTTGTAAAGACCCAAAAGGCCTAGAGCTAGGATATTTTGCATAAGGCATTGTCTGGTAGACCTCTACCAAGACTGTTCAAATTATAGCCCTGGGGGTCAAAATCGGCCCCGCCCTGGGGGTCATTGATTTTCACTATATGTACATGTAGTAAAAACCTAAAATACCTTCTTGTAAAGACCCAAAAGGCCTAGAGCTTAGATATTTTGCATAAGGCATTGTCTGGTAGACCCTTACCAAGATTGTTCAAATTATAGCCCTGGGGGTCAAAATCGGCCCCACCCCGGGGGTCATTGATTTTCACTATATGTTCACATAGTAAAAACTTAAAATACCTTCTTGTAAAGACCCAAAAGGCCAAGAGCTTAGATATTTTGCATAAGGCATTGTCTGGTAGACCTCTACCAAGATTGTTCAAATTAAAGCCCTGGGGTCAAAATCGGCCCCGCCCTGGGGTTCATTGGTTTTCCTAAAATGTATATAGTAAAAACTTATAGTAAAAACTTTAAAAAAATTTCTTCAAGCAATTGACAAATGCTGGAGGTTAGATGTTTTGCATGAAACATTGTGAAGTTAACTTCTAGAAAGATTGTTCAAATTATAGCCCTGGGATCAAAATTGCCCCCGTCCTGGGGGTCATTGATTTTCAATATATACATATAGTAAAAAGTCAAAAATCTTATTGTCTGAAGGTACAAGGCTAAGAGCTTTGATATTTGTTAAATAATATCATCTATAGGTACTCTACCAAAGTTGTTCAAATTTTGCCTCTAGTGTCAAAATTAGCCCCGCCCCAGGGGCAATAGGTTTTCCTTATATGTATATAGTAAAAACTTACAAAATCATCTTCTCTAAATTTACAAAGGCTAAAGTTAAGATATTTTGCAAGAAACATTATGTAGTGAACCTCTAGTAAGATTGTACAAATTATAGCCCTGGGGTCAAAATTGGCCCCACCCCCAGGGGTCATTGATTTTCACTATGTACATATAGTAAAAAATTAAAAAATCTTCTTGTCTGAAGGTACAAGGCTTAGAGCTTTGATATTTGGTATATAATATCATCTATGAGTCCTCTACTAAAGTTGTTTTAATTATGCCCCTAGTGTTAAAATTACCCTGCCCCAGAAGCGATAGTTTTCCTTATAAGATAAAGTAAAAACTTGAAAATCTTCTTCTCTGAATTGAAAAATCTTCTTCTCTGAATTGACAAAGACTAGAGGTTAAATATATGGCATGAGACTTTGCAAAGTGAACCTTTACCAAGATTGTTCAAATTATTGCCTGGGGGTCATTGATGTTCATTATGTACATATAGTAAAAGATAAAAAATATTTTTGTCTGAAGGTACAAGGCATAGAGCTTATAATGCGGTGGCATAGCATTTTTCTCAAATGCAATCTTGTTTAGTTCAGAAATTTGTTTTGTTTGTTGAATATATTTTACTTTTTACAATTTTATTTGTGTTTTTGATTGCACAAACTTGTATTTTGCTATGACATCTGCCAGATATACATTGTAGTCTGATCATTCTTCACATGGGACTGTAAGAAATAGTAAATAGTTTAGATCAATTATACCAGTATCTAGATGATAATATTTAAGTATTTGTAACATCAAATTATTTTTTTTATTTTTTATAAAGTTAAAAGATTACTTAACAATAATGTTTCTGTTCTCAAATAACTAAAAGAGATTGTTTTCTTTATTCATTTTTCAGCAATTCTGTTGAAATTTATTTTTTTCTGATTTTAGGTGTAGATTATTCCACATGACTTGTCTCCCCTTTTCCAGAAATTTTTGTACTTTTATCAACAGTGTGTTTAAATATTTATGTTCTACCAGTAGTTATGGCATTATTTTTCTCAAAAATCTACATAAGAAGCGGGTCTGTTTAAGATTTTTTTCTTGCTGGCATACATTTATTCAGCCATGAGAATGAACAGGGATTTTTTTAATTTTCAAATGTTAAAGACATGTCAATTTACCTTGCCTAATTTACTAATAAAATGAGAAAAGTTAATACTATCCTGTAAAGTTTTGTCTTCCTTTCTTTAAATTTTTTGAAAATGATTAAAGCCCAGTTTAGACTACTGATTTATTCAACGTGTTTTTATATACTATATTGTGCTCAGAGTTTTACCTCTCGCCATATTTTACACATTCTTGCCTTTTATTAGTTCAGCTCATTGTTACAAAAATCCTCATAATTTTGTATATATCCAGATAATACCAATGTATTTTGTATACATCATAAAATATCACAATATTTGACATGACATTAGTGCTTTTTATATCCACAAAGTGTACATTGTTTTGGCATTAGATACAGTCTCAGTCATTTTAGCTAAATTATGATATATCACAGTTTTTTAACAGTTTTTTTTAGTGTCACGAATTATGAATTGTTTACTTTTCTGAAAAATTGAGTTTCATAACATATTGCATCATTAGCTTGACTATTTGAAGAATAGGGAATGCTATTGTAATCAACCTGGCATTGGCGTCACAAATTAGTTTAGTTTTTTGCGAGCAAATTAATATCTCCAACACTTCTGGAGGGAATGGGTTGAAAACTTCATATACTTGTTTTCTGTGATTATACAACATGATGGGCACAAAATCCATAACTTTGAGTTACCTTTTTAGAGTTGTGCCCCTTTTGTACTGTCAAGAACTGAGAGTAGTCAAGCATGACAGATAGTCGAACTGTCTTGTTTTATCACATTTGTTGGCTATCAATATTGAATTGAAGCTGAATAGATATGAACTTCATAATTTAAAGACAGGATTATTTGTATAGGAAATTGTATATTATGTTATGATTCTTGCTTGTTTTTGTTTTTTCCAAGTAATTTAGAAAAAAAGGATTCCAAGTAAATATGGTTGTAGAGCATTGAAGAGTAAATATGACTGTACAGCATTGAAGACTTACTGCAAAGTGTGAAGTTATAAGAAAAGTAAAAGATTACTTGTGTATAGTATACATATGTATAAACAATTTTTTTTTGTTATTTGCTTGTTTATAAAGTATATAGAAATATTTAATTTTTGTCGTTGGTGTAAACTATAATTTTATTATTATTACAAAGCTCAGCTGTAGCCAGATGATGATCTGACGAGATATAAAAACTAACTCGGACGTTTATTTTGTATATAGGCATTATAGATTCATCATTAGAAATGATTTGTTGTTTTATTTTTTGTCTTGTGATATTTTACAATGATATGTGATATTTCTTTGTTCTTTGTCATGAATTTGTAACAAAACTAGCCACAAATCAGTTTGTTGAAATGGTTCTGTTGACAGGGTTGTGTTTAGTTCTGTCCAATGTAGAATTAGTATCTTTAACTTATTTTTAATGACATTATACTAGTTCTATACTTATTTGCCCAATTTTGATATCAAAATTTTCTTTATTGAAAAAATCGTAAATTGAACCTGGGACAAGAAATTATTTTTTGTCCCAGATTGAACAAATTATGTTTAGTTACACATTTTGTTATATCCAGAAGTGTTGAACAATATTTTATAAAATATGAGTCATTTTTAGTTTACAGATGTCATAATATATGTTGTCAAAATAGCAGGAAGTCATAAAGTATCACCATAATGTCCATTTTACTATCAAAAATAGCTGAAAATTTATCTATTTATTAATCATTAAATGGGATAATACTTTTAAACCTGTGATGTAAACCAGCAGAAAATAATATAGCAAAATATTCGTTAAAAGAAATAAAAGTTAACTTTTCATCAGCAAAGATCTGTTTTATTGCACATTCCAAATATGGTCAATGCCTATGTAGTAAAAATGACTAAACATAAGCCATAATGATATTTCTTTCATTTGTATTACACTGATGTAATCATTTGCTATTGTCAGGTATTTATTTACTTTGATAGTACTTTGATTTACCATTATACATGTGTCTAGAGAAAACACAATAAAACTTATACAAAGGACTTGTTTATTTTATCACAGGACTTATAATGTAGATTTTTGTTTACATTATTAGATGTGCTAGTGGAATTACTAGTTCAGGAAAAAAAAATTCTGCAGTAAATAAAATATTTTGAAAAATGAAAACAGCCTTTGTTATTATGTTTCCATTCTTTTCAATTCTGGTTCCAACCTATATTAGATAGCAGCTTCATATCTGTGATTCTATCCTGCATAATACACTTGTGTGATTGTTCAGGGTTAAATAGATTTCATTTTATTCGTAATTTTATTTCGCATGTATGTAGTGTTATATAGTTTATATAGTGTTCGAGTGGTTTTTCTACTCTGCATAAATCATATAAAACTATCCAGTTACCTTTACACATTGTTATCAGGTTTACTGTGATGCTTGTTCTTGTCTGAAATACTAAATGGAACACATGTGGGTCTTCCTCCATAAGTAATGTATAAAAGTCATCAAATGACCCCCCAAAAAATCAGTTTGACTTAAATGCAACAACAAACAAAAGTAATGGAGGATGTATGTTCTTGCACATATAGTCTTTATGGTATATACATTTTATGCAGTGTACAATTTACAAAGTTGTTGAACCATAGAGACCCACTTTAATTCAGCAAACTGGCAAGATTAACAGCAAGAGATAGTACAATCTATTTATCAGAAATGATACACAACTGTATTATTTTATTAGTTGAAGGATGTAATTTTTTTAAGCAATCCAAAATAATTAGCTATCTAATTTTTTATTATACCAAGTGTGTCCTCAAATAAGCAGATGTTGCAAGTCATTCAATTCAAGTTTCTACTTTAATATTGCTGATGTTATCACTTTTCATTGAAGCGACCCATTGCCTTCCACCAATCACATTGTAAAAAAAATACTGTATTTAAACTTTGGTACTGCCCAGTAAGCTCAATTGGTAGAGCGTTGGACTGTGAATCGGTAACCAGGTTTGATTCCTGGGCGGTGCAGGTTATTTGTTGAAATTTATATGAAATCCTTTCTACAATCATTCACACTGTACCTCTGCTCTGGCATGTACAGAAGTTAGTAGCAGTTCCTTGCTAAAGGGAAGGCATCTGTAACTGGTAAACTGCCTGACTGCTTTCCCAGGAATGATAGAGTGGCTTAACTGTGCCCTGCTAAATTCACCCTTTACTAGCTGTGTTTTATACTTGGTAGAGTGATCAAAGACTACTACATGTATATGTTCATATGAGAAATGGAGGCTTTTCAGTTTGAAATACATGTAAAGTTTTGCCATTTGTGAAATCTGATGTTATTATTGTCACTCGGCTATTTTCCTCTATAAGAAAACATATTCTGACATCAGATTTTAGCTCGCCAAGAATACCTTACTAGCAGACTGACAGATCAGGCTGTTACAATACAAGACAAAAAAACAATATTGACTGTTTTATTAAGTTTATCAATAAAAAAAAACAGTAAAAAGATATCACAATAATCTCATCAATAAATAAATCACAGATGGTGAAATAATAAAAACAGATATACCGAAATATGATGATGGAAGGAAATCTTCCCATGACAAAATAATAGATGAAATTCATTTTTTTTCCCAAGATAATGTATACATGTAAATGTATACAAGGTGCTCTCTGCATTGGATTAAACAGTAACACAAATTATGTTACCCAAGTATGAAGATTAAATATATTGTGTACACTTTAGTTTTTAAAACACAAGACTTAATAATGAATTTACTATATGCAAATTATCTGAAAATAAATACTGCATTTTATTTTGAGTGTTCAAAAACGTAACCATTTACTTGCTGAATTTGTGTTATGGATTTGGCCATCTTTGAATTTGGAACAATTCATTCAAATTTTAAGGGTTTTCAATATGAAAATACAAAAAAAATTCAGCTACTAACAGACTCTGTACTGGTGGTAAAGCTAATCACTTTTGGTTCCAGCGGGTTAAGGGTGTTAAGGGTCTTAATAACACATATATATATAGCTACTTTGATTTCATTTTCAAAGCTTGTGTAAGTTTCCAAAGTTTTGGTTTGGCTTGAACCTGAAAAAAATCAAACATTGCAGTAGTCCAAACACATTTTATATAACTGTAAACTTTAAATTACCAGTATATCAAATATTTGTTTGTTCCAGATTCACCCTGGTTCATAATAAAATTGGTTTTAAGACCAACCAACACACAGGTGCCTGATGTCTAACACCCTACATGCTACCCCTATAATATAATAAACAATTATTATAGATATAAGAAGGTATGGAGGGGATATTAGACGTCAGGCACCTGTGAACAAACAGTATGTCAGTAGGTAAAAAGATTATTTATATTCCAAAACAACAGACTTACATACTTTTAAATTTTCAATTGTGCATGGAGTCTCTAAAGCAAGTTCTTAGGTAAAATCAAATAATGTTTATGCCTAAATTTCACTTCTTAAATATATCAGGAAACACTAAGCACAACATCTAAGTATTTGTTAAAACAAAGTTTTTTGATCCTTTTCCCTGTTGTGTAAAACTATCAATTGTTGATGTGAAAAAAATCTAAAACAAATATTCTGCATCCATCAGTATAACAGTAGTCAGAATGCAACATTGAGGCTTAGATAAGTCATCAGCAGTTGTATTCAATATGTTAATATACCACATGATAGACAAATCAATTGATATTCATTCACTGAAATAAAACAAGGTTGATAAGTGTAAACAGGCCTACCATACCTTAGAATGTGAGAGTGATTGTAGTTTGTCAATGTGAAATAATGGTGTAACTGAAGGTCGACCATGTGCACACTGGAACGGTAAATCACATCTTGATAAATCTTTGATCAGCTTCTCACACTCATCAGTTGCTAATTTGTCACCAAACTTTATTGCACCTGTAAGAAATGAGGAAATATTTAGTTCTGGCTCTAAGTCTACATTGCTCTGTACTGTACAGAGTAATGTGAAATATCTGATTTATTTAAATACGATTATTCAAAGGGTATTAAGGCCAGTGTTTAACTTGATATCACATGCTATCTGCTGAGTGTTTTAATCTTGTTAAGGAGTCAGTTTTTCCGACGAGAAAGCTATTTATCTTACTAAAACTTAAATTCTGTATATAATGATGTATCTTCAAGGTCTATGTACAATATCTAAAATGCTAGAAACTGGTCATATTACTATTACGACATAGAAAATCATTTAAGTAGAAATGGAATATTACCATTTCTGCTCATTTCTTAAACTATTTTTCTCAAACCACACCTCTCAATACTAAAACCTGATGTTTTCGTTGTAATTTCAAAATGTGGTTACCAGTGAGTTCATATTTTAGGACTCGGTTTATTTTATCACAGGACTCCAGCATAACTTTACCTAACTGGAACATACACATGTACATGCTTGAATATGACAAATGCAGAAAGAAAGTAAACTTTGAGAAATTATAATAAACCAGTTAAATGAGGAAAGATGTTTTAAAGATAATGGTTTAAAACAAAGGCAAGATTTATATAACTTACCATGACAGGCTAGAGAACATAGTACTTTATGTATAGTCTGAGGTAACACTCCACAAGACACTTGTGTTGACATAAAGACCTGTAAATTTACTTCAATTTTTGCAAGTCTATCACACTTTCATTAATGGAATTTAATTCACATTATCATTTTAACATTACTCATATCAGTTTATTTAATGTGATTATGTCAATGCCACTTTCCTGCAGTGATATCAACTTTATGGTGTCCAAGAAATCATCAGGAAAATGAGAAACAGTTTATCAAATAGAAGTTTTATAATTTCTTTTAAATAGAAACTATATCACTTAAATACATTGATCAATGTAGTCTAATATATATACATTATGATGATTGAACTATCAACTATTTATTTATATGAATGTTGTTTTAAGCTCATGTTTTAAGAATCTGTATTTAAGAACTATTATTTTCACATCTTAAAACAGTTCAAAAAGTTCAATGACTTTTATCAAATTCTATTACAGTTATGAAGAACTGGTAAATACTGTACGTACTGCAATATATTCTCTAATCAACACCTGAAACATAACAAAAATTGCCAATTAAAAATGACTATTTCTGAATGATATGTGACATTTACTTTCCATGTAACATAAACAAAACAATAAAAATAAAAAAGTTAAATTTCAATACAGACTATTTGTGATTAGTTAAAGGATAGGAGGTAGACAAAAGATTAAGATGTATGATTGTCAACATTTGTATCCAACTAGATTCACGATAGTTCTTCATGGGTCATCATTACAGGTTTTTTCACAAATTTTTCTTGGTTGTGTTTAATGTCAAACCAACACATAAAGGTCATATGATTACTTTCAAGCTTTGCTGAAGGATAAAGACCTCAGATGCCTTTCTGTGCATTATTTATGGCATAAATGGGCACGCGAGTAGAACCACTGATGTTCCGTAAGCTAACTGGATAGCTTCCTCGCATGAAAGAATTTAAAGTCCCTGGTGAAGTTCAACCCACAGCAGTGAGAGGCAAGTGGTTCGAAGTCAAAGACCTTAACCACTCGGCCATGAATGCTCCAGGTTTATTCCACGCACAGACATTAAAAGTAAGTTTTTTACATACAAATATTGAGATTTGGGAAATATGTTACATCCAATTAGTTGTAAACAATCATGGAACAAAATATTTGAGTTTATATACCTGTATAGTGCTCCAGTAAATCTTATTATTCTTTTCTCTGTTCACCAAGCTTGCAGGAACAGATGTGAGTAACATTGATGTTGCAGAGTCTTTTTTCATCCTTATCCCTGATGAAAAATGAATAAGAAAATTAATAGTGTTTCATTTTATCCCTTTACCTGCTGAAACTGAAAGTGATTAACCTTTGCCACCAGTACAAAGCAAGGCCAGGCTGCTCAAACATGCAGTCTGACCAGGCTCTATAATTTCGGTAGCTCAATTTTTGTATTTTGATATTGTAATACCTTAACCTTTGAATGGACTGTTCCAAAGTAAAAGCTGGGAAAATCATTTCTTAAATTCAGCAGTTTAAGAGATAATGCCCTTCACACATGAAAAAGTGACAAGCTGTAACAAATAAATGATTTATCTATGGACATCTTTAAGAAAAGCATAGTTAATACATGACAGCAACCTCTAAATAAGATAGTCTTATCTAACATTAGAAAAGTTTTACCAAGTTTTTGATATAAAAGAGTTGTACCTAGCTTTTGATATCCATCTAGAAATGCAAGTATAGTCCTGATCTCATGCTCAGCAAATGTCATAGTCTGAGGGGGATTAACAACAAAGGGAGCTAACTGTCCACCTTTCACACCTTCCTCAAATGCATCTGTTAAATAAATATAACTCTATTAAAATATTTCAACAAAAAACCTTCTTTAATCATTCAGACTGTACTGTTCAAATAATGTTTTACTAAAAACACTAAATAATAGTGGTCTATAAGATCATATCAGGCAAGCATTAATCTTCTGTATCAAAACTAGAAATGTGTCATCATGCCACGGATGCCCCCGCATGCAGCCAAAATTTCAGATGGTGCATTAATTATTTTTTTCATTTTAAGTTCAAAGCCCTTAAAACTTTTCAATGTTAACACAAACCATTTTCATACAATGTTCAAGGCACTGAAATTATTCAGTCTTAACCTTTTAAAAATAGCATATTGCATATTTGTAGCCAAAATAATGGCTAAAAGTTTGAGTGCTGAAACTGAAAGTTCAAAATTTTTCCAACATTCAGGAAAGATAAGTTTGTCCAAAATCATTGAACCACAACCAAATTCAAACTTAAACTACTTATTCCTAAGATGTATCTATATTATTTTCAAAGTGAAAGGGACATAACTCTGCCAAAAAATCATCAAACCATGACCAAATTCCAACTTGACCTGCCCATTCCTTTGACGCATCCATATGTCAAATTTAAGTTGAATATGTAACACTGTTGGGTAGATAATGAACAGAAACTGTAAATTTCATATTATTTTCAAAGTGAAAGGGGCATTACTCTGCCAAAAATCATTGAACCATGACCAAATTCGAACTTGGCCTGGGCATGCCAAAAACATATCAATATGTCAAATTTGAGTTGAATGTGTTGTACCGTTGGGGAGATAATGAACGGAAACTGAAAATTTCAAATTGTTTTCAAAGTAAAAGGGGCATAACTCTGCCAAAAATCATCGAACCATGACCAAATTCGAACTTGACCTGTATTTTCTCATGACATAACCATATATCAAGTTTGAGTTGAATGTGTTGTACCGTTGGGGAGATAATGAACGGAAACTGAAAATTTCATATTATTTTCAAAGTAAAAGGGGCATAACTCTGCCAAAAATCATTGAACCATGACCAAATTTGAACTTGACCTGTATTTTCTCATGACATATCCATATGTCAAGTTTGAGTTGAATGTGTTGTACCGTTGGGGAGATAATGAATGGAAACTGAAATTTCATATTATTTTCAAAGTAAAAGGGGCATAACTCTGCCAAAAATCATCGAACCATGACCAAAATCGAACTTGACCTGTATTTTCTCATGACATATCCATATGTCGAATTTGAGTTGAATGTGTGCAACCGTTCTTAAGATAATGAACGGAAACTGATGATGACGGAATGTCAGAATGACGGAAGGACGGAAGGACAGAACAGGGTAACACTATATGCCCCGGCCATTACATGGCGGGGGCATAACAATAAAAAATATTAAAATTGTCCAGTCATTAATATACAATACCTTCAGTAAGTATCTCCAATCTGATTCTTTCATGTGCTGCATGCTGATCTATCAACACCAACATTGTCATGTCTGTAATATATATATATATATATATATATATACATTATTTTATCATCTCTGTATTCAACATTACTGAACACATTTGTAATCTAATTCCTTTCTCAACTTACCTCCTGATTTGTCTTTATAGATATAAATTTTCAACACACCAGTTTGTTTGTTTGTTTGTTTCATTTTATGCCTTTTCCCAACAGTATTTCAGTCATATAGGCTGGTATTTTCCTAACCATCGTTCCTGGAGAGTTACACCAGTACTAGACTACTTTCCTCCACGCTAACCTTCAACACACCAACAAGCAAGTATGTATTTGAAATACAATTGAAATTCATTATAAAGTTCAGGAAATTCAAGATCAAAATACTAAGTCTATTAAATCTAATCTGAATGAAAACACACACAGTCATGTAATGATAGTATTGGTTTGCCATTGTCCTTATCAAAGCTCAAAGCTCCACTTCATATTATACTTGAAATATTTATATTTGGTGGACACAACAATTGCTCAAGAAATCTAATACTCCTTTATGTATTTTTATTTTTGCAACAAAAATCATTTTGAGTCACTTACCATGCTAAATAGAACTAAATCATTACCTGTATTTGAACCCTGCTGCTCTGTATTAATCAGACAGGCTATAAACTTCTTGTCCAACTGGCCGAGTACCTTCATTAAAATAACAAAAGCAAATGTAAAACAACTGACAAGTACCTCAAATAAGAGATAAAAGATAAACTGATCAGTACAGCAGTACAAGTATTGAGCCAAGTGTTGATTTATTTTTTTCATACCAGCATGGAACATTAGATAAGAAAGGTAAAAATAAAAACAAATCAGTATGTACTTATAGAATTTCTACCCAACTTTTCAACATGATGAAGGATAAATGATCATTTTCTTACTGATTTTTCCTTCATTGGTAAAATATATACTAAATATGAAATAATTGTTAAAATGTGAGCAAGATTAAATTATTTTCAATTCTCACCTTGACAGATTTCAGAGATTTCTTAGAGAACCTACAAGCATGCAGTTTTCTGACAACATCTGACGGTTTGTTTGACTGTAAAATATTTGATGTTCCAGTTGTCCCAGCCTGTAGTATTAAATAATTAATTACATCAACTTTACAATATATATTTAATGAAATATTAATTTAAGTTTAAGAAACCAAAAAGATATGAAAATAAAGTAGGCATTTTTCAAGAGATTTAAATACTGGTTTTAAAAGTCTTAGTGCAGTTCTTCTTAGGATTCAATAAATAAATTACCACAGTGATATGTGAGCTCTTACTTTGCTTTTATTACTATACCAATACCTTAAAACCAAATATAATTAATGACAATGCAGTTCATTTAAACTAAAAATATAACAAAAAGTTAAAAATGTTGTTTTTTACTATATATAATATTCATTACAAAAATAATTCTATTCAAGATAATTCCCAGTTGCTTTTATACTTACATCTAAATTATTGTACCATGCATTTAAACTGTCCATGGTTCTTAAATCTAAAAAGAAAATAGATTCATAAGGAGGACAAATTCATATTCATTCAAGGCTACTGGTACTTTTGGTTTGGTATACTCAAATATATAAGACAAGTATTACAAAATTAGGAATTTATATTAAGATAATCATTCACTAATGTTTGTTTGTCAATCAGGTTTTTGTCCCCATTTTAGCACATTTTTGGTAATATCTGGGCAATCAGTCATCACCAAATAACCAACAAGTAATTATAAATTTACTCACAAGTGAGCAACAACTAAACCTACAAGATATCTGAATCAGTGATGATAGAGAAATAACTATTAGACTCAATGTCCAAGATTCATGATTATCTTGGAGAATTTTTGCCTTGCCCAAGGATTGACCCAGTAACCCCTGGATTGTAAAGCCTGTGCTCTCCCTATTGTGCTAAGCGGACATAAACAATTTAATCATATAAAGATAAAAATATAGATCATTCAAGAATGTGGATCATAAACACTTACTTTGATCATCCAAAAATGTGCTTTCATCAACCGCTTTAACAGAGTCTTCCCTGTCAACTTTTGTTGAATCTTTATTTTCCTCATGACCATCAGTTCCATCACTTTCTAGCTCCTTGTCCTCAGATTCATCATTTTCATTCAATTTTATTTCATCTCTTAGATAAAATGAGCTGTCAGAAATATCCCATGGTGAATCTCCCCAAAGATTATCAGATTCCTTTTCTTCTGTTTCTTCTACAAAGCTGGGTTCAGTTTCATTTTTCCTTCCCACAAAACCAACGTCCATGTTACTATCTATTTCTGCACACCTACTGTTTGAGCTCAGACTTTTGTTTGTAGTAACTGTAGAACAATCAGAACAAGCATTTGAAAACTGATCATTCTTAACTTCTTTATCATAGTCTACTTTGCCAGAATCAATTCCAGTATCTACATTGACACTGCTGCATGTAGGTGTTTGACTAAACAAATCATCAAAACTGAAACCTTTCATCTTGACCTCTGTTGATTCAGTGCCTGTACCTAATGTATCAGTATCTGCACTTTGTTCTGTACTGACACTCTCAGTTTTCTGTGGAGTTCTGAATAACTGAGTCAATGTGATTGATTCACTATAAGCAAAGCTAATTATCTTATCTTCTGTACTTGTTAACATTGCTTTTTCTTCTAAAACTTTATCACCTTCATCATACTTGTTGGTTTCAATTTCAATCTTCAATTCAATGTCTTTTCCTGATTCATTTGTGCAATCTTTTCCATTTATTTCTTCTTTCTCTTTATCATTTCTAATGCTTTGTTCAACATTTCCTTCAATACTTTCACTTGGATCAAAACCTGTAGAGCATGGAGTAGTGCTAGCTTCAATTATAAGTTTTGGACTGAAACCCATGGATTCTGGTGTCTTTGAGTTTTCAATGATATAATTTTCCTCAAGACTAACATCAACTGTTTCAACCTGTGGGCTCATTCTTGGGCTAAATGCCTGTGTGCTGGCAATAAAAGTATCTACATGCATTTCATTTTTCTCTACTTCATTATTTGCACTGATTAAAACATCATTATGTTCAGCCTCATCAGGTCCTTTCTCTATCTTATTTTCATTCATTCCTTCAATGCAAACTTGTTTCTCAGGCACATGTCTAACACTATCTGTCCTTATACAAGGTGAATTATTCCCTGTGCACACTCTATTAACATGATCACAGATGTTTACGGGGTTAAAATTCTCAGAGGTTTCAATATCTTCATAATTTATATCTATTTTATCACAATCAGTTTTATTGCACATATTGCCATACCTATCACAGTTAGCTTTGTTAAATGTTACATCCATTCTAAGTTCTTCAAGAGCTAATGGTCTTGCAGTATACCTGAATTGTTTTTCTGGCACAGGTGATAAGTCTGAATCTAAACAGGATCTTTTCCTCTCAAAAATTGCATTTCTGAAATCATTGTCAGGAATACCATCAAGTCTCTGATCACTTTTTTCAACATATAATGAATGACATTGAGCACTATGAAGCTCTCCCATATCAATGATGCTGCCCTTTCTCTCAGGTCCTTCAATGTCCGTATATAGAAGACTTACTTCTCCATTCGGCTTATCTTCAGTATTGTTTGCTGATGTATTAAATTTCTGGTCATCTATATGACCATATTCATCTCTAATATTGTTATAACATAGTGAAAACTTAAACTGTTTATCTTCAGCGGAGTTACTTGTTTTATTCTCATCAAGATCTAAGGAATAAACTTTACTACATTCTGTATTTATGGAGGTATTAATTGTACCCTGTTTCTCTTTTGAAGTGGTTGCTAATTGAACATCATTTTCATACACATTTGAGCCATTATAACTTGAGAGATTTATATCTGGTGTTGCAAATGCTTTTGGCATTGTTTCTGACTTATCTCTATATTGCATATGATTAGATCTTTCCCTGTTATCTTCTCCTAAATTAAAACTGTTTGCTTTTTTGTCCTCTGCTTGGTTTATTTTTGTCTCTGCAGCAGTATTTCTAATCTCAACTTTTCTTCGAAACTTTTGCAGCGAGCTGACTAATGTTTTACTATTTGTCTTGGAAGAGGATGGCATTATCCTATCCAATTTCTTAAGACTCTCGTCGATATTGACTTTCTTAGCCGGTCTACCTGTAAATTTACCAATAGACTCTCTAAACATTGAAAGACTGCATTTAGTTGTTGGGTTGCAATATTTCTTATTGTCAGATTTTCCAACCTGAGCTTTTGAGTTTGTCCAACTATCTGCATCATTTCTATCATTTTTATCTTTTACAGATATTTGTATTTCATTGTCAAATGATTCATCAGTACTTGGTGTGTCATCTGTTGTTGTAGTTGTTTCAATTTCTGAGTCTGTATCAGTTTCTACCTCAATATTTCTATTTCCTAGACCTCTTACACCTTTAACTGATACTTTTGCATTATTAGCTGGGGTTTTAAAAGCATCTATCTTTACCAAAGATTCAGCAGAATTATCTTCACCAGAGTTTCTATCATCTGAAGATTCTTTCACAACATTTGTTACCTTCTTAACCAACTTTGATGACAGCATATCTTTCATATTATCAGCTGATATCACTGGTTTTTCTTGCTTTTTATTTTCAGTTGCAGTGATTGCATTATAAAATCTGCTTTGAACTTCATCTGTTTTAACAACAATGTTCTCCTTGTCAAGAAATGATGTTGTGACTTCTTCAACACATTCTAGAACTGTGTCCCAATCTTTGAATTCTACCATAGTCTTTGTTGGTTCAAAAGTAATGTCATATTCTGAGATGGGGCATTTAAATTCCAAAACATAAACTGGATATGCCTCTGAAAACTTTGGTGGACTAGAAAACAGATTTTGTTTGATACTTAGCATCTGTGGTGATTTAGAGGAAGGTCTTAGTTTTGGCTTAAGTGCTGGAAGATTCAACAATAGTTTATTAAGCAACTTATGTACTTTGGTTTTCTTAACTATGCGTCCATTAATGTAAATAAGCTGAAGATTCTTTCTTTGATGGCCTTCTCTACCAATGTATCCTTGTACTTGAAACAACTGTTTTGAACCTCTGACCTCAACAAGCATGTCAGCTTTTGCTGAGCCATATAACTGGCCAAATGTTGAATTAACACTAGCACACTTTCTTGTTGATAAAACCATTTGTCCTGTAGAATCATTACGCAGTGTGAACGATATTCCGGGCCTGATAAGAGCGACTCCTTCGAGCATTTCTCTTATTCTTTCCATCTCTAAATTCTTATTCATAGATTTCTGTCTAACAGGAAAATTACTGAACAATTCATGCACAGTGATGGTTGTCCCTACACTTGGCCTGACTATTGTTGATTCAGCAACTTTTAAACTTTTGCCATTCTGGAAAATTTTACAGTATGTTTTACTGCTAAGTTTAGACTGTGTTGTTATTTCAAATATACCACAGGAGTCCCTTATACTGGCAAGGGCTTCACCACGATACCCAAAGTGACACAAATTATTAAGGTCTTCTATAGTGTGACACTTACTTGTACAAAACCTATTTAAAAAGAAAATAAATTCATTATTTTCAATATGTAGAAACATACATGTGTTCAATATCAATGATGTTTATTACATACTTAATATCTGGCATTGTAGCACCTAGAATGATAAACATGTTCAACCTACCCATGGTTTTAATTACATATATTTAAAAAGAGCTGTATAAAGAACAACAGGTTTGATCTTCAATGCTTAAAGTCTGCTGAAAAAATCATAGTCAAAAACAGTGCTTAATTATGTCAAAATCCAAGAGAGAGCTATGACCTGTTGGCCAATGTAGGTGATGGTCATGAACAAGTATCCCAAGTTTCAAACCAACACCTCAACAGGTTGAGTTAAAAAATAAAGAGTGGTATAAAAAAAACTTAACAAACATCTGACTGACATGAATGCAGATGCCAAAATTTTTGTGAGTAGAATAGCTTCAGCTACTAAGCTACTACTATTCATTCTACTCAAATAAATGATTTTTGTCTCAAATTTGTGCAATTTAAACAACATTATTATTTTATATTTCAAAACTAGTCCCTATTTAGACATGCATTTCAAAAGGGAATAAAATGTGTAAACTCTCAAAATTGGTACTCTAAGCAAAGAATCATAAACCCTAATAGCTGCAATGCACATCATAATTTTCGCTGTTAATATCAGATACTTCCAAATATTTTAAATAACTAAGTACATGTATGTCATTGTGATTACATGTATTATAAGACAATATTAACAATTTTATACAGTAATATCTAAAATTCTTTTTCACAAATTACAGAAATTTAAAAAAATGTTTCTACCTATTTCCTAAAATATCAAGCTGATCATTTGGCACACCAGTTCCATTGTCAACAACTTGAACTTTAAAACAATTAAGATCAAGTCTCACAGCCACACAAGTTGCTCCTGCATCCAGTGAGTTTAGGACAAGTTCCTCCACACATTGTGTTACACTGGTGATGGCAACACCTGATCTTAAATAAGACCTTACATTTGATGGTAGAGGTTGTATCTTCATTGTAGAAATTTACTACTTCAACTTTGGTTTTTTATTATTAAAGATGTATACATCTGAAGAAAAAAATCAATATTGTTATCATTTAAGACATACATATATTGGGCTACTTCACTTTGGTAGGACTCAATTCCTCATATGATCTGATGATAGAAACAGACTTTCTCAAAATTTGCTAAATAATGCAACAATGTGACTTGATGTCGTGTCAATTTTGATGTGATCCTTCTGGTAAAGCAAGTAAATGAAATCAAAGTAGTCTATTATTTTTTAACAATGCCCTGGCAGTGTCAAGACTGTTTCTCAACTAGAGTCAGTGTACCCGGTTTCGCACAGGACCCGCCCGGTCCCGCACACTTTCCCATTTTTCATTTTATCTTGAAAATTCAAATTGATTCTTTTGTTTAAAATAATAGCAAACTCTTAATAAAAAAATCATAACTAAATAGATGAAAAAACTTTCAATAATAATTTTTTATGTCTGTGTTTACTACCTACATGTTGTAAAAAATTATGTTTCCATTGCTGTTACACGTTTCCTGTGTGCTACTATGCTTGGAAATAAATGTTTGTATACTGTAGTATGAATGTGCATTAAATTTATTTGAAGTCCTGAAATTTTCAAAAAAATATATCTTATCTGGACTAAGAGATGTTAAATAATTTATAAAACATGTTTAAGATGTAAAATAACCTTTCAGTATAAAATGGCCTTGTGTGCGGAACCGAGTCCACTATTTATTATATTTGGCCAATTCCTGTTGCTTAAAATCAAGTGCTCAAGATAGAAACATTTTGGTCATCAGAGGCAAAGGATGTAATTTTCAAAATAATATCAATTATAAGAAGAATTTTTAACTATAAGATAATTTTCTTATTTTTCCTTAAAAAAAAGTGTACGACACCGGGCACACTTACTCTAAACCTTTCAATAATTTAAAGCTACTGCTAAGAAAACATTTTATGATAACAAGTACAAACAGTGTAACGGACGTGTTTCATATAGCGGAGTTTATTTAGAGATTTTCAAATTAACTATCAAACTTTTGTAAAAACTTTTTATACCATGAAAAAGATCATTCTACGGATATTAAAGTGATTAAAGGATTTTTCTTGAAAAAACGGAATAAACTGTGTAAAAGTAAGACAATTTTGGAAAAATTGATACTTTTTTACGTACTAAATATTGACAAATTTACGGTTGACTAACTATAAATCGTTGACCAGTAACACCGTCCATTGTCCTGTACGTTATGTCACGCAATATATAGGAGATTAATATACAGTAAACGTCATTCAAAATTTTAAAAACTACGGAAGACAGAAGGGGACACATTACTTAAAATCGGAATTCTTTCTTAAAAATGGGCATTGATACTGCGATTTACAGAATCCGAAGTGGAACATTTTACATTAAGAGCAAACGTAACCTGAAGAGTAAGGCAAGTGTTTCCCTGTCATCAAAACGCCAGCTTACGACACGAGCTTGTATTATAGCAACATGGATACTTATTCTTACTATTCTAATCTGTGCAGCAATATCATTGCCGGTATTGCTCTCATTTATCAACCGAAATGTTGACAATTCTTTTAACATTGGCAATAGCGACATTAAGACATTAGGTGAAACAGCATCAGCAGCCGAAATGGACAATTTGCTGTCATCGATATCGTTTCACGATAGTCTACTATTAGCAGGTGATGTGGAATTAAATCCCGGACCAATTAACGATGAACGAAAAGATAAAATATTAAAAGCAATCAAAGACTCTGAACTCAAGCTGCTCGGGCGTATAGATAGTTTAGACATTGAAATAAACTCGATCAAAAGTGAGCTAAGCCAAGTAAAACAACAATTTCGAATATCACAAAATGAAATTATAAAAATGAAAGAAAATCAAATACAACAGTCAGATGCATTGGCAAGCCTAAAATTGGAAAACGAGCAAGTGAGAGATATTTGTGAATCCTTACAGTTAGACAACGAGCACCTAAATACTCAAATCGAGATGAAAGCAGATAAAATTGACAAGCTGATAGAAAACGTAGAGTTACTTGAACGTGAATCACGAAAATGCAATATGCGGATATTTGGCCTAAAACAGCAACCAAATGAAACTGAGCATGATTTAAAACAAATGATTGTTGATAATGTTCTCAAAGTCGCTTACACCGACGCAGATTGGGAAAAAGATGACATTTCGAATGCATATAGAATCCGGAAACCAAACGGAAATAACGAAAGGCTTGTGATTATGAAATTTAGATTTGACGATGATAAAACAAAAATCTACAAAGGTAGGGATAAATTAAGAGTGAAAGGTGTGCGAGTTGCAGACGACTTGACTCAGAGTCAGCAATACCAACTGCAAACAATTAAAGATAGAGGGAAAATAGGATATTTCTACAAAGGCAACTTAGTTGTAAAAAACTATCCAAATCCATCACAGAACTCGGATAAAGAACGGTCATTTCGGTCTGCAAAAAGACAGATACCTCAAAGATCAGAAGATGCTTGTCCGGTATTCAGTCAAATTGTACCGCAACCTATGTCTTTAGCTACCGATGAACATGCACAAACCAAACAGGTAATAGAAATTAAATAGGATGTAGGCCGAGGCCCAAATATAAATTCGATCAGTATTGGTAGTTGGAATATTGAAGGTCTTAAAGACAAAACAGAAGATACAGAATTTGAAAACTATTTAAAAACTTTTGAACTTATATCATTATTAGAATCATGGGTAGAGATGGAAAATGAAATAGAACATTTTTTACCAGAGTACGATCGCATATTTTTACCAGCAGTTAGAAGTTCACATTATGGAAGAGCGATGGGCGGAATTGTAATTTATATCAGACAAGATATATCGAAATTTATCACGAGAATAAACGTGCAATGTGATTTTGGAATATTTTTGAAATTCACAAATCTTTATCCATTGCAAATGTTGATATTGTATTAGGCTGTGTATATATACCACCAGAGAAATCCCCATTTTACTCAGATAGAGTCACTAAAGGTATTGAAATGTTAGAAGAAGCTATTTTAGACATCGATATAAATGAACAATATGACCTTATGTTACTCGGAGATTTTAATGCCAAAACAGGCCTGAAATCTGACCTACTCAATATAGATACATTCAATACAGAATAGGAACAGTGTGAAGAAATATTAAATGATAATGAAATCATAGACAGAAATTCACGGGATACAGTAATGAATTCATTTGGAAGAAAACTTATAGAACTATGTCTAACATATAATCTATACGTAATAAATGGTAGAAAAAACAACGATAATGGTGGTGAGTACACTTTTGTCGGATCAAGAGGATGCAGCGTCATAGACTACTTGATAGATAGTAAAACATTATTTTATAACATATCTTATTTTATTGTTGGCGATAGAACTGAAAGCCAACATTTTCCTATCCTGTTTAAACTAAATACAGTGCAAATGAACTTAAATGGAGATATTTGAAAATGAAAATACTAACAAGAGAGAGAAATATGTATTCAATAAAGAAAATACATCACTTTATATGACAAAATTGGAAGAAAAAGTATCATCAAAATGGTTAAATGAATTTATAATGGAAATTAAAAATAACAACACAAACATAAATACAATTGTAGACAAGTTAAACAACTTATTTTACGAATGTGGTGAATGCTGTTTGAAAAGATATAAAACACCATATCAAAGATCTCAACCAAAGTGGTTTGATAACTCATGTAAAGAGCTGAAAACAACTAAGTACCGACTACTACGAGTATATAGACAAAGTAGAGGTGAAAATGACCTTGAAGCATATATTGAGGCTAAAACAATATTTAAAAAACATTGTGAAAAGGTTAAATCAGAATTCTATAATAAAGAGCTAGACAACCTCATTGAACAGACAAACGACCCTAAAGGCTTTTGGAATAAGCTAAAAAATATGACACAAAGTAAAAGAAAAGTGGTTAACAATATAAGTGATGAAGAATGGTTAACACACTTTGAACGATTATTTGAAAGCACAATCACAGATGAAAATGTTATCCTACAAGACAACCAGCTTTATGAAGACTTTGATGACTTAGATCAATTCATTTTCAATTCCGAGATATCAGATGAAGAGGTATTACGATCTGTTAAAAAGCTAAAAGCTGGGAAAAGCGGTGGTGAAGACAAACTCATACCAGAATTTTTCATTAGTAGTATTGATAAAATTCTACCATTGTTAACAAGTTTATATAATAGACTGTTCGAAATGGTGAATTTCCAGCAAATTGGAATAAAGCAAACATTGTAGTGATTCACAAAAAGGGAGATATAAACGATCCGAATAATTTTCGTGGAATCTCATTGTTAGATATACTTGGAAAGATATATACAGGTATACTTACTAGAAGACTGAATTTTTATATAAATGTATACGATAAAATTGCAGAAGAGCAAGCTGGATTTCGAGAAGGATATAGCACCATTGACAACGCTTTCATATTAAATGCTCTTATACAAAAACAATTATCAAACTAGAAATGTGTCATCATGCCACGGATGCCCCCGCATGCAGCCAAAATTTCAAATGTTATAATATTTAGTTCCAAATTGGTTTGCACAAATTATTTTTTTCATTCTATGTTCAAAGCCCTTAAAACTTTTCAATGTTTACACAAACCATTTTTATACAATGTTCAAGGCACTGAAATTATTCAGTCTTAACCTTTTGAAAATAGCATATTGCATATTTGTAGCCAAAATAATGGCTATATACATTTCCACAAAAGTATGAGTGCTGAAACTGAAAGTCCAAAATTTTTCCAACATTCAGGAAAGATAAGTTTGTCCAAAATCAATGAACAACGACCAAATTCCAACTTAAACCGCTTATTCCTAAGATGTATCTATATTATTTTCAAAGTGAAAGGGACATAACTCTGCGAAAAAATCATCGAACCATGACCAAATTCCAACTTGACCTGCGCATTCCTTTGACATATCCATATGTCAATTTTGAGTTGAATATGTAACACTGTTGGGTTGATAATGAACAGAAACTGTAAATTTCATATCATTTTCAAAGTGAAAGGGGCATTACTCTGCCAATAATCATTGAACCATGACCAAATTCGAACTTGGCCTGCGCATTCCAAAAACATATCCATATGTCAAATTTGAGTTAAATGTGTAATACTGTTGGGGAGATATTAAACGGAAACTGAAAATTTCATATTATTTTTAAAGTGAAAGGGGCATAACTCTGCCAAAAATCATCGAACCATGACCAAATTTGAACTTGACCTGCGTATTCCTTTGACATATCCATATGTCAAATTTGAGTTGAATGTGTAATACTGTTGGGGAGATAATAAACGGAAACTGAAAATTTCATATTATTTTCAAAGTAAAAGGGGCATAACTCTGCCAAAAATCATCAAACCATGACCAAATTTGAACTTGACCTGTATTTTCTCATGACATAACCATATGTCAAGTTTGAGTTGAATGTGTTGTACCGTTGGGGAGATAATGAACGGAAACTGAAAATTTCATATTATTTTCAAAGTAAAAGGGGCATAACTCGGCCAAAAATCATCGAACCATGACCAATTTCGAACTTGACCTGTATTTTCTCATGACATATCTATATGTCAAATTTGAGTTCAATATGTGCAACGGTTATTAGGATAATGAACGGAAACCTATGATGACAGAAGGACGGAATGACGGAATGACGGAACAGGGTAACACTATATGCCCTTGCCATTATATGGCGGGGGCATAAAAAGGGAGGAAAACTTTATGTGGCTTTCGTTGATTTTGAAAAGGCGTTTGACACTATTAATAGACAAAAGTTATGGTCGGTCCTTAGAAAGAATGGTATACGTGGCAAACTTTTTTATGCACTACAAAGTATCTATAAAAATGTCAAAGCATCTGTCATAACAAATACTGGTCAAACAACAGACTTCAATTGCCCGAATGGATTAAAGCAAGGGTGCTTGGCCAGCACAACTCTATTCATCCTCTACATCAACGAGCTTATTGACAGAATCAACACTTCAGGGTATACCGGTATACAACTTTTCCCAGATCAGACACAAATATTATCATTACTATTTGCAGATGACCTGGCATTGACAGCAGACACTGTATTAGGTCTTCAAAAACTTTTAAACTTATTAGAAGTATTTTGTGCTGAAAAAGATTTAAAATGTAATACAAAAAAAACTAAAATATTAGTATTCAAAAATGGTGGAAAATTAACTAAACAAGTCATGAAAAGTGGATGTACAACTTTGTCAAGAAGACCAATGTATTGAAACGGAATATCACTAAATGTTCTTGTTTGCAATTCATACAGCTCTCTAAGGAAGCTGTATATTCCTAGAAAATATTGGGTTTTACCATCAATTAACAAGTTTAACATACTCATGAATACTGACTCAGAATCGCTGTTGTTAAATTTAGCTAAATTCATATTTTATGGTCTACAATATAGATCTGAACAAATTGGTTAAATCAATTTCTACCAATATTTATATGACATCTAAGTATATGAAAATTTTATTTTTAAATGTAATGAAGTTAAACTCACATAACACATACTAAAATTGATACAAATCAAAGTGTCGGTTTCTTCAATTGAAGGAACATTTATGCTTTATTTATACATTGTTAGCAAACGTGTGCAAATTGTTAATGCAATATGATTAAATTCTACATTAAGTCTATTATTGTTGATTCAAAATTTTTCAATGTATACATTTGAGTTTGCGATAAACTACGTTTTAGCATGTTTTGCCTTACATTTTGTTTCGGATAAGGTTAAACTGTTGAAAATGTATCAAATTAATTCTCAATTACAATTTCTATTCCAGACAAACTTTATAAAAAGATTTTTCTCTATTAAAATAGCAGTGAATTTTGATGATATACATGTATTACTGTATTTGACTATTACCATAATACTTTTACACTGTTTTGTACATATCCTGGTTGTACTATCTACCGGGAGTGTAAGCCTTACTAGGCCCACCATCATATAATACAAAAAAAACTAAAATAAAATAGTTATTTTCTGTAGGAGGTACCGTTTTTTGATGAAAATAACAATCATCCAAAAGAATTTTTAACTATACATCAAAAAGATAGTTCTGTTAATAACCTCATATGAGTGGCAGCCATTTTTGTTTTTAAGTACTTAATACCAGGAATGCCTTTTAAGCAATCAATAAAAAGTTAAAAACATATGTAAATGGTCCATTACTGTTAATGATACTAAAGTTCTATTCAATATTTATCGGTTATCACACAGTAAAAGGGTAACTATTTGATAAGCATTTGCACACACATTCAAAATATCATGATGGGTCCAAATCATTAGCAATATTACTGGTTTTTATACGTAAAACACATTTATGTGAATAGGGTTATTAAAACTTTGAACTTTCTTCAAAAAATGCTATATTTTGTATGAAATTAATGTGAAAAACACTTGCATACAAAAGAAAATTTTTATTTAGGTATTGTTTGTAATATCTGGACATTCCCGGTACAAAGTACCTCCCGGTATAAAGTACCTTAGGATATGTAAACAAAAAACTTGTAAACTATGTTTTGTTTTGGGCTGGTGGCCTATGAAGCAATAAAGATATTGTATTGTATTGTATTGATATTTCAGAAAAAATACACTCACCATTTCAAAAACATTTTTGAAAAAAGAACAACAATAGATTGAACCTCTTTAATTAATCAATGAAATTATTCATGAAAGGTTCGAATAATATTAGAACGAATAATAAGTTATCAACTTTCAACACATTACAGTGAAAATTTACAGAACATGACAGGTGGAACGAAAGCAATAATGTTTTACTCATATACGTACATAATGTCCAGCATAACTGTTCTTTTGAATCAGTGAAAAAATAACACTGTATCAGTTGTGCTTCTATAACTATGTTTATAAGCTGTCAAAACGCTTGGTAAGCACTATTTCGTACTTAAAACCTGGACGTCGTATCTAACCGTACTTATACCGTGCCTTTTCCCGTAAGTTGGGACGGTTTTTAAACCCACTAAACTATGTACAAGATTAAGAGCCAGACGTAAAAAGAAATCAAAGCCAGCAACAAGCTTTACAAAATTTACTTTATTAAAGGTACAATGTTAATTTTTTGTCCCAGGTGGAATCAAAGAGATATATTTATCTGGGACAGAAAGATACACATTATTAAGAAAAATAATTAGTCCCAGATTATATATCTAAGTCTCTGGTTGAATACAATTTAAATATCTTTTTAACAATTCAAAATAGTCGAAATAATTCTAATCCTGCATGGTTTATGTTCTTTTTTTTCTAATTTAAGATCAAATAGTTGGAAAGTGTTGGGCCTTAATCCTCCACATAATCGTATAGCTAGGTAGCCCTGTGCAGGAACATTAAATATGTTGCCAAATAAATAAAATATAATCTTTATTCTCAGAAAAAAGTTTCTGAGTTACATATAAATCCGTGACTTTACTTTTTACCATCATTTTGAAGTCGTTCTTTTCCGTTATCATGCTGTATGTAAATTATATCTGCACAGGCTTAGGTGGCTGATTTGGTACGCTTTAGTGCGTCGCGTTGGCGCAAGCGACAACATGACAATGCGCCAAACGGCGCGTTGTCGCGCTGTCGTCCTGTAGCGCGGCACGCTAAACGGCGTGTTGTCGCGCGGCGTGTTGTCGCAATGTCACATTGTCACTCGGTTGAAATTGAAGGATTGGCTTATAAGCAAAGCGACAGGGCGACATCGCGACAACGCGCCGCACGACAAAGCGCCGTTTGGCGTGCCGCATTAGAAACAGGACGACAAGACGAAAGTCCGACAACGCGCCGGCTTTTTGTCATGTTGTCGCTAGCGCCAACTAGACGCACAAAAAGCGTACCGAATCAGCCACCATTATGCAAAGTTTTATTTGCGCTACGCCCTCATGAAGTGATTGCAATTTTATTACTTCTCGGTGTGATACATTTGTACATAGCTGAAATTCACTAAAAACAAATGTCCTCTGTCTTTTCATTCTTTATTTCCGGGTTGTATCAGTGAAATAAAATCCATATCACTCACTGCATATCACTCACTCCGCGGATGATACAGTGCTAGCTTTGCCAAACATTCTTTGTATAAATTGTTAAAAGTTACACCCATCGCCACGATGACTTTAAACATGACTTCTTGCTCGCGCGGCTGCTGAATGTTTGAATAAAGAAAATAAGAATCCCTAAAGAAAGCCCAACACGAAAATTGAAAATGTTGCAGGCTCGGTTTGATTGAGCCTGTTCATGGACGGTACTGTCAAGTGCAAACTACCGTCCACGCCCCTAGCATCTTTATGTGCATCTGCTTGCCGTGCTTACTTATAAAAATCAGTGAGATACAAAATGTATATAATAATATCCGCTCACTTAAAGTGTTTGTTTGTTGTTGTTGTTTTTTTGGCCAAAAGAAATGTATTAGATGCCTTATTTACGATATTTGAGTGAATATCGCAAATGGGAAACATCGTGATGTATATAAGCGATTTAAAGATTGTGGCTTGTTAAAATATGACTGCAGTTGACTTTCACGGAACGCAGCTCTGACAGCCTCCACACGGGAAAAAACACTCAGCAGGGCACCAAACAATACTTTGTTTCATTGGCCACAATTATATATTAACCTGTCCAACAATGAATTGAAAAGAGAACAAATTTATAAGAAAAGTACCAGAAGATTTTCCTCTTAGAAATATATGGCAGCGGTTTAATGTTCAATTACGTTAAACATCAGACAACTGGCAAGAAAAGCAGTCATTTCTCTGAATGACCTGATAGTATAACGTTTATATACATTATCAACATTTACAAAAAACTTCACGTAAATCAAACGACAACAAACATTGTTCCATGAAACTTCTGACGTTTTATGTGAAGATTTTACTAATCCTTTATTTTTACATGTGAAAGGACAACAAATTTGTCGGCTTTTTGTTAAGTATATTGTTAAGTGTCTAGGAAGGTTTTTTTAAAATGTAGACTGTTTTTCTAAAACTTGCAATGCAGAAAAACTTTATATATACTTAAAGGGAAGCAAGCTTATATAAGGGTTCTAGCTAACAAACACTAATAAAGTGTCTTGTCACAGAGCCATGTTTAATCTAGATCTGTACACGTAATATTATAAGTCTCTGGTCCTGTAAAATGTGCAGCTCTAGAATCATATATGGATTGAACACTTCTTTCTTAAAAACAATACTTTTACGTCCCAGTGGATCGAATGCGTAATAACTCTGCTGTATTCGCCGGGGTGTATGGGAAAGTCAGAGTTTCTAAATGACAAGTAATGGCTTCTGTCAATTTGCCAAAGTTCATTTCAAAGGGCATTCTGCCTTATAAGTAACACCAAACAATTATATTTACAAAAAGTATATTAGCAGTGCTTTTGGTAGAAGTGCTTATACGAAGTTATGCATTCTTCTTTTCCGCTAGCCGCAGCTTTCATCAACAGGTAGATGGGAGAGCATACATAGCTTAAATTTATTCTGAACAAAAAACAAAACAAAACAAAAACATGTTTTTTAAATGATAGTGTTCAAATGTAGGTGATACTTTTTGTCAAAAAATGAGGCTGACAGAAGAAAGTGTACTGTATAATATGTTTTGCTTATTTTCTTCAAACTGAAAAGGTAAGCGCATATTAGGCCTAATAAATAGACGCGATGTGAAATAAAATTGGTATTTGAAAATAGCTTTGAAAATGCTGATATGTTGGTATTATTTACATATCTCAACACTTGCGGATCTCCATTTCCTTATAATTAGTATTTAATACATTTTTTTCCGCCACTATTCACTGTGTTTATAAATTGTTGCGTTGAAACTGAATTTTTGATTGAATTTACCATCACTTAATTAACAGAATAAGCGTAACGAAACAGAAAGCGACTTTAATTTATTTCCTATCGTCAATGTTAATTTTGACCAGTGTGTTTAAGATAAATAATACGAGTCCTGTCACATTTATAAATTTTGAAGGATTCGCGGGAAATAGCGACAGCTGTGACGCAATCAATGAATGGAGTATTAACATGACGTCATAAAAAACGAACTTCAATTCTTATAGCGTCATCACCGATTCTAAAATATGGCGGACTTCATATTTTTTGCTATGTAAAAATGTGGAAAAGATGAGTTCTTTGCCATGGATCACCATAATTTTTGTACATATAATACAAATAGGTATGAATTAATGATTGTTTTATAATTATTTGACCATTATAATCTACTATTGTTATCTTTCTTCGGAATTTTGTCCACCTGTGTTTTCCAACTGTTGCAGAACGGCAGAATTCGTTCTTAATTAGATACATTTGTACATGTATGTATAATTATGATTATGATAGACAGAACCTAGAGCTCTACTTTAAAACTGACTGTAAGTTAAGATGGATACAGTGGTAAAAGTAATGCTCAAAGGCAACGATGCCTCCAGGGTCCTCAAGAATTTCGAAACAGGGTGTTCTGAGGATTTTGATTGTACTGGAATTACTGGTGAAAGGTTTGAAAATAACCCATTTTGCAGACTCCCTTTTCCCTGCTGTTGAGTGACTCTTTGGCAACAAGAAAGTGTTTATCTTCAGGTGACAGCTAAACAAGAAGTGTTCCTCCCAAATAATAAGACTTTTTAAAGAGACACTAAGATAATTTAGTTTTGTACTGACCCCCCATGCCCCCACTCCCTCCTCCAAGCCCCCACTTGGTTTTTACATGTAATTGTTATTTTCAAAACTACATGAAAATTCAGAAAAACTCTTAGAAAAAGAATAAATCAGTAACAATTATTAACAAAAACACAATGCAAAGGTAATAAAATTATATTGTTTAGAAATACTGACCTGAGAATCAGATTTTTTGAATTTCTGGAGGTTTTTAGTTAATTTCCATAATGAATTATAATTTACCCCTAGGATTTTGATGATAGTATAGATCTGATAATAAATTAATAAATATTGCTTAGTGGTGGCCTAGTGGTAAGTACATAACAACAGAATTGTGACCATGTAGTTGCAAGTTTGAATCTTGGAGTGGACACACCTTCTTTTTGTATTTTTCATAAACGAATTTTGTATTATTTCTTTTAACTTAATATTTAATTTAATACACAAGTTGGTAAATTGTGTGTTTCATTTCCAGTATTTTTTCTATTTCATAATTTTTATAAATAAATATTTCTTTCATTCCGATCATTGATTTCAATATGTACAATTCACATACATAACACAAAATGGTCAAATTTTGCAAATTATTATACAATTCATACAAGAAAACATAAAAAATTTCATTTGATTTGAACCTACAATCTTAACTAACTGAAAGTCTAACACCTTGTCACCGAGGCTAGTAAGGCAAGTGATATGCTTTTAATTTTAAGTTATACATATTATGATATACTGTTGTACCATACATTAAAATACATACGGTTTTCTTCAGATTCCGATATTTAACCTAAAAAAGGTCATTGAATATTTAAATGTCTTGGGTCATTATTGCTAAACAATACTCTTTGTATAACTGCAAAATGAATTTCATTCATCCTGCCCTCTGAATTTTTTATCTTTTGATTGAATGATTTTAGGCTGAGTTATGGCCCTTGTAAAAGGTGTTTTGGCCTGTGAATGATTTCTTGGTATTAATTCTTACTTTCTTCACATTACAGAAAACACTCAAACACCAATAAAGTCAATTTACATTAATTTTCCAAACACCACTTAATAGAACTGCTACATTGTAACTTGAAAATTCTCAAAAATTGTTAGGATTTCTCTCAATCAATCAAGGCATGTGAATTTTTATGAAAAGACAGTAAGACAAACTTTACTTGTAGTCAGTCGGTTGACTTGTATACAGTACAAAACATAAGCTTTAAGCTAAAAAAATGTATCCGACATGAACAAAAGATAAAATAAAAATAAACAAACAACTGTGAAGACAATAATATATACAAATAATTCCTTTTGTCGTTGTAATGAAATCAAAGCATTTAAAATGAAAAATTAAAAACAAACAAAAACAAGAACGTGTTTGATAAACACAAATGCCCCAGCCCAGATTCTTCTCAGTACAATTTTTCAAAAAATGTGTACCAAATCACTCAGTTATGAGTATTTTTAAAAGGTCATTGTTAAATTTTTCCTTTTTTTTTGTTTTGGTATTTTTTTCTGTTTTTAAAGGCATTTACTTTTCAGTTAAAATATAAATCAAGGTTGATATACATGCATCTGAAATATGGTAACAAATACATATACTTGTTGATAGTGATATATATACATGTACTTATCCAAAATTTTGTGTTTTTTCCAGGTCCTACTGGTATTGAAGCAAGTAAACCTGATGTCTTAGAGCGGAAGCATATTACTCTCAGCACATGCGCAAAGGCATGTCTAGATGAAACAAAGCTAAAGTGCAAATATTTCAAGTTTATAAAGACAAGTGGTACTTGTTATCTGTCAGCAAAGGACCATCCAAATTTTAGTATACACCCAAATAACACCACTGCAGGTATTTACTTATATAAATTATTAAATATTAATTTAGGAAATAATATTGGTCTTAGCGGTGTTTATCGGCTATTTATTACCGCTTTGGAGTTTTGATGCATAGGAATGGACCACGAAAGCCGTAGGCCTGAGTGGTTAATTTTGCATCAAAATGACAAAACCAGTGTTAAATAGTGAATAAAAACCGCTCAGACTGATATTATTTCGATTCTAAGTTACAAGATAAAATATAAAGGAAGATCACTTATTTTATTTTTATTCAAGTGGACATTACTTCCAGTGCTGAATTTTGTTTAATGCTGTTTGTTTTTCACACCCTACTGTTGCTGAGATATAGAATTTAAGAAATTATAAACAGGAAAAAAAAAGTTATTTTATCAAGTTTTCAACAATAAAATGTTATGTCTCAGACTGGATTGTATTGTGTTTACATCATTGTTTGATTAATCATTCTCGTATGCTTGAAATGACATCATTCTAGCGCTTTTAAGAATGAGTTGTATACTTAATTAGGGTGACATCATTAGGCTGCTTACAGATTGGCACCATTTTGTCAAAATATTTATTAACTGATAATGATCAAATTTGTGGCATTAGTGTATGTGAGATATTATTTCAGTTTTGTATGAAAAAGAAAACATTATAAGATCTGAAAATATCAATAAAATGCTTTTTTATTCAATATTGTTGCTTTAAAAGGCTTTGTAAACTATATAATCGAGGGAGAAAACATAACAGCCGAATATATAAAAAGTCCCTAACCATTGTTTATTGGCAGTTTAAAACCATAACCATTGTTTATTGGCAGTTTAAAACCATTTTTTTTCTTCTTTGTTTATAGTGACAAAATCACGAGGAATGTTAGAATTTTACATAAAACGCAATTTAAGAAATGTTAGGGTTTTTTGAAAATATCTACGTTACTGTGTACCCGTTAAAATCTAATATGTAGAGTGACCCATATATTAGAATCTTTAATGAAATTTCTCTGAAATTAGTAACTTTATCCTTATACATGTAACATTTACTGATAACAAATAATTGCCATTCTACATGGTTTATTGGTATTAAAACTTTCATTATTCTACCACTGGCAGATGACTGTTCATAAGGCGATCATTATGGAACCTACAATGTGACATGTAAGTGCTACTTCATGAAAAGCGGCATATGGTCCCCAATTGAAAGTAGGGGTATGCCCTAAACAAGAAAACGGTGGGCAAAACTAAATAAAACATAATTTTGAAGGGGATCACAGTTTAAATTGAATATTTAAGAAGAATTGGTTCAAATGTTTTAACAAGGTGATGTGCAGAACACATGCCACCCTTGCTGTGTTTTTTCCCATTCTTTTGTGAATGGGTCTGAGCCCTTTGAACAGTGATAAAAAGCTTAGTAATGGCCTTATTTGTTAATATGGTTCAGTTTTGGCACCTTATTAAACAAAGCAACAAAGTTTATAAATAAAACATCCCATCCTCGACCCACATTGTGTTTTGGCCTTGTAAAAAAGCAATTCAGGCTGGTGGATTTAGCCAAACCGGTAGAAGGATTTCTGGCCCTAACAAAAGTTTTTTATATATATTTTAGCTCCTCCACCTGCTGTGGCATCAACACCAAAAAAGAATGGCAAGATTGTCAAGGTTAAAAAGTTAATTAAGAACTATAAGAATGTCAAGAAAAAAACAGCCAAGTTAAAGGTTTGTCTTTATGCTTAGAATAATACTTTTTTTCTATTTACATCGATTTGATTTATAGAGCCTGGAGTTCTTACCTGTCAGTGGTTTTTCTCATTTAATTAGAAATATTGCCTTGATTTTGGGAAAATGATGGCTTACATTGCTTATTTTAGAAGTAAAAAATTGGTGTAAGTTCAGATTTTTTGGGAAAACTACATGCCTGTCAAATTTCAGTTGTTATATATATTTTTATATATTTTATATGTTGTTATGTACTTTTTTCCAGTTTTCTTGGCTAACTTGAACTTTAAACTTTGTTTTCAAATGTTGGTGACAAAAATAACAGAAAAAAACAAACTTTCTGTTAGTTTGCAGTATTTGTAATCTCCTTATCAATTGCATCAATTAATTGTTATTTTATAACAAGAGAGCATCATCTAGATGCTTTGATTAATGATACTGATTTTAAACAGACTCTTAAATCAAAACTTAATTACAGATGGCATACTATACATTCACTGCCAGTACATAAGATTTGATAATTTTCTGTCTGATAAACATGAACAGTAGTCTGTTAAATAAAACATGTTCATCATTGATGAATTGTAAAAGTCTTGTAAAGTGACTTTATTTTATTTGCAGGCCATTTCAGACTATTTAAACAGATTGAAACAGGCTGTGAGAAACAATCAAGCACAAAAGTCCAAGACAACTGAGAGTAAGTTAATTATTGTATTTAATATTACCAAACATGGACTGGAAGTAATTATTTTTGTGCCCCCACGTTAGTGGCGGGCATTTAGATTTACCTTTGTCCGTCCGTCCTTCCGTCCGTCCTTCCGTCCGTCCGTCCGTCCGTTCACTTTTGTGTCGCACGTAACTCAAAAAGTATTTGACCTAGAGTCATGAAACTTTACAGGAATGTTGATCAGCATGTGTTGTTGTGCACCTGGGTATTTTCGTCTGGATATTTTTAGTATTTTCAGAGTTATTGCCCTTGACTTAGTAAAATTTTGCAATTTTCAACTTGTGTCGCATGTAACTCAAAAAGTATTTGACCTAGAGTCATGAAACTTTACAGGAATGTTGATCAGCATGTGTTGTTGTGCACCTGGGTATTTTCGTCTGGATATTTTTAGTATTTTCAGAGTTATTGCCCTTGACTTAGTAAAATTTTGCAATTTTCAACTTGTGTCGCATGTAACTCAAAAAGTATTTGACCTAGAGTCATGAAACTTTACAGGAATGTTGATCAGCATGTGTTGTTGTGCACCTGGGTATTTTTGTCTGGATATTTTTAGTATTTTCAGAGTTATTGCCCTTGACTTAGTAAAATTTTGCAATTTTCAACTTGTGTCGCATGTAACTCAAAAAGTATTTGACCTAGAGTCATGAAACTTTACAGGAATGTTGATCAGCATGTGCAGTTGTGCACCAGGTATTTTCGTCTGGATTTATTTAGTATTTTTAGAGTTATTGCCCTTCACTTACAAAATTTTTGCAATTTTCAACTTGTGTCGCAAGTTACTCAAAAAGGATTTGACATAGTCATTAAACCTTATGGGCAGGTTGCTCAGCATATTTAGATTTGCACCTGGGGTTTCGCTTGTGGATTTATCCAGTATTTGTAGAGTTATTTCCCTTGACTTAGTAAAAAGATTGACAGAACAGTGGCGCGGTGGGGGCACCCGTGTCCTATGGACACATTTCTAGTTTTGTTCTTGATAATTCTGCGATTCAAAATAGTAAAGTTCTGTTCTAAAAAAAATATAATTTTTCCATACAATTCAATTTTCCTTTTAGTTTTTTCTTCCCCTTATGCCTTATTAGCTCACCTGTCACAAAGTGACAGGGTGAGCTTTTGTGATCGCTTTTCGTCTGGCGTCCGTCCGTCCGGCGTCCGTAAACTTTTACTGTAAATGACATCTCCTCATAAACCACTAAGCCAATTTCATCCAAACTTCACAGGAATGTTCCTTTGGTGGTCACCTTTGAAAATTGTTCAAAGAATTTAATTCCATGCAGAACTCTGGTTGCCATGGCAACCAAAAGAAAAAACTTTAAATATCTTCTTCTAAAAAACCCAAAGAGCTAGAGCTTAGATATTTGGCATGAAACATCTTCTAGTGAGTGTCTACCAAGTTTGTTCAAATAAAAGCCCTGGGGTCAAAATTGGCCCCGCCCCAGGGGGTCATTGATTTTCCCTATATGCATATAGTAAAAACTTTAAAAAATCTTCTTTTAAAGAACCCAAAGAGCTAGAGCTAAGATATTTAGCATGAAACATGTTCTAATGGGTGTCTACCAAGTTTGTTCAAATAAAAGCCCTGGGGTCAAAATTGGCCCCGCCCCAGGGGGTCATTGATTTTCCCTATATGCATATAGTAAAAACTTAAAAAATCTTCTTTTAAAGAACCCAAAGAGCTAGAGCTAAGATATTTAGCATGAAACATGTTCTAATGGATTTCTACCAAGTTTGTTCAAATGAGAGCCCTGGGGTCAAAATTGGCCCCGCCCCGGGGGTCATTCATTTCCTTATATGTGTATAGTAAAAACTTAAAAAATCTTCTTTGAAAAAACTCAAATAGCTAGAGTTTAGATATTAAGCACGTAGCACCTTCTAGTGAGTGTCTACAAAGTTTGTTCAAATAAAAGCCCTGGGGTCAAAATTGGCCGGCCCCGGGGGACATTGATTTTCCTTATATGTGTATAGCAAAAACTTAAAAATCTTCTTTGAAAAAACCCGAATAGCTAGAGTTTAGATATTAAGCATGAGACGATTTATAGTAAGTGTCTACAAAGATTGTTCAAATAAAAGCCCTGGGGTCAAAACTGGTCCTGCCCCAGGTGTGTCATTGTTTTTAACTATATGTGTAAAGAAAAAACTTGAAAAAATCTTCTTTTAAAAAACCCAAGGAGCTAGACCTTAGATGTTTAGCATGAAACATATTCTAATGGGTGTCTACCAAGTTTGTTCAAATAAAAGCCCTGGGGTTTAAACTTGCCCCGTTCTGGGGGCCTATATACAGGTGAGCGACTTCAGGGCCATCATGGCCCTCTTGTATTGTTATTTTTCCCTAATTCAGGGCAAGTGCCTTTGGGAAAAAAGTCCTATTTGATGTTTGACAACTGCTGTAACAGAAATTTTCCAACCACTAATTTCTTTTTATTGTCTTCGTCATCTGATCCTGAAGGTCAGAGGGCATCCCAAAAAGCACTTTACAATATCATTTCATGTAAAATTATAAATTGTATACAATGACAAGAAATAATAATCTTAAATAAGATACATGTATGTAAGAAAATAATAGATGTTAACAAACTTTCCAACCACCTTTTACCAGAGTACATGTTTTATCTTGAATATCTTCTGCTGTTACTTCCAGTAGTCTACCAGGAATAAAGCAGTATGAAAACTGTTGTTCTGTCTAATAGCCAGAGTACATGTTTTATCTTGAATATCTTCTGCTGTTACTTCCAGTAGTCTACCAGGAATAAAGCAGTATGAAAACTGTTGTTCTGTCAAATAGCCAGAGTACATGTTTTATCTTGAATATCTTCTGCTGTTACTTCCAGTAGTCTACCAGGAATAAAGCAGTATGAAAACTGTTGTTCTGTCAAATAGCCAGAGTACATGTTTTATCTTGAATATCTTCTGCTGTTACTTCCAGTAGTCTACCAGGAATAAAGCAGTATGAAAACTGTTGTTCTGTCAAATAGCCAGAGTACATGTTTTATCTTGAATATCTTCTGCTGTTACTTCCAGTAGTCTACCAAGAATAAAGCAGTATGAAAACTGTTGTTCTGTCTAATAGCCAGAGTACATGTTTTATCTTGAATATCTTCTGCTGTTACTTCCAGTAGTCTACCAGGAATAAAGCAGTATGAAATCTGTTGTTCTGTCAAATAGCCAGAGTACATGTTTTATCTTGAATATCTTCTGCTGTTACTTCCAGTAGTCTACCAGGAATAAAGCAGTATGAAAACTGTTGTTCTGTCAAATAGCCAGAGTACATGTTTTATCTTGAATATCTTCTGCTGTTACTTCCAGTAGTCTACCAAGAATAAAGCAGTATGAAAACTGTTGTTCTGTCAAATAGCCAGAGTACATGTTTTATCTTGAATATCTTCTGCTGTTACTTCCAGTAGTCTACCAAGAATAAAGCAGTATGAAAACTGTTGTTCTGTCTAATAGCCAGAGTACATGTTTTATCTTGAATATCTTCTGCTGTTACTTCCAGTAGTCTACCAGGAATAAAGCAGTATGAAAACTGTTGTTCTGTCAAATAGCCAGAGTACATGTTTTATCTTGAATATCTTCTGCTGTTACTTCCAGTAGTCTACCAGGAATAAAGCAGTATGAAAACTGTTGTTCTGTCAAATAGCCAGAGTACATGTTTTATCTTGAATATCTTCTGCTGTTACTTCCAGTAGTCTACCAGGAATAAAGCAGTATGAAAACTGTTGTTCTGTCAAATAGCCAGAGTACATGTTTTATCTTGAATATCTTCTGCTGTTACTTCCAGTTGTCTACCAGGAATAAAGCAGTATGAAAACTGTTGTTCTGTCTTATAGCAATCACAATAGCTTTACTGTCTTAGCTTACTGATGAAGGAACTGTCACAATCTACCAGAATTGTTATTGCAAACTTCATGTACATTTTATTAGTACTTCATTCTTGAAACTTAAAAGAAGGCGTATGGTAAAAGTAATGTTAGGAAGACAATGATATCTTAGTACAGAGTATTGTTGGACTTCTATTTATCTGATTATCTTTTTTCATGTCAAGTCAATTTTTTTATAACATTTCTATGTTATTTTGTATTTTCATTTAGGACTGTCATTAACGTCCTCAAATCAAGGTTATGTCCTCGGTGCTCATAACAAAATACTGAAAATTTTGACACAAGATATTGCAAGGATAAACCGTGGCTTTGCCCTGTTGAAGCAGTACCAAATAATTTTACGAAGAAAGATACATGCAAGTTTGAGGGGAAAACAGTATGTCAAGAAGCGATTAAAGGGCTTAAGTCAGAATACTCATCGGCTCACAAGGATCAGCGGAAAACATGTTAGGCAGATGAAAAAGCTATGGAGAAGTAATGATAGGTTATGGAAAAGAGTTTGGCATATTAGACAACAGATGAGGACGCATGCAGTAAGTTTTACAATAGACATTGTAAGGTTAATGATGATGTAGTGCCGTTACTATGGTAGATAAAGTGTCATTATGATAGACATTTGGAAAAAAATGTAAATAATAATATATACAAGTATGTGTTACATGCCATTGATAAAGAAAGATATAGAATAATAATATTTATCATATTTTGTGGTTAAAAATGTAAATAATAATATATACAAGTATATGTTACATGCCATTGATAAAGAAAGATATAGAATAATAATATTTATCATATTTTGTGGTTCAGATCGGAATATATGTGTTGTCGCTCATGGACAGGTACGCCTGAGGGATGGATATTCGGATATGAACCGCAGACACATATCCGATTTCTAGCTTATTCTACCATAACCTATCATACTTAAATCAGTTATTTTTTTCACTGTATTTTACAGCCGAATAAAGGCTGTTTCCCGTAGCCCAAAATAGGTATATTTTCCCTTAAAAATGTAAATATTTTCCCCTAAAATGCCTTGTGATCTTCCTTACCAGAACCATGACTTAACAGCAGCTGACTTATATTAGCTAGAAGACAGAAATCTGTTCCTGTATATAGCCTCTGCTATGTACCATGCATGTTAAATTGAATTGATATTAATTTTTTTACATACAATGTGTTAATTGCATTTTTAGTTGTTGGAATTTGATTTCAGGTTTCTCCCCTTTTCTGATTTATCGCGCTATGCTTTCCCCTGTTGTTTTGAAAATTGGAGAAAAAAATTACTGTTAAATTCTTTACCTCATTAAAAGGAAATTAATAATAAAACCAACAGAAACACCAGTCTGATATGCAAGAATACATAGTACATTCATGACTGAACAACAATGGGAAAAGATCTGTGTCAAATATGGTTTGGCAGTTCCTGTAGGCATTATTAAAATTAATTTTATAGATCCATTTTGTATGTTTGAGGACTTTAAACAGATTTTGCTCAATTTTTGTTGTTCTTTTTTAGCTCACCTGAGCTTGCTCAGGGTAAGCTTTTAGGATTGTTGAATGTCCGTCGTCAGTCATCCATCCACACTTGTTTGTTAACACTCTAGCAGTCACATTTTTGCCTCAATCATCATCAAACTTTGTCAGGATGCTTGGTTGAGGACAAACATGGGTCATCTCAGGTGAAAAACTAGGTCACCAGAGCTTAAAATAGAAAAACCTTGTTAACACTCTAGTGGTCACATTTTTGCCTCAATCATCATCAGACTTGGTCAGGATGCTTGTCTAGGTGATAGCTCAAATAAGTTTGAACATGGGTCATCTCGGATGAAAAACTAGGTCACCAGAGCTAAAAATAGAAATACCTTGTTAACACTTTAGCTGTCACATTTTTGACTCCATCATCATCAAACTTGGTCAGGATGCTTGTCTAGGTGATAGCTCAAATGAGTTCGAACATGAGTCATCTTGGATGAAAACTTAGGTCACAGGAGCTAAACATAGAAAAACCTTGTTAACATTCTAGCAATCACTTTTTTGACTCAATTGTCATCAAACTTTGTCAGGATGCTTGTCTAGGTAATTGCTCGGATTACTTTGAACATGGGTCATCTCGGATGAAAAACTAGGTCACAGGAGCTAAAAATAGAAAAATCTTTTTAAAACTTTAGTGGCTACTGTTTTGATCCAAATATCCTGTAAATTGGTCTGAAAGTTTGTTTTATTGATTTCTAGGTCAAGTTTGAATATGGGTCACCTAGGGTCAAAAACTAGGTCACACTGTCCAAATATGGAAAAACCTTGTTAACATTCTAGTGGTCACATTTTTGACTCAATTATCATCAAACTTGGTCAGGATGCTTGTCTAGGTCATTGCTCGGATGACTTTGAACATGGGTCATCTTGGATGAAAAACTAGGTCACCTGAGCTAAAAATAGAAAAATCTTATTAACACTATAGTTGCTACTGTTTTGATCCAAATATCCTGTAAATTGGTTTGAAAGTTTGTTTTTATGATTTCTAGGTCAAGTTCGAACATGAGTCATCTCGGATGAAAAACTAGGTCACACAGCCCAAATATAGAAAAACCTTGTTAACACTCTAGTGGTCACATTTTTGACTCAATTATCATCAAACTTGGTCAGGATGCTTGTCTAGGTAGTTGCTCGGATGAGTTCGAAAATGGGTCATCTCGGATGAAAAACTAGGTCACTGGAGCTAAAAATAGAAAAATCTTGTTAACAGTCTAGTGGCTACTGTTTTGAGTATCCTGTAAATTGGTCTGAAAGTTTGTTTTGATGATTTCTAGGTCAAGTTCGAATATGGGTCACCTGGGTAAAAAACTAGGTCACACTGCTCAAATATGGATAATCCTTGTTAACACTCGAGTGGTCCCATTTTTGACTCACCTGTCATGAAACTTGGTCAGAATGTTTGTCTAATTGTAATTGTTAGAATGAGTTCAAGGGTCAGGTGAGCGATCTAGGGCCATCATGGCCCTCTTGTTTTATAAAGGTTTAAAATGTGTTTTGTTAAGAGGTTAATACACGGCAGGAGAGGGCCGGAAGCTGATAATCGGCCCGCAAAATGAATAATGGACCCGAGGGCTTTAGCCCGAGGGCCATTATGCATTCAGGGCCGATAATCACCTTCCGGCCCTACGCTGACGTGTATTAATGTCTTTAATACACTTGGTAGATCTTATAGTAGCAATTTTTTAAAGAAACAAACAAACAAAAACATAATCAAAACAAATAGACTTTGAAGTTCTTTCGTTGAAATTCTTGTCTACTCTTCTACTGTTCTGTACAGAGATGTTTTCTGCTTGTGTGTTCAAAGCAGTAGAACCAAGAAGCAAGTTTTATTTTCATTTTTTCGGAATGAATTTGTCGTATTATTTCTTCAAATTTCAATAGTAACAAAAATGTGTTTGTACTAAATACGCTTAAGGTCTCATAATAAAAATAAAGCGATACGTGCTGACAACCTACTTTCACTTTTACAGTTAAGTGTTTGATGACGTTAATTGTGACGTCATTGTTTCACTTTGTGCACGTGCACATGTTCTGCGGGCTGATAACTAGTTCTCGGCCCCGGGCCGCAAACTCATAATAGGTCACGTGACACTCATAATCAGTTGAAATCATAGGCAATTCTGTTACTATATATAGTAACAAGTGTATTAATGTATTTTATCCTGTAGGATATGGTTCCTGAGGCAACAAGAAAGTATCTGATAGCACTTGCACTGTCTGCTAGGAAATCAAACATTCTCGGCTACAAGATAAATAGAATCGTGAGATTTCTCAGTGCATTGAGGAAGAGTCAGCATGTGGATGAGGGGACAAAAAATAGCGTAGACAGAAATGTAGCAAATCTTAGAGGATCACTTCAAATGATGAAAAAGCTTATGAAAAATATGGCAGCACCAATGGTGGGTTCAATGATAGATTTATTGCTTTTACATTCTGAAAATTTGGTTCTTTCACTTAATTTTAATGTTTGCCGAAAGTTATTTTTTTCATTTTTCATCTGCCTCATACAGGGCTGCAAATTTTCTGGAGATTCCTTGAATTCATGAAATTAACAATCTCAAAGACCATGCAAGTTTTCCCTCTACATAGGCCCTGCCACAGTTTTCTTAAAAATGAAAAAGAGCATTTATTGCCTTAGGCTTGATCAGTGTCTGTAATTCTAAGGAATATTTGTTTTACATGTATCTTTTAATTTAGCTTTACTCTGAATGAACTAACTCAGCTAGAGGTTTTAAAAAAATGATGTTACAAATGTGAATTAAAGGACTAGATTAAAAATGAAAAATCTCATAGAAAGAAAGTCTTTTTCATTTCTCAGTAGGTTTTATTTTTCTGATTGGCAGATTGCAGGTAAACCCAAATCTGATGTAGCAGTTAAAGTGCTGTTAACAGAACTGGCTGGAATAAAACAGTTTGATAAAAATATAGTAAAGAGTGTGAGACGGTCTAACTCAGATGTTTTTAGACTTATACGAAGACTTATCGATGTTCAGAGAAAGTCGTCTCATTTTCACAGACAGCTACAAAAGCAAAGACAACTTATAGAGGAAATGTTAAAGGCAATGAAACACATGGCTAAAGCACAGGTAAATAACTCTTTATTACACATATTTATCACATTCCCATGCCTGTTTTGGGACTCCGAAAATATAGCCGAATATTTATTTTGAAGTGATGTCATTTAAGTTATACAAATATAGCGTAAAGATGCGCTAAATGTTAGCATTACACTATAGGTGCGTCAATAACAAAAAAGGAATATTTTCACTGTAAAACAGTATTTATGTGGTTATGTGATAAATATTATTATTTTCGTGTAACTTCATTAATTGAACTCGTTGAATGAAATAATATTATTCTCGCCATATGCTTGCATAATATAATTATATACAATTTGTTCATTAAATAATTATTAAATTTACACTCATTCAATATCCTCTATATACAGGGCTGCCGATTTTCCTCGGATCTGCGGAAATCCGCGGATTTCGTGAGCTCCTGGGTCATTTTTGAGATCGTTGTAAATTCGACAAAGACAATAAATTCATTCGTCATATTTTATACAGTATTCAAAAACTGGCACTCTTCGGCTTTTATCGTTACGCTAGCCGCCTATGGTAAGTCTGTAAGCGCTTTTCTCAGTGGTCAAATCGAGTCTTTTCCGGCATTCTATTTTAGAATAACCAATCAAATTACAGTTTACATTGTCACTCTTGTCTGTTGTCAAAATGCGTCAAAATGTCGGATATTTATTTTGAGGCCTGATGAAAACCTGAAGTCCAACTAAAGTGTCTCTGAATGGCTTTAAAGGCAATTAAGGAAGTCAAATTTAAAGTCCAGGAAATTGATTTTAGGGCATAACAAATCATCAGAATCCAGGAGCTTCCGGGGGCTTTGCCCCCTGTGCCCCAACCAGGGCTCTGCCCTGGACCCGCAAAGGCGGCTTGCGCAGCCCCCTTGACCCCCAGCGTCTTTTCCACTGAATTTGCAATTTGCTGTTGGCAGCCCTGTATATATCAGATGCTTTTATTTAGTAAAACATAAAAATAATGGTATTATATCACAATTTGACAAAAAAATGGACTGTTTTATTCCTTACTAACTTTCCCCTTTTTCCGCTCCGCGACACAATTTTCTCCTCTCCATTGCCCCTGTCACCATTTCCCTTAAAATGAAGAAAAAAACAACAATGGGCAGTACTTAATTTTCCATAAAAATGTTCTGATAAACATGTCCATTTAATATACAAATGTATTTAGTTATTTACCATATTAAGACTTAAGATGCAAGCTGGGGCTCTGGTTATAAAGAAATATTCTAATCTCAAACTCTGATCTCAGGTGTTTGATTGGTCAGAAACAGGCACAGAATGTGAATGGACCAATGAAAATCCTGATATTTGAGCTTGATCTCAGGAAAAGGTTTTATAGCCTTGGAGCCTGGTCTTGATCTGTACTGGTTGAACTGATTTGTTATTAAAAGCTCTCAGTGGGTTAAGATGCGATGTTATTTGAGCGATGGATGGATTTAAATAAATCTAAATATGATAAAATTTGAGATAAACTTAAGTTAAAATATGATAAGGTTACCTTTGTTCTCTTGTGTTTGTGTTGTATTTTTTTACTATTTCCAAACATAATGTATATATAGAGGATATTTGTTTAGTTCAGTGTAAGATCGGAATTTATTACATGCTTTTCGATGGTTTATAGAAATATATCAGTGAATTAAAACTGATAATTTCACTGTTTTGAATTTAAGCCCCTTACGTTGTTTCAGTGAAATACCAGCGTACACAGAACTGGAAACCAACTTAATAACGTGACGTCGTAAATGACTTTACGTTGTATAATTATTTGGCGCGCTATTCATTTATTATTAGGTAAAAATGTCCTTTTAACGTTTGATTGCATGATTACACCAAACTAAACAAATTTTCTTTTTATTATATGCAAAGAAACATTTTAAAAAGACATTTAACCTAATACTGAATGAAAAGCGCGCAAAATAATAATACAACGTGACGTCATTTACGACGCTGGTATTTCACTGAAACAACGTAAGGGGCTTAAATTCAAAACAGTGAAATTATCAAAGTGGTAATTTCACTGTTTCAAACAGTGAAACTACCAGTTTTATTTCACTGATATATTTCTATAAACCACCGAAAAGCATGTAATAAATTTCTATAAACCACAGAGAAGCATGTAATAAATATCATTACTTTTCAGTCAAGAGTGAAAGTTACAAGGCCTGTGGTTATACCACCAGCTCTGATAAAATTACTGATCGAGATGAAATCTTTTCAATCAGCTTTAGCTAGAAAAGTATACCACAACCATTTACTGCTGAGGAATTATAAGAGACATGTTGTAAATCATGCAAATATTGCAGACACAGTAAACAAAAAACTTGCAACAATGGATCAGAAGACGTCAATGAAACTCCAGCAACAAATGATGCAGTTAAAGAACCTGGTAAATCTTTATTGTTTAACCTTTTTATTATTTATTTATTCCCACCTTATAAGAATCTTACACCGGCTGCCGGTACAGACCGGAATATCTAGCTCGAGGGTAACTGTTTACGGCGGTAACGAGGCTCTGCCGAGTTTCCGCTTAACAGTTACCCGAGAGCTAGATATTCCCGTCTGTACCAACAGCCGGTGTTTGATTCTTTTTCTTGCATATTACATGTCAATTATTTTCGGAACAGAAATTATGAAAACTGATATTCTCATTACGCACTTTTTTCTTATAGTAGCGTATGAACTTACAACTTCATTCATAACGGAAAAATGACGTCATCCTAAGAACGCGATTCATTCATAAAAGGCGCGCGTCAATGACGTCATTTAAAGCACGCGACTTGTCTTACATGGGGGGTGTAAGACAGAGTTTTCTAGCACCGGTGTAAACGGTAGATAATCCTGTCTATGATGCAAGAAAAATCACTGTGCACTGAGCTAGAAAATTACTCTATATTGCTTTCAGGTGTATATAGAAGTGTGAGTTTAAGTAAGTCCCTCTCTGTCAAGTCTTCTGCTTTATTACCTCATATAGAATTGGTTAATTAACAGTTTGTCATTCAGTCAGTGAGTGCAGAAAATAAGTGTATTTTTGGTAAACAAATCAAAATGGCTTCAAACATTGATGTAGATAATAAATCTTTAAAAAGTTCTAAAAAAAACCCCAAACAACTTAAACCTATGGCTGAGCTCTGGGGTGCCTGGGGTTGAATTATTACATATCATTAAAGGCACACTACGCCTCAGAAATCCGTATTTTTTAAATTCTTTAGAAAACATATGTTTAATAATGTTTTAGTAATGGATTAAGAGCATGTTGAATGTTTAACAGCAGAGGAAAGTAGCACTAAAAATGCATTAATGTGTCATAAAGGTAGCAAATTGTGAACAATGTAGTACTTTGACTTCCATACAAAATATTAATTCACTATGATTATATCATTTGCCCAAGAAGGCAAAAGGAACAAAGATGGTTTAAATCTTTACCTCATATATAAGCGAAACAAGGCCTCAAATAGTGAAAATATGTCCTATTTGGGCCCCAAACACATGTTTTCGTATGAGAAATGTTGCTTAAAAAAGTGAGCACTTTTTCGGCACCGTCCCCCCCATCCAAAAGATACATTAGGGGATTGCCAGAAGGGGGATGTGCCCCCTTCTGTTTGGGGGGTTTGAAGGGGAGTGGTAGTCCCCCTCATTGCCAAGAAAATTTTGCACTTGTGAGAGGCTCAAAATGACCCCAGGTCATTGGTAACGTGTAACCAACGCTGAAAAACCTTTGACTCTATCTCAATCCCTTGAGAAGTTGCAGCACTTTGAAATAAATTTTGATGGAAAAAATCAAGGCAAAATAGTGCTTTTTGGCAATTTTGAGATGTTCCCTCATTACCATGGTAACAGGAAATTTAAGACTGAGCATGTCGTTACAAAGGCAATGGTCCAGTCAACATTTGTGCCAAGTTTGATTAGTATTGAAGCATTTTTCATAGTTTCATAGCAGTTTGAACTTGTAACAGGAGGCTTTTCAATGAAAACGGCCATTTCTCACAATATGCTCATGAGGGAAAGGGTTAAATTAAATGGCAAATGAGTAATTTTTTCATTAAGTACCAAAAAATAAAAGTTTTTGAGAAATAAAGATGATAGCATTTCTGAGGCATAATTGGTCTTAAAACTTTTCTGTTATATTGTAAATGCATATTTTAGATGAGAAAGGCGTCAGAGAAAATTGCATTAAGTGTAAAAGAGAAAGCACAAGTATTGTATGTAATGAAACAAAAAAATATGGAATCCAAATTAAGAAGGATGAAGAGAGGATCAGGAAAGATGTATCGCTTGACCAGAAACATGTTCAAAAGATTAAAGAAGGTAAATTCAAATATCATTTCTTTACTAAAATTAAGTTACTGTAAACATGAATTACATATACTTTTGTTTGTGTAGGATTGGCAAAACCATTGATCCTCTAACATCATCTTTACTTGAGTCTGCTTCAATAAAGTCAGTAAAAAATTGTTGTATTTTTACTTGTTAGGCAGAAAAAAAGAAAGCAAATTAGTTTATTTTTTATGTATATGCTATTTTTAACACATTCAAGTGGCAAATTATCCAAATTTACACAATGCATATCTATAGCATATTCACATAGAATATACAAATTTTCTCTCAAAGTAAGAACATGTCATCATTTTTACTTTAATAAGAGGAAGTCCAGTGTACAAAATTCTGTATTTCCTGTTGTTGTTTTTTTTAAATTATCTCCCTTTATGAAAGTAAAGATGTTTGATAGTTTTTAATTATATTCATTAATGATACATAATAATGCTTGTCCTAGGAGTAAATTGAAAAGTGTTGAAAGAAATTTATTAACCTGTCATCACACAGTGATAGAGAAAATGTGTTGTCCAAGATCTATAGTGCTTCCTTAGATTATTACAGCCTTTTTGGACTCATGGCAGTCATTGAATTTAGCACTGACCCGGTGGCCCATGGCCAGTGAAAATAGTTCGGGCCAGTGAAAATTTTAAACTAATTTGTAGGGATGTCATTAGGAGTCCGGATATCCGAACGTTCGGATCACGATTCGGTGTCCGGAGCCGATTTTCCGATCCGGATGTTCGTATAAAATATTTCAGAATATTGAGAAAATGTGAAAAATACATGTACATGCGTTGAGATAATCGACGTAGACATGGTGTTGACACAGGGTTCGTACAGTCTTAAAAAGTGCTTAAATTTGAGTCCCTTTCTTAACCCATTACTTCATATACAAGCCTTTTAACGCCTTTTTCACCCCCCCCCCCCCTTTTTATTGTCTCAAATGATGAAAAAATGCCTTATTTAGGCCCCAAACACTTGTTTTTGTTTGAGAAATGTTGTTTAAAAAAATGACCTCTTTTTCGGAGCGGCCCCCCAACCAAAAGATACATCAGGGGGTTGCCAGAAGGGGGATGTGCCCTTCTGTTTGGGGGGTTTGAAGGGGGGCGGAGTCCCCCTCATCGCCAAGAAAATTTTGGACTTGTGAGAGGCTGTAAATGACCCCAGATTGATCATAAGGTAACGTGTAACCAACGCTGAAAAGCATTTGACTCTATCTCAATCCATTGAGAAGTTGCAGCACTTTGAAATCAATTTTGATGGAAAAAAATTAACGCAAAATAGTGATTTTTGGCAATTTTGAGATGTCCCCTCGTTGCCATGGTAACAGAAAATTTAAGCCTGAGCATGTTGTTGCAAGGGCAATGGTCCAGTCAACATTTGTGCCAAGTTTGATTAGTGTTGAAGCAGTTTTTATAGTATTATAGCAATTTGAACTTGTAACGGGAGACTTTTCAATGAAAACAGCCATTTTTCACAAAATGCTCATGAAGTAATGGGTTAAAAAGTGCTTAAAAATGAAAAAAAGTGCTTAAAAGTCCTTGAATTTGATTACTCTCTTGAAAAGTGCTTAAAAAGTGCTTAAATATGCTGAAAATGTGCTTGAAAATTTGAAACACAGAATAACATAGTTTCGATAAAAATTAACAAAGTAAAAAGAAAATGATCCAATTTAGTATCAAAATCAATAAAATGTTTACTTAAGGTAACAGTAAGTGGGCAAATTGCAGTTGTTTTGAACTAATCTGTATTTGATGACCCTTTCTTGTTCTTCTATAAATTCCTTAAAATTGTGGTCAGAAAATGTGTATTCAACAAAAAATGGGAAATAAACAACCCATCTTCGATTGAAAATTGTGTTGGTATATGTGCAACAAATGTGCTTGAAAAATGGGAAAACATGCTTAAATAGTGCTTAAAAAGTCCTTGAATTTTGGCATTGGAGATCTGTATGAACCCTGTGACACCATATTGTATATTGTACCTTAATTTGACAATACACATCATAATCTCTGCAGACCACAAAAAAAAATTCAATAATTACTATAACAATTACGAGTCGGGTATGACACGTGTTGTTATGTTTAACACCAAACAAATTTAAGTTTTGTAGGATTCAAGATGAATATTGTAAATCCCGTGCGATTGTCATCGGCAACGATTTTACATTTTTTATGTCAAAATTTAAATATTTAATTACGCTATTTTTTACATATATTTCGGCTTAGGACCCGTCGACTTGTTATTTTGAGAAAATGAAAAATCTGCAGAAAAAAAATAAGCAAATAAAATAATGCACTTACGAATAATAATATGTTAATTATCACAGCTTTTATTGAAATTGATACGATAATTATCCGACAAAATAACTTTCTCCTTTAGTATTAATTAAACATGTGCATTTTTTTAAAAAACAATTTTTTTCACAGTTTTTTTTTCACTTATGAACACTTAAAATATGTGTAATTCATGTAAGTTTCGGCAACTTCTTAGATGATTCGAATCAAACAGCCAGGGCTACATGTTGGTAAACATCAAAGATTGGCAGATTCTTTTGAAAAGCCGACTACACACCTGTCAAAGGTCATCGTGTGTAAATTGTATGCATTTTATTGAACAATGGAAACTTTTAATTTTTTACCGGCGTTATTTTGTTTTCACAAATGTGAGCAAGTGTTATTGTGTATTATAGCACTAATTAAGGAATTTTGACAATCGGCGATGAATTTCATTTTCATTTCATTTGAAATCGTAAGTATCATACGCTCTTAATTTATCGATAACAGTCATATTCTATATAGAAAAAAATAAAATCAATACTGAAATTATTTTGATACGTAACATTCAATTAAAAAGGAAATGAAACGAAACACTACACTTTGAAAAAGGTCGCGAAAAAAGGTTAAGTCATATTAGCCAACTTAGAATATAACAATGATCATAACAACGATCTGAACATCCGGATGTATCCGGATGTTTGATTCGGATATCCGGATGGCCGTTTCGGCTCCAGATGACATCCCTACTAATTTGTATTTGATGTACCCTTTGTTGTTCTTCTATAAAACCTTAAAATTTGGCCAGAAAATGTGTATAATTCAAGACAAAATGGTGATTAAATTATCTGTCTTAGGTTGTATATTGTTTGAAGATGTATGTGCAACAATTAAATGAGCCACGTCACGACAAAACCAACATAATGGGTTTGCGACCAGCATGGATCCAGACCAGCCTGCGCAGTCTGATCAGGATCCATGCTGTTAGCTTACAACTCTATAACAAGTAGAGAAACTGATAACGAACAACATGGATCCTGATCAGACTGTGTGGATGCACAGGCTGGTCTGGATCCATGCTGGACGCAAACCCATTATGTTGGTTTTGTCATGACGCGGCTCAAATAGTGCTTAAAAAGTCCTTGAATTTTGGCATTGGATGTCTGTATGAACCCTGGTTGTGCACTTGCTGTGGTTTGTTATAAACCAGAATTCAGCTGGGGATATAAATTCAACATATTTGCTTGTTTAATATTAATCTGTTTTAGGAACAAGTTAAAGAAAAACAATCTGTAAAATATCTGGCTATGATGATGAGGAGAATGAACAGACAAAACAGAAGACTTATAAGAAAGAAAATGCGGAGACTTATCCAAAAGGAAAAAAAAAAAGAAAGAATACTTTACAAAAAGCAAAAACTTTGGCTAAGGGCCAGACAAAAGAAAGCGGAACAAAGAAGAAGAAAACGTGTAATGAGAAAACAGAAAATGTTAAAAAAAAAGGTTAGAAAAGCACATCTTAGGCAAAGACGTTTGAGAATGAAACAGCGTAGAGAAAGAAAACGTGCTTTGAGGAGACGTATAAAAAGAAGGAAAGCAAGAGAAAGAAGAATTCGCCTTTACAAAAGACATATGAGAATGAAACAACGCATGTTAAAAAGACGTTTGATACAACAACGTAGAAAGTGGAAGGCTCAAAAAGCACGCTTACGGAGAATGAGAATTAAAGCTAAAAGAGCTCGCTCTAAGAGAATGAGAATAAAAGCTAGAAGAGCTCGCTTAAGGAGAATGAGAATTACAGCTAGAAGAGCTCGCTTAAGGAGGATACGCCGGAAGATGAGGAGGAAGGGTAAAAAATGGAAAATGAGATATAAAGCTCGCTTAAGAAGAATGAGAATCAAAGCTAGAAGAGCTCGCTTAAGGAGAATGAGAATGAAAGCAAGAAAAGCTCACTTAAGGAGAAGGAGAATACAAGCTAGAAAAGCTCGCTTAAGGAGGAAACACAGGAAGGTGACGAGGAAGGAAAGAAAATTGAGAATGAGATATAAAGTCCGCTTAAGAAGAATGAGAATCAAAGCTAGAAGAGCTCGCTTAAGGAGAATGAGAATGAAAGCAAGAAAAGCTCGCTTAAGGAGAATAAGAATTAAAGCTAGAAGAGCTCGCTTAAGGAGGATACGCCTGAAGATGAGGAGGAAGGGTAAGAAATGGAGAATGAGATATAAAGCTCGTTTAAGAAGAATGAGAATCAAAGCTAGAAGAGCTCGCTTGAAGAGAATGAGAATGAAAGCAAGAAGAGCTCGCTTAAGGAGAATGAGAATAAGAGCTAGAAGAGCTCGCTTAATGAAAAAACACAGGAAAATGAGAAGGAGGGGTAAGAAATTGAAAATGAGATATAAAGCTCGCTTAAGAAGAATGAAAATAAAAGCAAGAAGAGCTCGCTTCAGGAGAATGAGAATTAAAAAAAGAAAAGCTCACTTAAGGAGAATGAGAATACAAGCTAGAAGAGCACGCTTAAGGAGAAGACACAGGAAGATGAGGAGGAAGGGTAGAAAATGGAGATTGAGATATAAAGCTCGCTTAAGAAGAATGAGAATGAAAGCAAGAAGGGCTCACTTAAGGAGAATGAGAATTAAAACAAGAAGAGCTCACTTAAGGAGAATGAGAATAAGAGCTAGAAGAGCTCACTTAAGAAGGATACGTCAGAAGATGAGTAGGAAGGGTAAGAAATGGAGAATGAGATATAAAGCTCGCTTAAGAAGAATGAGGATCAAAGCTAGAAGAGCTCGCTTAAGGAGAATGCAAATTAAAAAAAGAAGAGCTCGCTTGAGGAGAATGAGAATACAAGCTAGAAGAGCTCGCTTAAGAAGGAGAAACAGGAAGATGAGGAGGAGGGGTAGAAAATGGAGAATGAGATATAAAGCTCGCTTAAGAAGAATGAGAATAAAAGCTAGAAGAGCTCGTTTAAGGAGAATGAGAATTAAAAAAAGAAGAGCTCGCTTGAGGAGAATGAGAATACAAGCTAGAAAAGCTCGCTTAAGGAGGAGACACAGGAAGGTGGCGAGGAGGGGTAAAAAATGGAGAATGAAATATAAAGCTCGCTTAAGAAGAATGAGAATAAAAGCTAGAAGAGCTCGCTTAAGGAGAATGAGAAATAAAACAAGAAGAGCTCGCTTAAGGAGAATGAGAATACAAGCTAGAAGAGCTCGCTTAAGGAGGAGACACAGAAAGATGAGGAGGAAAGGTAGAAAATTGAGAATGAGATATAAAGCTCGCTTAAGAAGAATGAGAATAAAAGCTAGAAGGGCTCACTTAAGGAGAATAAGAATGAAAGCAAGAAGAGCTAGCTTAAGGAGGATTAAAGCTAGAAGAGCTCGCTTAAAAAGGAGACAGAGGAAGGTGTTGTTGAAAAGGGGTAGAAAATTGAGATTGAGACATAGAGCTCGCATAAGAAGAATGAGAATTAAAACCAGAAGAGCTCGCTTAAGGAGGAGACACAGAAAGATGAGGAGAAGGGGGAGAAAATTGAGAGAAAGATATAAAGCTCGCCTAAGGAGAATGAGAATAAAAGCTAGAAGAGCTCGCTTAAGGAGAATGAGAATTAAAACAAGAAAAGCTCGTTTAAGGAGAATGAAAATTAAAGCCAAAAGAGCTAGCTTAAGAAGGAGAAACAGAAAGATGAGGAGAAGGGGGAAAAAATGGAGAATAAGATATAAAGCTCGCTTACGGAGAATGAGAATAAAAGCTAGAAAAGCTCGCTTAAGAAGAATGAGAATTAAAACAAGAAGAGCTCGCTTAAGGAGAATGAGAATACAAGCTAGAAGAGCGCGCTGGAGAAGGAAAAACAGGAAAATTAGGAAGAGGGGTAGAAAATGGAGAATGAGATATAAAGCTCGCTTAAGAAGAATAAGAATTAAAACAATAAGAGCTCACTTAAGGAGAAAGAGAATTAAAACTATAAGAGCTCGCTCAAGAAGAATGAAAAAAGAAGCTAGAAGAGCACGCTTAAGGAGAATGAGAATACAAGCAAGAAGAGCTCGCTTAAGAAGAAAACACAGAAAGATGACAAGAAGGGGTAGGAAATTGAGAATGAGAAATAAAGCTCACTTAAAAAGAATGAGAATAAAAGTTAGAAAGGCTCGCCTAAGGAGAATAAGATTGAAAGCAAAGTTAGCTCACTCGAGGAGAATGAGAATTGAAGCCAGAAGAGCTCTCTTTAGAAGATTAAGGAGAATGAGACTAAAAACAAAAAAAGTTCGCTTAAGAAGGAGACAGAGAAAGATGAGGAGGAGAGGTAGAAAATTGAAAATCAGAAATAAAGCTCACTTAAGAAAAATGAGAATGAAAGTCAGAAAAGCTCGCCTAAGAAGAATTAAAGCAAGAAGAGCTCACTTAAGGAGTATGAAAATGAAAGCAAAAAGAGCTCACTTAAGGAAAATTAAAGCTTATAGAGCTCGCATAAGGAGAATGAAAATTAAAGCCAGAAGAGCTCGCTTAAGAAGATTAAGGAGAATGAGACTAAAATCAAAAAAAGCTCGCTTAAGAAGAATTAAAGCCAGAAGAGCTCGCTTAAGGAAAATGAAAGCAAAAAGAGCTCACTTAAGGAGAATTAAAGCTAGTAGAGCTCGCCTAAGGAGAATGAGAATCAAAGCCAGAAGAGCTCGCTCAAGAAGATTAAGGAGAATGAGACTAAAATCAAAAAAAGCTCGCTTAAGAAGAATTAAAGCCAGAAGAGCTCGCTTAAGGAAAATGAGAATGAAAGTAAGAAGAGCCCGCTTAAGGAGAATGAGATTAAAAGCAAGAAGAGCCCGCTTAAGGAGAATAAAAGCTAATAGAGCTCGCTTGAGAAAGAAACAAAGAAAAATGAGGAAGAGAGTTAAAAAATTGAGACACAGAAATAAAGCTCATTTAAGAAAAATGAAAATTAAAGCCAGAAGAGCTCGATTAAGGAGAATGAGACTAAAAGCAAAAAAAGCTCGCTTAAGAAGGAGACACAGGAAAATCAAGAAGAGAGGTAGAAAATTGAAAATCAGAAATAAAGCTCTCTTAAGGAAAATAAGAATTAAAGCCAGAAGGGCTCGATCAAGGAGTTTAAGAAGAATGAAAATTAAAGCTAGAAAAGCTCGCTTAAAACAACACAAGAAGATGAGGAGGAAAGGTAAAAAATGGAGACTCAAAAATAAAGCTCTCTTAAAGAGAATGAGAATTAAAGCCAAAAAAGCACGCTTAATGAGATTAAGGAGAATGAAAATTAAAGCTAGAAGAGCTCGCTTAAAACAACACAGGAAGATGAGGAGGAAAGGAAAAAAAAGGAGACTCAAAAATAAAGCTCGCTTAAGGAGAATGAGAATAAAAGTCAGAAAAGCTCACTTAAGGAGAATTAAAGCTAAAAGAGCTCATTTAAGGAGAATGAAAATTAAAGCCAGAAGAGCTAAGTTAAGGAGAATGAGAATAAAAGCTAGAAGAGCCCGCTTAAAAATTCACAAGAAGATGAGAAGAGTTAAAAAAATGAGACTTCGAAATAAAGCTCGCTTAAGGAGAATGAGAATAAAAGCCAGAAGAGCTCAGTTAAGGAGAATGAGAATAAAAGCCAAAAAAGCTCGCTTAATGAGATTAAGGAAAATGAAAATTAAAGCTAGAAGAGCCCGCTTAAAAAATCACAAGAAGATGAGGAGAGCTAAAAAAAGGAGACTTCGAATTAAAACTCGCTTAAGGAGAATGAGAATAAAAGCCAGAAGAGCTCAGTTAAGGAGAATGAGAATTAAAGCCAAAAAAGCTCGCTTAATGAGATTAAGGAAAATGAAAACTAAAGCTAGAAGAGCCCGATTAAAAAATCACAAGAAGATGAGGAAAGCTAAAAAAAGGAGACTTCAAAATAAAGCTCGCTTAAGGAGAATGAGAATAAAAGCCAGAAGAGCTAAGTTAAGGAGAATGAGAATAAAAGCCAAAAAAGCTCGCTTAATGAGATTAAGGAAAATGAAAATTAAAGCTAGAAGAGCCCGCTTAAAAAATCACAAGAAGATGAGGAGAGCTAAAAAAAGGAGACTTCGAATTAAAACTCGCTTAAGGAGAATGAGAATAAAAGCCAGAAGAGCTCAGTTAAGGAGAATGAGAATAAAAGCCAAAAAAGCGCACTTAATGAGATTAAGGAGAATAAAAACTAAAGCTAGAAGAGCCCGCTTAAAAAATCACAAGAAGATGAGGAGAGCTAAAAAAAGGAGACTTCAATATAAAACTCGCTTAAGGAGAATGAGAATAAAAGCCAGAAAAGCTCACTTAAGGAGATTGAGAATAAAAGCCAAAAAAGCTCGCTTAATGAGATTAAAGAAAATGAAAATTAAAGCTAAAAGAGCCCGCTTAAAAAATCACAAGAAGATGAGGAGAGCTAAAAAAAGGAGACTTCAAGATAAAACTCGCTTAAGTAGAATGAGAATAAAAGCCAGAAGAGCTCAGTTAAGGAGAATAAAAGCCAAAAAAGCGCACTTAATGAGATTAAAGAAAATGAAAATTAAAGCTAGAAGAGCCCGCTTAAAAAATCACAAGAAGATGAGAAGAGCTAAAAAAATGAGACTTCGAAAGAAAGCTCGCTTAAGGAGAATGAGAATAAAAGCCAGAAGAGCTCAGTTAAGGAGAGCTGAAAAAGTGAGACTTCGAAATAATGCTCGCTTAAGAAGAATGAGAATAAAAGCCGAAAAAGCTCGCTTAATGAGATTAAGGAGAATGAGAATAAAAGCCAGAAGAGCTCAGTTAAGGAGAATGAGAATAAAAGCCAAAAATGCTCGCTTAATGAGATTAAGGAAAATGAAAATGAAAGCTAAAAGAGCAGGCATAAAATATCGCAAGAAGGTGAGGAAAGCTAAAAAAAGGAGACTTCGAAATAATGCTCGCTTAAGGAGAATGAGAATAAGAGCCAGAAGAGCTCAGTTAAGGAGAATGAGACTAAAAGCCAAAAAAGCTGGCTTAATGAGATTAAGGAAAATGAAAATTAAAGCTAGAAGAGCCCGCTTAAAAAATCACAAGAAGATGAGGAGTGCTAAAAAAATGAGACTTCGAAATAAAGCTCGCTTAATGAGGACGAGAATAAAAGCAAAAAAAACTCTTTTAAAAAATAGATTAAGGAGAATGAAAATGAAAGCTAAAAGGGCCCGCTTAAAATTTCAGAAGTTGAGGAAAGCTAAAAAAATGAGACTCCAAAATAAAGCTCGCTTAAGGAGAATGAGAATAAAAGCCAGAAAAGCTCGCTTAATGAGGACAAGAATAAAAGCTCGATTACTGAGGAAGAGAATCAAAGCCAAGGGCAGAAATAGGAAAATAAAGAAGAAGGCTCACTTAAGGAGAATGCAAAAAAAAGCTAGAAGAGCTAAATTAAGGAGAAGGAGGAAAGGGAAGGGCAGAAGGAGAATAAGGAATAAAGCTCGCTTAAAGAGAATGAGAAAGAAAGCTAGAAGAGTTCGCTTAAGGAGAAATCCCAGCAGACAGGGTAGGAGAGGCAGAAAATTGAGGATTAGGAATAAGACCAGAAGCGCTCACTTTAGGAGGTGGCTCAGGAACAGGTTTAGGAGAGCTCGAGCATCTTATTTTGGGAGGAATAGGCATAGAATAGCCATCAATATAGCCATCAATAGAAGAAGGAATAAACAGAGAAAAAGTAGGAGAAGTAGGAAAAAGAGATCTTTTACATTAAAGGAACCCAAAAGTTACCAGAGTTTAAGTCCTGAAGATAGGAAAAAACGTAATGTTTTCAATCACTCTGTTGAAGTTCTCAAACACTCTCTCAAACACTCTCTTGACGTTTTCAATCACTCTGTTGAAAGAGGTATGTCAATTCAGTATTACATGTATATCTCCTTGAAAATAAGTCGGGTATCTTCTCATGCTAAAAAAGAAAACTTATTTGCTTATTTAATATTCACAAAACACAAAAAATGTTTAAAAAGCAAGTAGTTAGTCATTTAGTATCCAAATTGATTTCATTTAGTATCAAAATTGATTTTTATACCCTGCTGAAACGTTAGCAGGGGATATAGGAATAGTCTCTGTCAGTCCTTCCATCCAACATCTTTGTCAGGAGCATATCTAGAAATGTATTTGAGATAAAAAAAATTCTGGCGTAGAATGTTATGCACCTGGTCATCAGTCTGTTAGCAGGTTTTGGTTAGTTCTCTATCTTTTTAACTGGTGGAAGGAAACTAAAACTATGTGGCATCATTGTTAACCATAAGGAAACAATGTGCAGAGTGCAGGTTTGACCTTCCTCAAGCTTCAATATTGGCCCTGCCCTGGGGGTTACTTGATTTATATAGGCTTATATAAGTAAAACACATCTGAAACTTATTGTGTGAAACTACAATGCCCAGAGCTTAGATATCTGACATGTAAAATCACTTTGTGGACCACAAAATAACTGGTATTAATCATGCCCCTTGGGACAATATTGGCCCTGCCCTGGAGGTGACTTATTTAATATAGTTTTGTATGGGAAAATACATTGAAGTCTTATTTTGGTGATCAATTTATAGATTTCTACCACAGTTTTGTTAATTATAAACCTCAAGTCAAAATTGGCATGATGCCTCTTTATTTGGCATATACATAGCATCACCTAGTAGACCCCTATAAAGGTTTTATGAATCATACACCTTGGAGGTCAGACAATTTCATAAGGATAATTAAGAAAAAACATTTTTCAGACAAGTTTCTTGATTGAGTCTCTACCCTTATTGAAATATTATTTTCGATTACTCAAACAAATTTACATTCAGGCGTACATGTATATATTGCCCTACCTTTGTGGTGCTCTTGTTCATGCTTAATTTTTGAAAAAAAAGAAAAAGCATAACTTGAAAAACCTTTTTAGATATCAATTTGGAACTTCATAGGTGAATAGATCTTCTTAAAGTAGGAGAAAAGTCAACTTGAATGATAAATCTAACCATACATATTTTTTTATTTATTGCCCTTTGTAATCTTCATGATAATTTTTTATATACAGCATAACTATAAATAAAAAGTTTCAACTGGTAACTTTCTAGATGGAAAGGTCTTTGCACAATATTATTATATTCATGCTTTAGTTTTGTCTGACCATAACACATAAAGTGTTTAGGATGTCAACTTGAAATTATAAAGGTTGAAAGATCTCATTAAGGAGCGTGCAGTTTACAAGAATGATAACTCTCCACTTGATAACTTTTTGAGTTACTGCCCTTTGTTAAGATTTTTTGCGTCTTTTTTGTCAGGATCATAACTTAAACAGTACTTGAGATATCATCTTGGAACTTCATAAGTAGATTATTTAGATATCATTAAAGAGGAGTTCAATGCACCAATATAATATGTTTCACTTCATACTTTTAAAATTTATTGCTATTTTTGTATATTCTTTTTGGCATAAAGTTTTATATATTCATTTCAACATAAAAAGAAAGATCACAATAAGGAGGATGCAGTTGACAAGAATGACAACTAATTTTGTAATTACATTGTGCTAAAAATCCGTTTCAATTTTAAACAGGTTTAACCCCCCCCCAGGATCAAGGTCAATATTATATTAACTTTTCCATCTGCTGTTATTACAAAATGCTGGCTTACTTCTTTTATTTCTTCATTATCATTTATCATTTACACTGCACATAGTTACATTGTACATTGCTTATATTTGTATTCCAACCAGAACAAAACCTTTACCTTCAATGTTGATAATTGAAAACCTGGTTTAATAGCATTTTTATGTTTTGTCAAATCAATAACTCAAAAGTTAAAGAGATATCAGCTGGAAACTCCATTGATGAACCAACCTTGACATTTTGCATTATTGCTTTTTGATAGGTACTAAATGTCGGTTTGTGCAAGTGTTCTATGCTCTTTTGATAACTTTACTCATGTTTGGCAGGGGTATTTGACAGTCTGTGATTGCTTCTTATTAATATTAAAATAAACAATGTTGTCTTTACTGATGAAGCTGAATTATTTATAAAGTTTCACTTTAACAGTATTAGAAATAAATCTTAAATATACAAGTGAATTTTCATGACTCTGCTATGTCATATTTTGAAATGAAAACACTGCATATAAATTTTTCAGATGAAACAACTTGCCCAGAAAGTTACACTCTTTCAACAAAAGGGCATTTCTGTTTTCTTACTTCTACTGTGAAGATGCCAATTAGTTCAGGAGAATATTATTGTGAACAACACAAAGGAAGATTGGTTACCATTGAAAATGAAGGCAAACAAACTGCTGTCCAGACATTCTTAAAACGTAAGTGATTGCATTTAAACTTTCTCTTAAACAACACTTGATTTTAATGTTGCTTTAAGACTGACAAATTTGTCAGGTATAGATTTTTAATGAAATAGCAAGGGGACATATTGATATAGTGTTACGTCTGTCTTTCCATGGGTGCTAGGGTGTGTGCTTGTGTTTGAAAACCTTGTCCAACCCATAACTCTGTCATTCATCAAGGCATTTTAAAAACATTTGACACAGAATGTTAAACAACATAAGTCATGCACAAAATCTAGACTCCAAGGTCAAACTACTCACTCAGATGTCAAAGGTCAGCGGTTAGAAATTCCTGTTTGGCCCATAACTCTGTGATATATGAAGTGATTTTAAAATAACTTTGTATAAATGTTTGGCATAAGATGGTGTGTCATGCGAAAGACCTAGACCACTAGCTCCAAAGTCAAGGTCACACTAAGAGGTCAAAGATCAACAGTAAAAAAAAATCTTGTCTGGCCCATGACTCTGTCATGCATATCAATGGATTTTAAATCATAATTTTTTGGGTTTAATTTAGGTCTAGACTAAAAACTTGTGTGCAAATGCTAATACTTGGTTTACCTCTAAACTCAAATATTAGGATGGCTGTGCCCATACTTTCTGAACACTTTGGACTTCTACTTGAAGTTTGATATCATCACGTCTCAGTGAGTTTCAGCATACATGTACATAGTTCATCCTTCTCATGAGAAGGAAGAATTACTATTTTTAAGTTTGAATAATTAATATGTAATGATGAAGAATAAATTAGTACCTAAACCAAAAAAGTAAAGAAAATTATGTGCCATAAAGGACAAGGGCATGTGATGATTTTTATCAGTTAAGTAAGTTCTTAAAAGTTTTTTTTAACCCTTTAATAGCACATTAAATATCTTAAATATCTTGTCAGTCTTTCATTTATGAAAAACTTCAAAATATTAACTGACTGAAAAGTTAATGGTGTGATTGAAAAGTTAATGGTGAAGACCTTGATGGCACAGATGTGACAGCTGACCTTGACCTGCACAGGTCACTTCAGTAGAATATATTGTCCCAGGCAGACTAAGGGTTAATTTCTTCTGGACTAACATTTTTAGTCAGTCTGGTGCAAGATCATTTCTTTTACTTGTATTATAGCTTGATTTTTCAATTTGCAGGGAACCATTATGATGATGAATTGTTTCTTTTACTTGTAATATAGCTTGATTTTTCAATTTGCAGGGAACCATTATGATCAATTTGCAGGGAACCATTATGATGATGAGATGATACTGATATCAGGTATTTCAAATTTCGAGGCTTCAGCTTGGTGGGACACTAATCTTGAACCAGTCGCTCGATACAACAAATTTGTGGTAAGATTTTCCGCTATTTTTCTTATCCCCAATTGGTTCACAGGAGGAGACTTGAGGTATAAGCATTACCTTTCTGTCAGTCTGTCCATGGGCATAAACTGGATCCTGCAATCATTTGAGAACAATTCAATCATTCAATAATTCTTTGAACATTTTCATGAAACTTGACAACTGGATAAAACCTGGATAGATGGTAATATGATGATTATGCACATTATTTTATTTTGCTTCTTTGTTGAGAAATGCTGTATTCTGTCATTATTAAAAAAAGAATTTGGAATATTTTCATGTAACATAATTATGTCCACCTCCACCTAGGACTGTCAATCGATGTATCATCGATATTTATCATCTGATAGAATATCGATAAACACTTTTAAATATTGATTCAAGCTATAATTCATTTATTTCTGTTAGTGAATATACCTTTCCATTTTGCCTTATAAGAGAATCATATTTTTCCAGTTTTCTTGTCTAACTTCTAACTCTGTTTTCAAATGTCAGTGACAAAAGTAACAGAAAAAACAAACTTTCTGTTAGTTTGTAGTATCTATAATGTCTAATACAAGCATGCATAACACCATGATCCCAATTTATAACACATATTTAAATGTGTCTACTGTCAAAGTCGATATATATCATCGATATTTGTCTCTCGATATATTGATACAGAATTTTCCATCAATGACAGTCCTACCTCCACCATGTCTGCTTTATAAGTCCTGTACCCCCTAAAATATTTTCTTCAAACTTGGCTCATATCAACTCAACAAAATGATGTGCAGAACTCATTGCCCCTCTGTACCAGTTTAAGACCAAGGTCACACTTGAAGGTCAAATGTCAGAAATTTTGAGTCCACTTTATGAATGAAGGGTTTACCTCAAACATTGAGTATTACTCACTTACATGTCACTTTCATACCTGTTTTCATGATTTCAGTAAATTTACTTCTTCCTTTCATACAATTATTATGTGTTTTGTTTATAATGCCTTCTAAATGATATTATTCTTTAAAACTATTTTATATGTCATATTATAGGATGATAGATGTATAATAATTTGAAAATGAGGTACATATTAGATTATTGTCTGCCAAGTTTGCTTATATTGTTTTTCTTTTTTTCATTTTATTCACAGACTGGTGAAATCCCATGGGAAGATTCTTGTGTCATGTTCCAAACATCAACTGGGAAATGGTACAGTCAGAAGTGTAAAACTAAATCTAGAAAAAAGAAATTATACCGTGTGATTTGTGAGCCTAATCAAACAACAAATCAAACAACAAATGTCCCCAATAAACGAAGTATCGACAAGATGTCAACCCGACACAGAGTACATCATCAGCACAAGAAAAGTGGTAGCCACAGCCAACTGCTTCCAAATGGAATGTTCCAACCAATGAACTTATTTAAACGAAGATCACTAAATGGTTTTAATAGGTTATGGACATTCCTTACATCAAGGGCTATGTCCTAATGATATATGATCATTTTTTGTTGTACAATTTGCATTTACATGTATACAAATGTTATCATATACTTTTTTCATGTATGGTAAAATGTTAAAAACCTTTTTAGAGTACTGAATTAAGTGATTTCTCTGGTAGATCTGTGATAAAAATATATATTTTTTTTTTATTTATTTTTTTTTTTTTCCTTTTTTTTTTAAATTTTGTTTTCTAAATGTTTTTATTTGGAGATTACTTTTGTGTCTGTGATAAAAGTTTTTTAACAAGATGTCTGTGATAAACTTGTGTGAATGATATGTTCACAATAAATTGTGATTAAAGAAATCTAGATGATCCTAAACGGCCTTTACTTAGATTTTAGCCTATATCTAGATTTTACTATAAGCCTTGGGCTTTTGATGAATATAAGTTTCCCCTTAGGGCTGTTATTTACAAAAGACTGTGATATACTTAGTTGAAAATATATTTATACATATTGTTCATGTAATTATATTTATACAAAAATAACCTGAGTTACATGCAAAAAAAATATATTAACCTGAAATATTTTATCATTAATTTATTAACACCATTCATGCTTTGATGGGGTGATGGGGATTGCTTTTATAGTTTATGCAAGTGAGCACACTTAGATCTACTTTTTTCCCCTTTCTTGTCTCATAAAATAAAGCACATGATTTTACAAACCATTGCTTTGAAACTTTAATATTGAAATTTAATGACTCTCAATTTTGGCAAGTTTCTTTATTTTTATTATTCAGGGAGACCCACTTAGAAAAATGTTACCTATTTTATGAAAACATCATTGTCAGAAATATGTTAACTTGTGTAGTGTCAAATGTTAAAAAATGGAGAAAGAAATTGAATATACATTTTATATGTTATTTAGCTAGTAATTACATGAGGTTTTTCAGATATAATTTGATTGGCTGAATTATGACATGTACATGTATGTCAAGTTTCAAATAGAGCAATTTTGATTGTACCATTATTCAATTCTGTATTGTAATTCTGAATTATTTATATTAAATATAAATTATTGGCATATCAATTGTAATCATAAGTAAGTAATTATTGTTTTAAACTCCAATTAACATGATTACTGTAATATACTTAATTAATTACATAAACATCTAATTTAAGGTAGTCTTACTATAATGCTTTTCCGCCAATATATTCCAACATCGGCCAATATCATGGTGAATCGGTTATTTCTGGAATGTTATTTTTGGGCATTAGATTATTTACAGTCACAAATCATTTATTGCTATGTACTAGACTCCCGTTACAAACAGTTAAAAATCATTGAATACCGATGATTATGAAAAATAACGTTTCGGAAATAACTCATTCATTACGTTATTGGCCAATTTTAGAAAGACTACCGTAATACATGTTTTAAATTCATATATTATTTATTTATATTGTAATGTGATGTTTTTGGTTTCTATATCTTGATAATGCTGGATGAATTTTATATTCCAAGAAGATAATCTCCAATTTTTTATTTTTAGATATTATAATGTTATGATTATTATGCATGTACATTAATTAATGTGAAAGTAAAGATTTAAATATAAAAAGGAACAATTGTTATTGTTGTGAATTTTTTTCTAAAATTAAAGGCACTCCACTGAGGTTCATTGACATGACAACACTAAAATAATTTTTTTCAAGATTTGTGTACTGGGCGCGGAGCAATAACTTGTTTGTAAGATCTCAAATCGTTGAAGGGAGACACAGGCAAAATTTTTATTTCTTTATTTTGATTTTTTCATTCATTATTCTGTAAATGTCCTCAAAATAAATGTACAAGGCAGTCATATAAGAACAAAACTTTTCTCCTTATAAAGAATAAAATGGTGGTTTCCAAACTTGACCCACATAGGTCCGGTTAGAGCGTTATGATTTCACAATAGTTGTCACAGTGAACTCTGGAAACATTAAAGATCATGTCAAATGAATGGCTTAGACTTGTTTCAATCATATAATATCCACAATATCTGTTATTGTAACTTCCAGGGTTTTTTCAAGTCACAGGGCTAGTTTTAAAAATACTCTGTGATTCTGTCGGCATCTAAATTTTGTTCAATATATCTAGATGTATTTACGCTTCAAACTGAAAATATGTAGAATTTATACATTATAAGTTTGAATATAGAAATCAACTCCAGTTTCAATTTAAAAATGTAATTATTTTATTTGAAAAATATACAGAATATATATATATAGAATTTATACAGAAATTCATGCTGGGACTTCAAAAAATGTCATTTTAGCGTAATATGAGTACATTAAATCATTTAGATTTTTTTGTCATTTATTTGCCTGTCAGAGTATCCCTTTAACCATAATGATAATTTAAATCATGCAAAATGATCAAAAACTGAAAAACGATTAAACTCTCAACTCGAGTGCAGCAAAGAATCACACAAATATTCAATTTAATTCTGTGTAAATTTTTTCATTATATGACTGTATTTTGCATAACTTAAGGTTTTTATGATTCATACCTCAATTGAGCTCTTTAAAGACACCTTAGCTGATGATGTATTATATTACCATGTATGTACATTATGCCAAAATAAATCTTTTTTTCAAATTTAAATTTGAGTTACAACATATTTCTTGTTGCTCTAGTGTTAAACAAGTTCTTTCAACTCATGTAAATAAGTTACAAGTCTGCTCCCTCGACCTTACTAAGAATGGTGTTGTATGTGAATACACATATAATATAATAAACCACTCAAAACCGGAATCATTGGTTCAAGCTCTACTCAGATCACATTCATCTGCTCGAATTAATTACGGTCCATATTACGTATATGTCAATTGTAACAAAAGCTGAGCCAACACCAGGGAAAGAGTGGGGGTGTGTGGAATGAGCTGATTTTTATATGTCCTCTGCACTGCTTGGTTAATACAATGGTTTCATTTTGGTGCCAAAATGGCTGAGATATTTGCAGTGGTGGGGACTCAGTTTCCTATAGGATATGGTGTCTTAAACTAGGAGTTTGAAAATCCAAAGATTAATTTTATTCAACTCTCAATAAATTCAGTATTGAACAATTGCTCATTAATTTTAATATCCTAGAATACAATACATTCAACCACCAAATTGATTTCAGATAATTAAATTTCTACAAATTCATTAAGCATATAGTTAGCTGAAAATACTGAATTTATGTGGAAATTAACAACATCCTTATTCTCCTAAAAGCTTTATTATCTATCCCCCTTCTGTCTGACACTTTTGTCCGGAGCATATCTCAAAGAGTATTTAAGGTATCAACTTGAAACTTCATAGGTGGATAGATCATATTGAGGAGGAGTGCAGTGCACAAGAATGATAACTCTGTACTGCATAATTTTTAAGTTGTTGCCCTTTGTTATTTTTCAAACTTAATTTTTGTCCAGAGCATAACTCAAAAAGCCTTTGAGATATCAACGTGAAACTACATGGGTGGATAGATCTCACTCAGGAGGTGTGCAGTGCACAAGAATGATAACTCTACCTGTTATAACTTTTTGAGTTATTGCACTTTGTTATTTTTCATACTTTTTGTCCGGAGCATATCACAAAAGTGTTAGAGGTATCAACTTGAAACTTAATAGGTGGATAGATTTTATTGAGGAGGAGTGCAGCACACAAGAATTATAACTTCCCTGCATACTTTTTGAGTTATTTCCCTTTGTTATTTTTCTAACTTAATTTTTGTCCAGAGCATAACTAAAGAAGCCTTTAGGATATCAACGTGAAACTTCATGGGTGGATATATCTCACTTAGGAGGTGTGCAGTGTACAAGATTGATAACTCTACCCTTCATAATTTTTGAGTTATTGCCCTTTGTTATTTTTCATACTTAATTTTTCACCCGAGTGGAGCATAACTCAAAAAGTCTTTGAGATTTCAACATGAAACTTCATAGGTGGATAGATCTTATTGAGGAGGAATGCTGTGCACAAGAATGATAATTTACCCATTATAATTTTTGAGTTGTTGCCGTTTGTTATTTTTCATACTTTATCTCAAAAAGTGTTAGAGGTATCAACTTGAAACTTCATAGGTGGATAGATCTCATTGAGGAGGAGTGCAGCACACAAGAATGATAACTTACCCTGCATTATTTTTTAGTTATTGCCCTTTGTTATTTCAGCCTTCAGTATTCACATAGGTTTTAAATCTGTAATCACTTCAGCCAGCAGTTTTCATTACCAAAGACGTCTTTAGATTGAATTATTCTGCTCTACTACATATACATTCTTACATGAGCAAACACATTCATTGGGGGATGGCCATGCTAACATGGCTCTTGTTTGTTTGGAATTGGTGAATTTTGATGGTTTCTTAAGGCCTTGTTTAAGATAATTGTGATCTGTAACAATTATTACATTGAACATTTGGTAAACTGATCTTTACATTTTTAGCTCCGCTTTTCAAAGAAAAAAGAGGAACCATTGTCATAACCCTCCTGGCTTTGGTTTAACTTTTTGTTGAGGTCCATTTTCGCAGAAACACTAACAGCTATTCACATACAAGTCATATTTGTTGTCATAAAAGGACGTCTTTCAAAAAGGCATAATATTGTATTCCTAAGATATTTTTTTGCAAAGTTATGCCCCTTTTTCAACTTGGATTTTTTGCTCTAGTTTTTCTTAGATATTTACTTTAAACTCCCTATACTGTTTTATACATCATTATAAAAATATACACGTATTACCATTTCAGAAGGGCAGAAAATCTTAAATCTTGTATTTTACAAAGTTATGCCCCTTTTTTAGCTCACCTGAGCATGCTCAGGGTGAGCTTTTAGGATCGATGATTGTCCGTCGTCCGTCGTCCGTCGTCCGTCCGTCCGTCGTCCGTTCACATTTAGTTGTTAACACTCTAGCGGTCACATTTTTGCCTCAATCATCATCAAACTTGGTCAGGATGCTTATCTAGTTGATAGCTCGGATGAGTTCGAACATGGGTCATCTCGGATGAGAAACTAGGTCACAAGAGCTAAAAATAGAAAAACCTTGTTAACACTCTAGAGGTCACATTTTTGCCTCAATCATCATCAAACTTGGTCAGGATGTTTGTCTAGGTGATAGCTCGGATGAGTTCGAACATGGGTCATCTCGGATGAAAAAGTAGGTCACCGGAGCTAAAAATAGAAAAACCTTGTTAACACTCTAGCGGTCACATTTTTGCATCAATCATCATCAAACTTGGTCAAGATGCTTGTCTAGGTGATAGCTCGGATGAGTTCGAACATGGGTCATCTCGGATGAAAAAGTAGGTCACCGGAGCTAAAAATAGAAAAACCTTGTTAACACTCTAGCGGTCACATTTTTGCATCAATCATCATCAAACTTGGTCAAGATCCTTGTCTAGGTGATAGCTCGGATGAGTTCGAACATGGGTCATCTCGGATGAAAAATAGGTCACCGGAGCTAAAAATAGAAAAACCTTGTTAACACTCTAGCAGTCACATTTTTGCATCAATCATCATCAAACTTGGTCAGGATGCTTATCTAGTTGATAGCTCGGATGAGTGTGAACATGGGTCATCTCGGATGAAAAAGTAGGTCACCGGAGCTAAAAATAGAAAAACCTTGTTAACACTCTAGTGGTCACATTTTTGCATCAATCATCATCAAACTTGATCAAGATGCTTGTCTAGGTGATAGCTCGGATGAGTTCGAACATGGGTCATCTTGGATGAAAAACTAGGTCACAGGAGCTAAAAATAGAAAAACCTTGTTAACACTCTAGTGGTCACAATTTTGACTCAATTGTCATCAAACTTGGTCAGGAAACTTGTCTAGGTCATTGCTGGGAAGAAATTGAACATGGGTCATCTCGGATGAAAAAGTAGGTCACCGGAGCTAAAAATAGAAAAATCTTGTTAACACTCTAGTGGCTACTGTTGTGATCCAAATATTCTGTTAATTGGTCTGAAAGTTTGTTTTGATGATTTCTAAGTCAAGTTCGAACATTGGTCATCTTGGATGAAAAAAACTAGGTCACACCGCCCAAATATGGAAAAACCTTGTTAACATTCTAGTGGTCACATTTTCGACTCAATTATCATCAAACTTGGTCAGGATGCTTGTATAGGTAATTGCTTGGATGAGTTCGAAATCGCATGTGGAACTAGGTCACCGGAGCTAAAAATAGAAAAATCTTGTTAACACTCTAGTTGCTACTGTTTTGATCCAAGTATCCTTGAAATTGGTCTAAAAGTTTGTTTTGATGATTTCTAGGTAAAGTTTGAATATGTGTCACCTGGGTAAAAAACTAGGTCGCACTGCTTAAATATGGATAATCCTTGTTAACACTGTAGTGGTCACATTTTTGACTCACCTGTCATGAGACTTGGTCAGAATGCTTGTCTAGGTAATTGTTTGGATGAGTTTGATAAATCAGGTGAGCGATCTAGGGCCATCATGGCCCTCTTGTTTACTTGTTCAATTCTAAAATTGGAAATTATTAATAAAAAGCAGGTAGTCATATGATTTATTTTGCTATTAAAGTTCTGTCCCTGTTTGTCTTGAATTTCTTGGATTTTAAACTTGGACTTCATTGGAATGCATTTCTATTGGGTAGGTAATCCTGAAAACCATTTTTATACGCCCGTTTGAAAAACGGGACGTATTATGGGAACGCCTCTGGCGGGCGGGCGGCGTCCAATTTTGTCCGGAGCATATCTCCTACATGTATGGAGGGATTTTAATGAAACTTCATAGAAATGTTCACCACTATGAGGAGCAGTGTCGCGCACATGAACCAGGTCTCTAGGTCAAAGGTCAAGGTCACACTTAGAGCTCATTGAAAAATGCTTGTCCGGAGCAAAACTTCCACATGTATAGAGGGGTTTCAATATTACTTGGCACAAATGTTCACCATTGTGAGGCGGAGTGTCGCGCGCAAGATTCAGGTCCTTGCGGCCAAGGTCAAGGTCACACATAGAGGTCAAAGTTCAGATAAAAATATGAAGATGTGTATATGGACCATTTAGTCATCATTTATTGAGGGATTGTAACACAAATGGTCATTATCAAGACTATGGCTGTGATACATATAATTTAGGTCAATATATACAAGGTCAAGGTCACTAAAGATGATGAAATATCCAGATTTTGTCCGGAGCATATCTCCTACACGCATGGAGGGATTTTAATGAAATTTCATAGAAATGTTCACCATTATGAGAAGCCATGTCACGCACATGAACTAGGTCTCTAGGTCAAAGGTCAAGGTCACACTTAAGAGCTCATTGAAAAACGCTTGTCCGGAGCAAAAATTCCACATGCATAGAGGGATTTCAATATAACTTGGCACAAATGTTCACCATTGTGAGGCGGAGTGTCGCGCACAAAATTCAGGTCCCTGCAGCCAAGGTCAAGGTCACACATAGAGGTCAAAGTTTAGATAAAAATATGAAGATGTGTATAGGGCCGATTTAATCATCATTTATTGAGGGATTGTAACACAAATGGTCATAATCATGACTACGGCTGTGACACATGTACTTTAGGTCAATATATGCAAGGTCAAGGTCACTAAAGATGGTGAAACATCCAGATTTTGTCTGGAGCATATCTCCTACATGTATGGAAGAATTTTTATAATACTTTATGGAAATGTTCACCACCATGATATGTATTGCTCCATGCATGATCCAGGTCAAAGGTCAAGGTCACACTTAGAGCTCATTGAAAAATGCTTGTCCGGAGCAAAACTTCTACATTCATAGGGGGATTTCAATATAACTTGGCACAAATGTTCACCATTGTGAGGCTGAGTGCCGCACGCAAAATTCAGATCCCTGCGACCAAAGTCAAGGTTACACATAGAGGTCAAAGTTTAGATAAAAATTTGAAGATGTGTATAGGGACCATTTAGTCATCATTTATTGATGGATTGTAGCACAAATGGTAACTATCATGACTACAGGTGTGACACATTTAATTTAGGTTAATATTTGCAAGGTCAAGGTCACTGGAGATGATTAAATATCCAGATGTTGTCCGGAGCATATTTTCTACATGCATGGAGGAATTTTAATGTCACTTTATAGAATTGTTCACCACCATGAGACGTAGTGCCCTGCACATGAACCAAGTCTCTAGGTCAAAGGTGAAGGTCACAGTTAGAGCTCATAGAAAAACGCTTGTCTGGAGCAAAACTTCTACATGCATAGAGGGATTTCAATATAATTTGGCACAAATGTTCATCATTGTGAGGCTGAGTGCCGTGCATAAAATTCAGGTCCCTGCGGTCAAGGTCACACATCCTGTGCATATCTTCCCTACTGATTTGTTTTAAGGTTCATTTAACAACACAGTGCCAAGAATAAAAACTTGCTTGCTAGATAACACTTATCCATAATGCCCCCATCTCCATCTAAAGCTTTCGTAAATGGGCGTATTTTGTGACTATGGCACCCTTGTTGCTTAATTATTTCCCTTTATTTTTTTTATAATATTTGCCTTTTTCATAATAACTGTTTAGGTTCAAACTTGAAATATTTGTCACTGTACACTAAAGCAGAATTATGTCCCCTTCTTTATGCTACTTTGATAAAACTATCCAGCTCTGAGACAAGTGAAGTGGGCTGTTGGCGAACTGGTCATGACTATAAAAGTACATAGATTCTTTAGATATGAATCCTTTGTACATTTGTTTGTAGAACTGATTGGCCAAAGGTCACAAAATAATGTCAAGAAAATTGAGTAACACAAATTTTGTTCCATTGTGATTATTGAGCACAACTCTTGATTGTCAAGAAAATTGAGTAATGTTAATTTGGTCTTGGTGCTATTCTTCAAGAATCTTACAGAAATCTTGCACTTTTTGATGTCTCCTGCATTAAGTTTACGCTGATTTTATTTTAGTGCTATTGTATTAGAAGCTATATAACCTTATTTAAACACTCTTTTATATGTTCCTGGAAACAACCAGTTCTTAGCACTAGGGTAAAGTTTCTTGCTCACAGAAATAATGGCTTGTCCCAGAGGGGGTTTAAACCCACAAAGCTGATCTTACCACTTCAACACTCCTATGTTTCACTTATAGAATATCCCTGGTAACATGATACTGAATAATGCTTTTTTGTCAGTGATTAAGAAGAAGGAATGTTTCATTCCAAGAGCATTATTTCACTCCCAAAATGTTATGTCACTTCAACATTTGTGAAATGTGAAATACCAGTCAGGGTAATGGACATTTTTTGGATGAAAATTATGAATAAAAAACAAAATGTACAATTTTTTTATAAACAATTTATTGCAAATAATAATCATACAAAATGGTGCCTACATGGGCACACAACAATAAATACATGATCTCTATATTATATATCCATGGTACTATATATGCAGGCCTCGGTGACAAAATTGTTCATAGGTCTTAATTCATAGGCTTATATAATCTGGGGACTGTCATTTGTAAAGCATAATATCTGCTCCATTTTATCCAACTTCATGCCTGTTTCAATTTAAAACAATGCAAAAAATTTAACTATCCCTTTTTTAATTATTTTTCAATGTTTATTAAAAGTCTTGATTTGTATTGAAAGACTTTTCTCAAAAAAGTTTGTTTTAATAATAAACTTAACAGTGAATTTTCCAAAAGATAACGTACCAATAAAATCTGTCGTAAGTCAAAAATTGACTATGTCAAACTGTAAGTAAAAATGTCTTGGTGTTTTTCATTTTTTATGCTAAACTAAATATATTTCTCATCAACAGAATGATTCTCTTCACCCGGCATAAAAAAGTAATTAATTACTGTGCTTTAATGTTTAACCTTTAGCCAGCTGGCGGCAACTAAATCTACTTAGGACCAGATCTGCCGGTCTGCACTGCTGACTTCATTCAGTACATATTTTGAAATTCCTTAAGAAATAATCATAGTGTGGTAATGGTTAATACAAAACTTTTTAATGGGGGAAAATTAAAAGTGTAAACAATAATTCAAATAAAAGAACTCTAAGATTAGTCCTTGATGAAATTGGTTATTACAGAATAACAAAATAAGAAACTACTCAGCAATTCATTTTTATCGGCGAAATCCTGTCAAGTATGATGGGGGTCAAGGGCGTGGCACTGAATCACATAGAATTATTAGCACTATACAATTGTTTTCAGATCCAAGACTTAAAAATTCAGAGAATCTAAATATATCATGATAACAGACTATGTACAATATACACTATGATAAAAACTATCTTCACTAAGTAATTTACACAAACAGTTTCCATAGAAATGATGTACAAAATGTAAAAACGTTTAATTTTTTACATAAAATTTACAAGATATTACACTCTCACATTAACATGTAAATTCATGAAGAATAAAGAGATAGACTGACTATCAGTATTGTGTTTTGTACAAGGGAAACAATCAATTAACAATTATTACATGCAAGTTGGAGTTGTTCCCCTTTATTCTTATGATTTAGATGTGTAAAATTAATGTTTTATAAACTTTCCAGCTTTCATGAAAGAAAGAAATCTATGAAGAAAGTTGTTCAATCGTTTAGTTTCTACATAAAAATAATTATTGCAAAGAGCTTAGAGTAACAGCCTCAATTTTGTATCAAAAACAATGTAACATTTATTTGCGTTTTTGTTTTTTCAATCAAGTTATTATTTTGTCACATAGAAAACACATTCTACATAAGAATATTAACACATAAACATATTAATTTTTTCTCCGCTATACACGGTGGTACCCATACGAAGACACGTAACAACAATGTCCGGAGATTTCATCATTTTCGGAAGCTTGAAAAAAGAGAAGAAATACTACATTACGTACAGACAAACTGTTACAGATTAACCTTATTCTGTCACATATATTTCAGCAGTTATTTATTATATGCATAGCATTACCAAATGGTAAAATCTGAAGCACCATGACTTTAATATAATACTTGCACATGTTAAAATATAATATAACATTATAAAATATTTCATTGTTTAAGAAAGATACTATAACTTTGGTATGAAATATGTAAATTTTTTTGGTCTCGATTAAAACGTAAAAAAAAAAAACTTCAAAATTTAGTGTAGAATACTAAAGCAAAGAATGACAAGATGATGAAGCACCGTTGCTAAGCGAGAGAAAATCATGAAATTGAGTGGAATATTTTACTGTACATACATTCAAAAGAGAAAAAAAGAAAAAAAAATACAACATACAAAAATATATCAAAATAACTCTATGATTACAAAATATAAAGTATGAGAATCAATGAAAAAATAATCACAAAACACAGACAAAGATGATTGCACATATCCGCAGGTATTATAACACTGTCAAATTTACACATTACATTTGCAAATTTTCATTAAACAGGATAAAAAAAGTTTGTTTTCTGCATTCAAAACAAAATTAACATGTAATTGTTTGAAAAAAAATCTTACAATGATACTTTTAAGTGTAAGTGTGTGTTACATTATAAAACAATGCATGAAATAACTAATAAGCTCAATTATAAAATCAAGAAATAAATCGAGGCACAATTATTCAAAGATATTTTAGTTTGAACCAGCAAGTATCGTAAATAATACACTGAAAAAATTCTGTTCGTCAATTTGTTTCAAAATGATTATTTATAATGTTTATATACAGATTTTCTTTTTTTATACACGTAGCTCTGATCATTTTGATACTATATAATATATACACAAAAAAAAACTAGCATAACTACTTACAATAATGAATTATTTCAGAAATATTGCGAAATAAATAATCACAGATTTTTCACACTTTGCCGATACATGCTGGTATATAAAATACATATATATACATGCCTGAGATATACCAAATCTGCAGTCGTTCGAAGATAAACAATAATTGTATAATGCAGATGAATAAAAAAAAAATATAACACTTCCGCAAAACAGAAAAAGAGATATCAGCCGTGCCATGACAAAACCAACATAGTTTGCGACCTACATGGATCCAGACCATGCTGTTCGCTATCAGTTTCTCTACTTGTAATAGTGTTTGTAGGCGAAACAGCATGGATCCTGATCAGACTGTGCGGATGCGCAGGCTGGTCTGGATCCATGCTGGTCGCAAACGCATTACTTGGTTTTGTCATGACGCCGCTCATATCATTCACAAAAAAAAAAAACAACAGAAAGTGTGTCAACTAACAAAACAGTATTGTACGTATAGAAGATACAACTCCAACAAAGTGTAACAACAGAGTTGCGAGTAACACAGACGTAACTGAATATAAAAGAACATCGTCAGCAGTAATGGGTGTGAGCTTATTGAGAGATTAACAGTTTTACATGTCCAAGCGCGTGTACAGTTTACACATCCGTTTTCTTCCGAGAACGGCAGGAGAAGCACATTAGAAACTTACAATCAAAACTCCAATTATTTCGGTCTACGATATACGTGTCCTTTGTATTTGGAATCTCCTGCGACTGTTTTCCATTATTCAAAATTTCTTTAATTTTGTCATGATTTTTTCGTAAAGTCTGAAAAGAATAAAACAAACACAAAAGATTAAAATTTATTTAGCTGAATGTGAAGCATTTATAATAAGAAAGATAAGAAAGGTAAATGAAAAAAGAAAACCCTTTCCCTGCTAAATTTTAAATTTACGTAATAGACTTGTCCTGTTTTGAATTTGGAATGGTCCATTATTATTTAAGGTGAAAACAATATCGTAAACTTAAACTTTCTGTATTTTGGTGAATTGATCTTTTATAATCATAGACAAAACACAAATGGTGCAAAAGTACTGAATAACCCTTATTTATACAATCATGTAATTGCAAAACTAAGTATTAACACTTAAGTTCAAAATAAAAACTGGAAATGTGCTGCACTAAATAACAATACAATAAATTTGAAGAATAAGGAGTCATAAATAATAAATACAGTACCAAATCTATAAGTCATTAAAGTGTAACATAGCATCAGTGTAAGTGTATTGATGTGGGTGTATTTGTGAGCTCGCACATGTAGTACACATGTTCCTTTATTACATAAATATAACTTATTTCGAAATTATAATTTTTACTACCAATGATGAAACAAAGCTTGTGCTAATGAATTAGCAGTAACAAACCGTCATAAATTTTAGAGGAAATTATTGTTTTTCACAATAGAAACATAATTGCTGAGGGGATTTTACAGTCGGAAGCCACCACAAATCTTGCACCAGATGCAAACACACCTTTTCATGACATAATTTACTTGTTTTTCTAACAATAAACAGATTTCTAGTTGCACTACACATACACTAATAAATGTTACGTTTTCCCACATTAAAGGGAGTTGGTTACATTTGTTACCTGTATTGAATTAATTTTTACTAATACCTGGCATAAAATTTGCATTAAAAAACAAAGTCTCTACATCAGAACTTTGATTTTCACTTAATCCTCACAGACAGAACACCCAAGATATATCAAATTTATACCCAAGATATATCAAATTTAACTTCGTCAATATTCATTGTTTAATTTTTTTCAGTTGTTGAATTCTAATTAGTTAACTCATTTTTATAAGTTTCCCCAATTTACTCCATCGTAGCTTTTTATAAGGTTTTCATTTCAAACAATTTGTTCAAGATAATGTATTAATGAATGACTTTAATACCTTAACATGTTAAACAGATTGTTTCATTTTGATAAATTTTTGTTATGATTCAATAATAAAATATTTTTATGACTATTTACCATCAATGTGTAATCCAGCATTGTGATAAACAATCCTTTCTTAATAATTATATTGTGCAAAATGATGTTAATATTACAATGAAGTTTAAAGAAATAAAATGAAATATTAGTCACAAATTAAAATCTTTGCATTTGGTCATTTTTGTTTTTCACCCTAGGTTTTTTTAAGCTATTTTTAACACCTTTTTGGTTCTTAGAATAAACTTATCATTAGAAAGGGTTAATAAAAAGTTAATATTTCTATAATTCATTTACTTTTATATTATAACAGCCAATCAAAATGCTTGTAAAATTCACAAAGTAAATAATTATGTACCTCTTCATCTGTCCTGTGTCGTGTCATACGCTTGACATCGTCTGCATCATACTCTTTTAGTTCTAGTGGTCCCTCTTCCTTCAGTCGTCCATGTTTCTCCTGCCATGCCCTTGAGGTTGGACTTAAGCTCGAGTTCTTACTTGATGGGCTCGACTTTCTACTTGATGACTCCGGACTCTCGGAGTTGCGGGATGGAGCAGATCTACTGCGTCTTGTACCTTTTAATAAAAAAAATTTAATATTATATTTACAACGTAAAAATAAATCTCAAACCAAAATATATACAGATTTTGCTTTAATCTCCGGCACAAAATACTAGAAGAAACATAAATTATTTAAGGTATAAGCTAGGTAAAACAAGGGAAGCAATTCAACATAATATTGCAATTTTTTAGAAATAATCTCTAACCCCCAGACAAGCCCACACAGACACCAGAAAAAAGTAATCTGCAGACTAAATTTAGGTCAACCAACCAGTTTTCCTGTCTACAAAATAATTACACCTAGATATTGCCTAATTAAAAGTTGAGCCCACTAACAACATGTAAAAATCAAATCAAAAACAACAAAGTCTCAACCCCTTTCAACTTAAAAACATTAACTATCTCATCAACAGCAAGGGTCTGGACATAAGCCAAAATTGCTTCCCTATCAGCTCTAGCTTCATCACAATTATCAATTTCATTTGCTTGCCATTAACTTTATACAATACAGATTTTTCATATAATCTCATTCTTAATATCTTATTTTCTACACCTGAATGAGAACGGGCCAGGTAGTAAAATTGGAGCTCATCAAAAGGTAGGACTAATACCAGGTTAACCTATTGTCAAGCTTGCCTGCAATAAAACCTCTGCTAAAGTTCTCAAGTAACTTGCTGTAGGCAATCTACAATAATTACGCAAAAGTTGAAAAAACACGATGAAGATATTTTTGATCTGATGAAGATATTTTTGATCTCGTACAAAGTAATAACAGCTACGATGGATTAAAAATGTCTTGAAAACCTGATATTTGCACTTGAAACTGATAAATAGTTCTACAATAACAGTTTTCTATGAAAAGTTTGTATTTTCAGAAGCGTTACCATTTTCTTACATACACAGCATTTTCAACTGTTTAATATCTATTTAATCTGAGAGGATTAAGAAATATTAAAGCCATGAATAATATTACAATTTATCATATCTACACAAAAGCAGTCATCAGTGAGTAAAAGAATATAAAAAAACTTCTGCAACAATGCTAGGAAAATCTAAAACTACAAATAAACTATTACTAAGTAAAAGATAACAACTTACTGGGTAGCCGTTTTTTCTTGCTTCCTTTTTTTTTGTCCCCAGAAGATTCTTCAGCGCTGTCTTCATTTATCGTGGAAGAGCCTGAGCCCTCACTTTCCCGCAGCATACTCTCGTACCCGCTGCTCGTTCCACCATGAATTTTATCCGACAGACTGCTACCCTGTTTTGAAATCAAGTCGGCACTCATTGTGCTGCTGTTATCACTGCCGTGTCCGCTACTCGAGTGACTAACCGTTCGTGGTTTGGTCACCGTAGCATACGGAGATAAGAGAGTCTTTTCGATAGCAACAATTCCACTATCATTGCCACTATCTGAGTCATGGCTTCTAGAAGATTTCCTAGAAAGTAAACTAGATTTTTTAGACTCTTTCTCTTTTTTACGACTTGATTTTGAATCTTTTGAGGACACTTGCAAGTTTTTTGAAAACACTGGTAATTTACTATGACTGGGTGACTGAGCTTTAGACTTTGAGCTCTTCGACGTAGGACTACCACTACTTGATGAAGGATGAACATTATATTTTGATTTATCTTTATCTTTCCGTGTTACACTACTATGCGAGTTCTTTATAGACAAGGCAACCATTTTTTGACAGTCTTTACACATTTTAGCTATAGGTTTAGAAACTTCTTGTGAATATCCGCATTTAAAGCATGGTTTAAGTGGCAACGGTGCCGGGACATGGACATCTTCATCAATCATTCCGTCACCCTCGCATTCTCTGTAAGATTTACTGGACATGGTCTGAGATCTCTTCGTCATGTCCATGGACTGACTAGATATTGCATTCACTATTAAATATTCCTCTCTTAATGCACTAACATTAGTCTTTTCAGAAAAGCTTTCACACATTAAATTAGGATTAGACGCTCCATCCGGTTTACGCGAAAGAAGATGAACAATAGGTTCATAATCAAATTGTAGATTTTCTTTAGGTTTAAGGTCCTTATTGCACACACCATTTAACTGTTCAATGTTCTCCTGTCTCATACAATCCACGCTAGAATCACCTACCAATGTTTTTATACTCTGAATTGTTTCTGATTTTTTCATGTCACCAATATTGTCAATACCCTCTGCAAATGCTTCAGCAGTATCCATATCTGAAAGTTTGGCACAAGATGCATTACTAAATGAATCATCATCATCATCGTCACCTTTTCGTGAATTATTCTCAAGACCTTTCTCAAGCTGTTCGTCCATTTGTAGTTCATAAATTGAATCACGATTTTGTAAGGAATTCGCTGTATCTACCGAACTGTCAAAACTCATATCAGCAATGTTACATTCATTAGGAGATTCACTGAACTTGCTCATAGATAGATCAGCATCGGTACAATCAGGTGTCCGTGAATCATTAAGTGTCGTGTTTGGATAGACAGAACTACACGAAGATATTTCACGAGAAGCATCCAAAGAAGCAGCTAAATATTCCGTTTCATGATCACCATTAATTACAGTCTCCCTAACAACATTTCTTCCCACAATTCCTTCCATATATATTGTCTCCTCTGGTTGGTTATTTTCAACAGATTTAAGCCAATCAGTAACTCTTCTACTGGTATTAGGAGGTGCTGGGAAGTTAGGTTTGTTGGCTTTCACCTTCCTATGTATTGAAGGAGAATTCTTAGGAGAGTGGTGAGGCGATTGTTTAGGTGTAGACGATGATGGCATTAATTTTCTAGTCCTAGAATCATGTGGTTTTGGTCGTCTAAATGAGTTTTGTACAGAATCTAAAGTTCCAATCATGTTTTCCCCAGTTTCAATCATACTACCCAAGCTATTATCATTTTCAGACATTCCATGTTTTTGTACCCAGTCTTTCACAAATGGTTTAACTTCGATATTTTCAAGTGGGGCTAAATCTTCATCATCACCAATATTTGTAAGCATGCTATTAGGCCGAGAATCACTAGGTTGTGCTTTATTTGACATTGTACTGTCCTCACTTATTTGACTTTCAGGCCTGTCTCTACCATCTTGCATTTGCCAAGACTGGTTGGGTGACATTCCTTCAGATTTTTGAAGTAATGCAGGGGAATTCATTGGTGACTGATGTCTTGTAGGAGAGGAAAGAGTTCTTACATGTGCTTTCTTACTACTTGTATGCATAACTACCTTTGGTGTGCGATTCTGATTTTCGTCCATTTGATTTTCTGCTAACATTTCTGGTGGTCCGTCCACCCACATTTCTTCTGAACTCATTTTTGTATTTGGTTTATTATGTTTTTGTTCTTGTTTCACCAAGAAAGCTGATGGTCCATCTACCCACTGTTCCCCTGTATTCTGCTTCTTCTCTGGGTATAAAGCCGCCCCTGGACCATCTATCCATTGTTCATCACCTTTTTTCCCTGGTGACGCACTAGATCGTTTTGATCTTGAAGTAGTCCTTGGCCCTTTATCTACAATGTTTGTACTGGCATAACACTGAGGATTGCTCCCGTCCTGTTTACCAGCTAAAGTTTTTGACCGGGAACTCATTTTTTGAGGTAGATTAAAGTGCACACTAGGCGGTGAACAAGACACTGAAGAGTTCATATCAGAAGTTTGAATGTCTCGCACTGGAGTTGTTCCCCTTGATAAGGACCTGACAGGGGTCCCATGCCTTGACCCTGTTACACTCACATCTCTTACAGGAGATGTTATTGCACCATGTAATCTTGATAAACTTTCTCGTGACCTATACAAACTCCTCCCACTATCAGAATTTGAACCCTCATCTCCTGATGACCTTGACCCACTTGCCCTTCTCGGCAGACGAGGGTTTGTCCTTGGAACTGACCTTTGATGACCTTCACCATCAGTTAGTTCTCTATCACTTAGCGACTGATGAGATGTATTTCCCATATAAATGACAGTGTTACACGACTCGCTGCTCGAGGTGTAATCCGGGTCAGATAAGGAGGAGCCCTCATGGAGGGTTCCCATACGAAAACCCCGATAGGGTCGACTCCGGATACTACTTCCATCAGTAGAGCTGTCATCTGAACTTGTTCCAGAAAATTGCTGAAATAGTGAAAGAAACATTTTTAATAAATTCCCTACAGAATACTAACTTTCAATCCATTCAGTTCAAAAGTAACATTCTAAATAACAGAGACCTAATACTTGTTCACTATTTATATAACTAAATCTATTTATATAGGTGGAAAAAAATCAAGGAATTTCGACATACATAAGTAGAGATCTACTAATGGCAGAATATCAGGAAATGAATTGAATAACAACACAGATAATGACTACTGGAATTCAAAAAATAAATCTTAGGTGCAGTACTTATAACATTATACCTGTTACACTCATTTAAACTATAAACAATTGATTATATATTATCATTATTTTTTCGTCTGCGAGAAACAGTTTAAAGCTTTTAAGAACAAGTTGATGGCTTGGTGCGAAATAGCTGTAACTTATTCTTCCCTCACATGAACTATTTATTTATGAGATGAAACTTTTTTGCACCAGGACTCTGAAGTGATCAACTTGTGTTTTATGGCCTGCCGACAAGTTAACAATCACTATGAGGGAAGATACCAGAAGTGGTACCAAGTGTTATCCTTAACATAATCTCATCATAACCAAGACCAGTTTCTGTGGCACTCAAAATTGTTTATATCTTTAAAGTATATACCACGAAAAACAGTGGTTTTATTTGTAATGTTTTTTTTCAAACTGAATATAAATCTACATTCTTTCATTCCACACCTCTATAATAAATCTAATTCAATTGTAAATTTAAATTTGAAAAGGAATAGATACTGTGAAAGAGACTGCTATTTATTTTAGGACATTAAAATATTTCTGAATTTGGTACAAATTTTGCTACCAGTTGAGCCTTAACAATAAATGTACTAAACTGTCTTTTACATATATTTCTAATTTATTTTTTAATAAATTATATTAATCATTTTTTTGTTTGTTTTATTTTTCCAGTCTTGTCAATTGTATAAATAACTGAAAATGATACAGCATTCAAAGAAATTTTCATTCAAATCATCTTCAGTAAGTAAATGCTGTTTCCATTTTCATATAGTAGAACATTAGTAGAAAACACAAAGAAGGTCTTTATAAGCAAGTTATTAAGGTTGTTGACTTGGGGAGACAGGTCCCTGACCTGTGGGTTCAAATCCTGCCAAGATCTTCAGATCATTTCATGTCATATCCAGCTAGTTTTCAGAACTTTGGTGACTGAAAAGAGAGGCGCGTAGGGTAATCCTCTGCCAGGAAAACTTGAATGGCCTGAACATTGTTGGTGTTACTTAAAACCGGGAAACCGGAAAAAAAAGAAGAAAGGGGCAATAGAACAAGGATAACTAAAAAATAGAACAAGGATAACTATAAGACATGTACTTACCCCTCTGACTTTTCTACGTCTCATCCTGTGTATACGTGCAGCCAACTGTATCACTTGTAATGATTCATTATAATGGGGTATCTCCTGTGATACATGTGCTATCATACACGTGCGGCACGTTATATTCCCGAGCGAATCTCGTAGTAACTGGGCTACCTTACTGTCCCTGAAATATAGTAAATATAAATATTTGAGAAAATAAATTTTATCATTCATACAAAAGAATTTTAAAACTGCTTGCCAAACCATCTATGAAATGATGGGTAAAATTTTAGTTTTAAATTATGTCGAGCCTGTAATACTTTTTTCATTTTCATAATGAAGAGTTCATTTTTCAAGCTACATTCTCCTTGATTCCTAGATACATAATTAACACTTCATAACCTAAACATATTCCAACCAACTCTAGTATCCTAAAAAATATAATAAAATAGAAGTATAATTCCATCAAATCTTTTTCCTTTTTTAACATTTTTTAAACAAATTTTTTTGGGAACAAATTATTATTTTTTCTACTGTTTATTTGTTATAGATATATCCATTTAAAATTATACGTATTTCTTTTTAAGTTATATTTCAAAAAAATGAGTACTAACGAAAGTCACTTTTTTTTCATTATACACTAGATCCTTTCGATTCCCGCTGCCAAAAACAAATGGTTCTAACTATGTCAGTATGAGACCGCGTAATTCCCATTAAATTTTACGATACATTTTTTACTGATCTCCTGCCAGAGTTACTACCCCCATATTAATCTTTTACGTACAATATTGAAAATCCACAACTAGGTGTTATGATATATATTCATACAGTGTAATAATTATTCCTCAGATATTTGTGTTGATCGCGAATGTGAAACGATTGGTTAACACGTGTATCGTAGCGAGGTCCATGCAGGGTACCTAATGCAAGTAGAATTTTCTTTTAAAATATTCTTATACTCATTAAAAAATGAGTCAAGATGAATATCCATTATCAATTATGAAAAAATTTAAATGAGTTGATCTTGAACTATAAGACTCTATTAAAATGGAATGAACGAGTACAAAGTTCCTAAGATGTAATGCTTTTTTCCCTTTTTTTCCTAATCATGGTACAATTACAATAATTTTTTTTATCATGAAGCTCGTGCTGCTCGTAATCCCGTGTCAGTATCTATCTTAATAAAATGGCTGACATAAAATTACAAGGATCACGGTGAATGTTATATTGACAGTGAGTGAAACTTATCCCTTAAATCTGGAATTTACCTTGTATATGCTCGGGTAATGCCTCCAAATAATTAAACATACATGAGTCAAATAAGCCTGGCAGGCTTTACCTATCATCTTTAGCGTTAAATGACATGTTAATATAAATAGATGTAACATTGGTTCATTTCAATCACCCGAACTTCCCGCAGGCCAAACTATTAACTTAAAACATCATAACCCAATTTACCGTTCATTTGACGATATTTAACAATTATATAGAAATATCCAAAAAATCAAACACTACGGAGACTGGGCGTAGATTTCGCATCTGGAACCTATTCTGATGTTTACGGGGAATATGAAATTATCTTGTAATTCCCCGACTTAATAAACACTATGATAACCGATGTAAATAACCTGTTGGAAAAGACAAAATTGATTTAGTTTGATAACAAAAAAGCTATAATAGTCGTGATCAGACCAAACATAACACGAGAATAATGTAACCTTTATGTACAATGATTCAGTTGAAAAAATTAGCAATAATAACCACTTGCAAACACTCGATTTTTTTGTGGGCCTGACCACAGACTATGATTGTGAGGTTGGTAATATATTCTTTTATATTCTATACACAAAGGTCTGACATTTGGTTCTGTTTTGTAAAAATCTTTAATGTTTGTAACATAGGTCTGTTAACATAGCTTCACAGTGGTTGTTACAAGTCTATGATATAATGAGGGGAAATTTCTACAAATACGAAAGTATGTCTAATATTTCTTTTCTTTTTTTGCTATATAACTATTCCTTATGATACAAGTCAGAAAGAATTCGCATGCAACAGGTCTTCAAAGTATTAATTTTTGTTTGAAAGAAGTAAAAGTTTTTGTTAACAGTAATGCACTCAAAATAAATAAATGACTAAGTTAAATAACCCGACATCCTATTATACAATACTTACTTCTCTTTCCCCGACAATAATATGTTAACTTTACAATTTCTAGTGGAGAAAAGTGGATCAGTGGAGAAAATAAGACCTGTCTTTGAAACAACTCCTCAATTTGTAACATCAGTGGAGGAAATAAGACCTTTCATTGAAACAACTTCTCAATTTCCAATATCGGTGGAGAAAATAAGACCCGTCATTGAAACAATGTACTTTCAAGCAATATCACAGGAAACAAACGTCATAATACATTATTGTCCTAACTATTACGGTACTAACAATTTCTAAGTTTTTTTTTAACATTTTAAAAAATTACACGTTATTTTCATGGCACAAAAACTCATCAGATATCTAGTCTTTATTTAGAGGCAAGACAACAAGTGAACGCACACACGCACCATTTTGTTACTAGAATAAATCGCAACATCAATTATCTATAATGTTTCCACTCCATGTTATCCAAACAATCAGTGATCTTCAATGAACACATAACTCTTGGATGTGTTTCTGTGAAGTCGATTTTTTGTATGTTCGTTAAATATCAAAATGATCAGATAAAGAAAATCACAGTCTAAAAGTTTCAAAATCTTTGAAGAGCTGGTATTCACCTAATACTAGAAATATCTTTGAAAAACCACAGCAAACTTTGTGAAGTCATGCACATTATAACATAAATTGATGAACATCTAGATATTAAACAAAATAAAATGCAGCAGCTGCTTTCTTGTATTTCTTTCTGTTGAAGTTTTCTCTTTGGGTTAAATCATTTATAAGTTCTCTTAATGAAAATCAAGGGAGAAAACTCCTATGAGCTTAAATAAGATCTTTCTAATATGCATACAATTTCAGCTTCTTTGATACCAGAAAATTTACAATCAGAAAAATGTAAAAGCATTTCTTTACAAGCTGAGATATAGCCATCCTTTCCTAAACATGCACATCAAACATCATAAAAAACACTGTTTCCTTTTCAATTTTATATGATGAAACAACTGAACTTGCAAATGAGACAATATTTAAATCATGGTAACATTTTGAACAATGTTTGTTCGTAAAAATTTCCATTTTATCTCATAGTTCATGACATTTGAGTCCCAGGCCTGCATGTTATACTAAATACATTAAACTCTAATATGAAACTGCTTTGACATATTCTAATGGCATATTTAATCTCTATCTCAGATTGCATAGATTAGTGTACAATATTTAGGAAACAAGATAAAACCTGCAGGGCAAGGCAGTATATTTGAAAGAATTAAAATCTCGGAATTAAAAGCATGGCAATGAAAATATATTTTAATGTATTGTATACACTTGTTTATTTTTGTGAAGTTTTAAATCCATTTACCCACAATCAGATTATTTTTTTATCAGAACAGGAAAACCTGCAATTAAAAGACCATCTCTGATTATAAGATATTCTAAAGACAAGCTGTCATAGGATAAAACCCATATTTTTTTCTCTTATATTTTCACAAAACATATAGCCCAAAAACCTATGTTCAGTTATCATATATTATTAAGAACATCCTTTCCAAACTCCATAAAACTGGTCATTATATGCAGGTTTGACATCTCAGAATTACGATATCTACCGTACAAACATTTAGAAACTAGTTTTCAGAGTATAAAATTATAAATACATGTATAAATCACATTCACTGGTTATTTAGATTTATTTTGCGATTTTTATAATAGCAAAACAAAAAAAGGAAAACCTCTTTAAAACGGTTTAAAATTTTTGATACAAGATGGAATATTCAATACAAATAATTAACACATTAGTATCTTATGATTCCAGTTTGGCACGGATTATTGAACCCACAATGAATATGGTAAATTTTGCCAAAATATGTCTCGTCATTCAATTTTCTCTCTCCAATTACAAAAGTTACGAAATTCCATTAAAAATTTTGAGGCAGAACAAAACTTTCGAACATTTTATATATTCAGCGTATGATGTATTACCCTATCTTCTAAATGACTGCGTTTTTCTGCCTTCTAATATGTATGTGAATCCAATGGGAATTGTTTGGAATATTTTGCCGTGCTAATATGAAATTCCATTAATAACCCGTTTTTGACTAAAATGACAGGAAATATTTCAAGGGAATTACAGGCCAGTCTACGATAACATTTTGTCTGCTCCATGGTAAGCCTATCTTACAATCCATAACTTTTTTTTTTTGAAAACAAAAATTCAAAAATCACATATTATATATTAAAGCCCATTATGCCTCAGAAATGCTTTTATTTTTGTTTCTCAAAAGCGTTTTAATTTTGGTGTACTTTTATAGTACCCTAAAAGTTACTCATACTCATTTTTACCTTTTTCTTTGGTTGCTTTATGGCCATAAAGACAATTATAGTGAAAAAGCATTTTGTATGGAAGTGAAAATTCTACTTTGTTTACATTTTGCTTCTTTTATGACAAATTATTTCACATTTACCATTACTTTCTTCAGGAAACAAGCATCTAACATTCTCTAAACCCATTATTAAACATTTGACCTTTTTTAAAGAAGTAAAAATTATTAAATTTTGTTTCTGAGCAAAATGTGGATTCCCACTGATATTGTCCCTTTAAGAATTGAAATCTTTTTTTTTTTCCAGTGACATCTTCAAAATTACATATTGTCACCTTAGTGCAATAACCTAATAAGAACTTCTAAATTTAAGAGCAGTTATTCAGTTATTGCACTAAGGTGAATTTATTATATTCCATTGATTTGATTGGCTTTCAGATTTTGACATCAACACTTAAAGTTAATTCAATCTCAGACATTTTCCCAAACTAAGTTCTTTTCTATCAAAATTGAATTGAAAAAGTTATAATTGTTTGTAAAATAATCAGTTTTGAGGTAAAGTGTACAGTCACAACCACTTAGTATTAATAACAACAACTTAGTATTAATAACAACAACTTAGTATGAGTCTAGATTGAGACTCCAGTAAAAACAATTACCATACTAGTTCCTGGGTACAATAGATTATCTCCCTTCTTATTTGCCCCTTTCTCTTTTAAATGCTTACTGTTTAATATGGAACTATGTGTTTTATCTAATAATTATGTACAATTATCTATCTGTTTAATTTCATTACATAATACAAAATTTGCACTTACATTGTTACATATAGTAATTTATCTATCCATACATTTATTATATACTGTAAAAATACTCTATTCTTTCTATAGTATCTTTTTCTAGAATGGTCAAATATGTTAAAACATCTTGCTTTTTATATCATGACACACAATAAAATATTTCAAATTGCAATAAAAAAAATTAAAATATACTGATAAGCTGATACCAACAGATAAAATACATAATTGTCAAATTATAACACTGTAAACATGCCTTGATTACATAATTTGTTCAAAATTCCTGCCTCACTGGCCCCCAGGGTAGTAAAAGGGGCCAGGCATGATCATACAGGACAGATTTTAATGACTTTGTCTATGCTGAGAGACATAGGATGTACTATAGACATATTAATGACATTTAGTCAAGTATTTAATTATAGTATCCTCAAAGTGAAAAAAATCAATTTTTCAATTTAAAATATAATAAGAAATTTCTAGAAATAGAATGTTTTATGAATTTCTAAATTAATTTAAAGATTCTGAATCATAAGAGGCTATTTTTCACAAATGCTCACTTCAAAAAATCCATTTGTTTTGAAATAACTACTTTTCATTGAAAAGCACATTTTTATTAAATTGAATTTTCAAATCATTTTTGTTTTGTTTTTGGTGATGAAGTGTGTTCCAATTTAACTTTTATTTAGCTTACTGTAAAAATAGACACTGTTGCCTATTATGTTAACTAGAAAATTCATGAAAGGCACATTCCATTACTCAGATTTGAACCAATTATTAATAAAAACCATGAATTTCTATTTCAAATCTAATAATTTAAGTCTTTATTAAAATAGAATTGTCAAAAATAGTGAGATGCATGTAATTAACCATAATAGTATCGTCATATTAACCAATTTGTTTTTTTTTTTTTTTTTTTTTGGTTATTGTCACACCAGGACAGAAGAGGTCAGTCATTATGGCAACTTTCCAGCTTTTTGTGGTGGAGGAAGACCTCAGGTGCTCTTCTGTGCATTCTACAGGTACAAGCTGGCACCTGAGTAGAACCACCAAAATTCCATAAGCTAGCTGGATAGCTTTCTCACATGAAAGAATCATAAGTCCCTGTCGAGATTCGAACTCACAGCATTTACTAATGAAAACTGGTACTTTTAAAGACAATAAAACTAGGACAGATAATATTTTATTAATAACTAATTAAGAAAACTATTTACCTATGAGGTACATGTCTTTGACCATTGAGGAGAGCCATTATCACATTCCCTAATGCCGAAAGACTTAGAGCTACGTTATTTGGGTCTTTGGACTTCGAGGCACTTCCAAGGTCTATGAAATGAAGGCGACTTCTACCACCAGCAACTGAAAATAAAGTTTGTGATATTTTAATATAACTTTTGTCATATAATACAAGTTTCAATATACATGTATATAAAACTTCATTATTTCTAATATCCTAATTTTTTACTTATTTTTTACTGATTATATATTATTATTACTTCCAACAGGGCACAAATAACATTATCACACTATGTTGTAAGAAGTAACTTTTCGGAACGTCTGTAATCGCCCTATAAAAATGCTCACTAAAATAGAATCTTAAAACATAATCAGTATGTTTAGCTATAATGTTTGCCTATAATGTTCACATTACCTATCAAATCAAGGCAGAATTGTCACAGTAAGAAATTATAATAAAAAAATCCAAAGATAATTCCTAGCTATCTCCCAAATTCATTTTACATCATCATACTGATCTTTTTACACTGAAGAACCTTTTTGGAACATGGAGCATTAAGCATGCAGTATTCACACCAGAAAACCCACCGATTCTAAAACCGCAACAACCTCACTGACAGATTTCCGACAAATCAAGAGCACTCTAGACCCTTGTTTGTTAAGTGATACCTTTTTATGTCTGATCTTTATCACTCTCTTATACCTAATGTAAGTTCCATGGCTAAGTTGGCGTCCCACAAGGAGACACACTTGGCCCTGTTTTATTTTGACTGTTCATATGAGTAATTTCATGAGTTTTCGAAAATCAGCAATTTCATGGAATCTAGAGTTAAAGATAGACTTGGAATTATAATATGCACATACACACACACCCGCTCCTGTGGCTGAATGCAATTACATATTAAATTAAATTAGAAGTCTCTCTTTCTGTATAAAACTAATGAGCGTCACTCGTGTAAAACTTACCAGCACAAGTATCGCAAGCTTGTCTTTTACATTATATCATAGCTCTGAAGGTTTCAGACAATTAATTCTTAAGTGGGTTTTTATACAACTTAACTGCTTCAAACAATTTAAAATTGGTAGCCCGAGGCAAGAGACACAAACTCTCATATGTTAACAAACAAAATGTTTCCACTTTCACATGTTTAGACAAAGAGAGGCAGTGAAAAGTTTTCCTGATAAATAAAATTTAATATGCCTTGGGCTATTAATCTCAAAATCTAATTTTGAACAAACGAAAAAAACAACAACATCATATATACAACAATTATTTTCTTTGTGACAGAATTATCTGCATACTAGATCTTTTAATTTATTCTTAGAGTACCATCTATAAAAGATTGAAGGAATTTTATTATAATATATAATTATACATTTTCCTAATTATAATAAAGTTATGAAGGAGCAAACGTTACTATTAAATAACATAGCTTATCATAACACAAATTCAACCAACACCACAGACTTATATATGTCTATTAAAGTAATAAACTGCACTCTGGGATACATTTAAACTTTCCCTCATTTCTCATAAATAATTTGGCGTTAGTGGTGCTAAAAAGGGGACATCAAAGGCTATCTGGGGTCACATAACTAACTATTCTCTGAAAAAATGCTCATTTTTCAAATAAGTCTTTCAGGGAGACATTTTTTTTTCTCTGCCTCTTTTCATGTTCACATTTCATTTCACCTAAAACATATGTTCTAAATTAGAAAAATGCAGGTCATGATTACAGTTTTAGCTTCGGCACCATGTGTGTAGTCAAGCAGGGCTCTCGCTGATTGGTACTCCTAGTGGAAAGTACCGCTATCCCTAGACAAGTTTAGACAAGTTTCGACCCTTAAACATACAGGGCGGAACATCTTCAAAGGGATCATAAACAATAAATAACTGTACAAAATCATAACCTAGAGTCGCTGCAGCCTTCTCGTTGATAAATTGATATGGTATCAAAGAGTTCTCATGTACCACAAACCATGAGAACAATTCTCAGCAATGTTATCTTGTTATAACTACAGCATTCATGAAATTATTTTTAGTAAAAAAAAAGGAACAAAAAAGAAAACATTGTCAACTAAAACACTTGTTGTTAAAAGTGTTGATTCCAGTGGGGGGGGGGGGAAATAGAACAGCTTGTACATTGAGCAGAAATAATTGAATTAAGTTGTCTTTCTTGTTAAATGCTTTCAGCTTCCGTTCATTTCCGATACTCATCTTCCTCCTGTATTTGATGTTTTATAGAGAAGGAAATAGGGAGACTTTTATGATCTAATGTCTTGGTGCGAATATGGCTCCATTCAGACTACTAATGAATCTTTGAGCAAAAATCATGCATGGACACCATGGGCTACCAGTTTACTATTTGATAAACTGTTACAAATTACATTAAACTTACAAAAGCTTCTCCTATCCCACTTAATTCTTAAAGAATCAAACAGTGGGGTCAAAGGTTTAAATCTTTGGCCCATGCATGCTGTGAATTTATTTTTTTGTTCTGGTGACTTATAGTCTTTAATACCATCTGGTATCTCTAGTATCACATTTATCTCATTGAGGTAACATTATGTTTTTTTTATCTCATTAGTTAAATGTAGACTTTAAATAAAAGAAGGGATGATTATCTACATTTGTTTTTTCTTTCTCTGACTGAATAGATCATTTTGAGAATTTATTAGAAAAATTGTTGTAAATCCAAGCTAAATAACCTAATGCCCTACTTACAGTAATGGCCATTAACCCTTGTTTAGTTAATTCCTCTAAAATCTTGGCAGAATCAATTTATATTGTCTCCGAGGTGTATTAGTAATGGTATCTCAAGGACAGTGGACAAAAGAAACGATTAAGTCCAGTTCATTGCAAGCTTTGACCACTAGAGACAAGGGAGTACTCACTGACATTTTACATCAATGTCACTTAATTACTTACAGTTATCATTATATGAGACATGATTTATCACAGTCATTTCATCCGATTCTTTTAACAAATATATAATTTAAGAATTCCTGTCTTCTCTTTTTTACAATAAAAAAAAGAGAACAGAGTTTGATTTACTTTTGAAATTAACAGAGTGATACCATCCCTCAGGGAGAGAAATATGCCACTGATGCATTCTGACCATATTAAACATTTTTTAAAATATATAAAACAATATTTTGTTTCCATTCATTTCAGGAATTTATATGTTAATTTCTTGTATTCAGATATTTTTGTATTTAAATATGTTTTTTGATACTTATATAAATCAATTTTGTTTAAAGCAATAGATATATCATTTTATTTAGGCCTTAATAAATCTTGAATTTTGATTGCATTAACATTATATTTTGACAACATTACAAATTTTACTTTTCTGAATCATTAATTTTTTTCAGAATAAATATTTAATTTTGTAAATTTGTAAAAGATACACAGATAAAACATGCAAGTGTAATTTACAAGATTCTTAATATTGTCCATTACATGTAATTAGATTTCACAAGATTAAAAATAGATAAACAATCAATATAAAGGGAGGTAATACAACTTTATACATACAGGGGTGTTAACTTAGTATGTTTATCAGATTATGATAGTCATCTAATTGAAGCAAACAGGTGTAAAATCAGAGATGGTCAATCTTGACAAGATTAATGTGACCTTCAGCTTTTCTAAAGGTTAAACATGTTATTTTTAGACAAATCGTTTCATAAAATTGTCCACCACAAACCCAGCAATCATTGTAAGAATCAAATCAAATGATAACGAAAGTAACTTCCCTATTTGCAAAGATGAAATAAGAAATAAATTCCCTTCTGCTAATGTGAAATATAAATGGAGAAACAACTTCTTAACAAATGCAAAATTGTAGAAGAAACAACTTCCTCTAATGAGTTGGGGTTTACTTCTACACTTATTAGTGAAATGGAATTGCCCTGATTTGAATTCGGAACAGTCCATTCTAAGTTTTAGGAATAATTATATTGACATACAAAAATTCACCTATCAGCAGTATTGAACCTGGTCAGAGTGCAGGGATGTGCTGGCTGGTCTGGCTCTACACTGGTGGTAAACGCTAATCATTGGGTCCCAGCAGGGTAAGGGTTAACCTTGAATCTCTAATATAGTTTTATTCTACCAAGTACACATAAGAGTTGAACGACCGGCTCCGGTAAACATTTCTATAATTTATAGTATTTTTTAGGGAGCAGCAGAAAAACATAACATCAAATGTTACATAACACGTAACCACAAAACACTAAAAGCAGCAAGTTTTTTTATATTTATGTGGGTAGAAACAAACTTTTTATATTCCTAAAGGGATTGACACACGCTTGTCTAACTTTGTCATATCGTGGGAAATTCGGCAATTTATTTCATTCATTTTTCACAGTAATGAAAAAGACTTAAGTACGGAGTAATTAATTTCTTACAGCAATCTGAACGACTTAACACAATACTGACTTAGTTCTTTCTCGCCTTTTACTTGTGTTACAAGCGTATCGCATTAATTTCACCACATGCAAACATCAGATATTTTGTAGTAAATTTTGTAACTGATAAGCCCCATAAATGTTGAATGAAAAATGACATGAGGAGGAAGTTATTAATGACAGAAACAGGCTGCAATTTGTATAAATCTGTTATACATATCGAAACATGATTTAATCTTATTTCAAGCATACATCTTTTTTCTTTTTTTTTTTAAAAAAAAGGAAGGAATTTCAACATGGCTCAAAGTTCAGCCAGTGTTTTTCAACAGCTATGTTTAATAGGTAGAAATAGGAAGTGTGGTTCGCATTTAACTAATGCAGGGTTAAAAATTTGAGCAATTATTTCTGAAAATTGAAAAAATGAAAAACTTTGAAAGAAGCGGGAACGTTTTTGCCAGAACATGACAGTATAAGATGCCAATTTAAGTTAAGATAAAATAAATTCAATTTTAAAAGTATTCTCGATAACCTGTTTTTCTATTCTTCACACAAAGACTAGCTTATCTATTTCAATATTCTTAGAATTTACCCCCCAAATAAGCATACCATCAAAACATCTATTTTTTTGAAACACTTAGCATCACATGAAGTTCTCGTACATGTAAATACTAAACTGAATATCAAGCAAGATACATAAAACCACAGCAGTGAGAAGAAAACAAGACATATCAATGATATAAATTGTTCAGTCATTGATACAAACGATGAATTATTCAGAAAAAAATTCCTTGAGGGATCTTTTCTGATCATTCCTTGAAAATGTCATGTAATAGTTCTTTGTCCATGGGGAGTTGCCCTTTGGTCCGTCTTGTCAGAAACAGCTATGCCAGAATACATAAATACGAGGAAAACATAGATATGTTGCGCATACAAAATGGATATGTTTCTTTATTCAATAGAAGAATCTATATACTCAGAACAATCATGTTCAGTTCAAGACGTCTACGAAGGGAAATTAGATTCCATGACCTTTCACTCGAAATCAGTTACAATCAACGCAATAATCAAAATGTTTGTAAAAATAATATGTGTCTTTTCCTTACAAGGATCCTTTTTTTACTATCAAGGATGAAAAATGCTATTGTTTTGTAGTATACATAAGAATGATGAAAATGAAATAGTGAAATTCATCTCCAATCTTATAGTTTTCGCAAAGCATTCAAAATTGTGTATAATTATTGTATTTTCAAAAACATAGATGCAAAAACACACATCAAGTTCTTTTTTTTGTTAATGAGATTTGTAAACAAAAGTATAATTTAGTCTGATCAATCTATATAATTCATCCTTAGCATTGTTTATATGATTCAACAATAAATCATAGTTAAATTTTTGCGTTAGTTTTCATCAAAAACTACTGTTGTAGACAAGATGTTTTTGCACCTGTTAAATGCAAATCTAATTTAGTCGACTTAATAAGATATGTAAGAAGATGTTGGAATTTTGTGTAATCTGTGTTTGTTAGAAGCAGGTAGCTTATTAAATGAACCAGGTATCATCCATTAAATCTTACAGCACCTGACCAGATCTCTATGGTATGTCATAAATACATTTCCCCACATTATTATTGAATTAAATATCATCAGTTTTTCTAAGGAAAACAAGTAAATTTAAAGGAAAACAGGAAAAATGTTTTCAGAAATAACGTAAGTTATATAAACCAAGGATGCTTAATTTAACTTTTTAAGCGTGTAGGTTCTGATCTCCTTGACAAGGCTGTGTTGAACTATTAATGTATATTGCAATTTTGAAATCTACGCTCCCATGTTGTTTTTAGAAATATACTGCTGAATTATGTAAATGGACTTGTCCGGCTTTTTAATTTGGAACAGTCTATTTTTAGATCAAGGGATTTCATGACATAGATACTAAAATTAAGTGATCGGCAGATGTTATATGGTAAGCCGCAGCACACTAATGTAAGGAAAGTATAATAACTTACCCCCACTAATGTAAGAAAGGTATAATAACTTACCCCCAGGAAGACCAGCTCTGTTTTCTTTCTCTACACGATACTGGTATACATGTAGCGTAAACAACAAGTGTGATGATCGGCTCTCTTCCTCTGTAATAACGTTAACAGATATTTCAATTATCATATGACAAATGATATATATATATATAAGAAATATATGTTGTCCAAGGACACAAATGTACATATGTAATGTTGTATCAATACATTAGATGAAGATAATATAGATATATAGTTAAAGACAAATTAGATCTACTTGACCCGTTTTGTGTGATCATGGTCTGCACTGCCGCTATTCAGTCGGTATTTTGTTCGCTATTCAGTCAGTACTTATTTTGTAACCTTCCAAAAATGATGAATGGTTTTGTTCGAACTGAGAGACGGATGAGTCATTTCAAGGTATTCACTGTGGTAAAGGTTAAGCAGTTTCAACAATACCGATTATTGTAAGCCTCCATAGAAAATCAGGTTAGCCTGAGTCCACATATTATGGCCAGGTTTGCCTGATTATGTACTGGTACCATAATCAATTAAGTCATTGTTGCAGCCTAGTATACACAGGTATAAATATATATAATTTTACAATTACCTGTTTTAGTTCTAGAATTTAGAGCAGCATCAAGATAAAAGGCAGCTTTTTCAGCAGTTGGTGCCCGAAGCTCTGACTGGTTCTCAAGCTGAGTACCAGATATTGGGTCCTCTCTCAGATACACACCGGGAGCCGTCCCAACTCCAGTCTCCGTTCCTAAAAATAGATTGATTACAAAATGTAGTAAAACATGCATTATTATTATGACAATGTTTTCCTTACACTATTTTCAAACCTCATTTTTTGTCAGTAATTATCTTTTAATCATGAATCAAGTTTTTTTATAGTGTAATACCAAAATCAATGATGAAAGGCAAAAATAATATGTGATAATAAATGTATTGAAAACATAATATATCATATATGCCAATTAAATAACAATGAGTATTTATCAATGACAAAAAACTGGCACGGCGGCTCTTAGCTGATTCTATTCCCAGCCAAACTTGAAGAATTTGATAAACAACAATCTACATTTAAATTGTTTCTAATGACAACAGTTATTCCTAATGCATGATGATTTACCATAATAATAATAATATGTAGACAAAATTAAAAGTTTTTGAAAATTATCAAGTCATCAATTTCAAAGGATTTCTAGTGCTTACAATCTCTATTAAGTAAATATTCAAAAGACAAAAAATCAATAAAATTACATTAACTTCTTGCTACACTAATTCAGAGACAGGATTTTTTGGGTTAAATTTTAGCACAATTGGCTATTACAAAAATTAAAAACTTTTTCCAGCCCAACTAGAACACTATAAACTGCCAGGTTCAGTAAGTTTGTACCCACTTAATATAATCCATCAAAGATTCATTAAATCACTTTAATAAATTTCACGTGAAATCAAAAGAAATTTATGATAAACATTTTAATAACAGCTCCCTTACTGAATTTACTGAGCACATTCAAGCAAGTGAAACAGTGATTAGCTAATTCCCCTAACCTCCTTGTGAAATTCACACCAAAAATTCAAGATCAGCAGCCAAAAATTTGAGGATGGTATGACAGAAAGGTCAAAAATAATGATGCCACCACCTAGGTAGACTGGTACCTCAATTGTTAATGATGAAAACAGTGATTACATATAAAAACACGACCAGCCTAATGATGTTGATACAAGAATCTGTATTGGCTGCAAGTTGATTTCCCGCCAATACCATTACTAAACGATTGTTACTTTGTCAAAATATTTATCATTGTTGTTCACAGGTCAGAACTGTTACACATTTTGCAGATTTGAAACAAAAGAAAACACATTTTGCATATTTGCAACAAAAGAAAAAGAAAGAAAAACCCAAAAGAAAAATAATGAACCACAATGTTTTGTTTTTAGAAAAAAAAGGTCAACAAGTCATCAATTATAATTTCATAGGCATTAATATTAAACAGGCATTTTGACAAAAATATGGCCTGAGCATCACATTAACCACCTATGAAGGTATTCAATTGTAATAATTCAATTTCCACAAGTATCAAAAGGGGCTGAACTCTTTCAAAATGTTAGCCAGAGTTATATCACTTGGCAAGCAAGTGTAACCCAAAAAAAGTTATTTTAAAATGAATTTTTGCAAAAAGAATTTTTTTTATACAAATTGCATATCAACAAAATACATCTTAATATAGAAAATTTCTGGCAATTTAACAAACTTTTGGAACAGTTTTTACTCCATAAGAAATATGATAAGATATATATTATGTGACGATTTCCTTTCTTAACCTCTGTTGTGTAATAAGGTGAACATGGCTTAAACTTAAAACAGATGCATAAAAGCTTAAACAATTGTTCATATTCTTTGCTTAAATATGTGTGAAATAAGTACAAAAAATGCATGTTTTGCCTGTTTTCACTCAAACTGTCAATCAGTCATAGACAATAAATACCTACATCTAGCCTAGAGTGTAGTGACACTTGAATTGTTCAACCTCTTTATCCCGCCCACCATTGACCCTGACTGACGAATCCCCCCAGGTTTCCAATTCATTTCTGCCCTAACACTCATTTAAATTAACAAGAAAGCAGAAACTTCAGTTTTTTTCTGTTAAGATACAAGATATATGCCAAAAGGAATTATCTACAATTTCACCAAATCTCGATACAGCACTTTTTCAAATCATGTCTATAAAATCTTGGCACTAATGCATTGTAACATTTTTCTCGGCCTTAAATAATGAGTTATAAAAAGCTTTTTTTCCGCAGCTCATTTTAGCTTTTTTTCCGTTCTTCCCCTATCCAATGTACAGATCCATAATCAAATTATCCGGCAATTAGTGTACCATTCTTTGCTGACACTTCCCACCTCCGACAGACTCCTGCCGCCTCTAATCTGGCCTCGCGACCCTTAAAACTACATTCCTGGAGATCGCTAGTACATATATCTACTATATATCTAACCCTTGTGTCATTGCGGTTAACACATAGTTGAACGGCAGGTTTTAATGGAGTTTTGACAAATTGGTCATGATGTATATATGAAAAATCATATGAAAAATCTTATGCCATTCACAACTTTCAATATGTTTTTTTATCTATATTTCTAGTATGTATGTAAAAAGAAAGGCGAAGAACATGGCACGTCTAATTCACAAAACTTTTTTCTATCCAATAGTAACAAAAACCTTAGTTTTTACACCTGACTACCTGGCCTGATAGACAATTAATTTGTAATCACCGATAATTTTAATGCCACCTAAGCTACTATCCAAGGTGTCATCCTGAATTCAAATTATGTTGTACAAACATGCCACTATGCCTTTGTGTGTTATGCTTAAAAAGATGACCTTTGTAAGGTTATCTGACCTTGCCTATCCTGTATCTACTACTGTTTTGTCCAGCAGTTAACAGTAAATCCCCGAATATCCCCCAGAGCTACAAGACATTGGCTATCTTGGCATTCACGAAAGATGAGTGATGATGGTATATCTAGAGGATTGTCAGTTCTATGCAATAGCTGCATATTGTCTACATAATTATATGATATAGTGAACATACTGGTCATAACTGAGTGACACTCATTGCTAGATGAGCTTTTGACACTGATTAATGAGATTTTTTACAGACAATGTTCCCTACACTTTCTTCCTCTCTCATAGACCTGCTTCCCTCATTTCCTATATTATCAATCAAAAATGACTTACATAGAATGTTGAACATATTTTATGAATGTATATGTCATTTATCAGTAAAAGGCGAAGTCCAGAGAACTGGTAAAATAATTCAAAACTTTTCATTTGCTTGACCACTCAATTTGTGAACTTGAATCAGTCCCTTGTTAATCTATGGGGATTAATATCAAACTTGTTAACTATTTATAGATTGGTCAAACTGCAATGAAGTATAGTATGACTGGTGGCATATAAATGCTGGAAATCAAGAGTTATTAATCTTTGAAAAATTAAATGGACAAATTATGGTCAGTCCAAATGAAAAAGAATGAAACTTATGTTCATCAAAGTAAAATCACACACTGTTGTTTTAAAAGTGATGAAAATTTAATATAGAGAGGATGATTTATATACAGTATCAAGTTTAACTTACTGGCAATAGAGTTTTATTTTTATTTGTGGGGAAGGGGATAGGGATGGCTAAGGCTGTATGACAAACTTTTCAAGGCAGTAGAACCATGAAACAAAACAAAACTGAGATAAAATTCACACATTAACTTACCCTGAGCAACATCGGCTAGCAAATCCTTGAGAACTTCCTGTTTGCCAGAGACCTCCACAGCTGAAACTCGAACTGAGAACCTGGCACCAGTTTGGTCCTTCTGTTCATTTATCACCTTGAACAACCATGAAATAGCACATGGTATAACACCCAGTGTCTGGCTGGTCGAGTCCTCACCAACCATTGTATATGTCTTACCTAAAAATTAGTAAATAAATAAATGATCAAAATTCAAGCAGACGCAATAACATCATCTGTATTAACCCAATGAGTATTTGAAATGGACTTGCCGGTCTTGCCCTGCTTTGAACTGGGCACAGTCCATTTTTAGTTGAAGGGTGTTCGATATTCAGCAAATAATCAGCAAACAATCAGGGTCCCCTATTACATTAATCTCATTTCAAATTGTTTGCCTTTAATTGCTACTGATTAATGGAAACTGTTGACAAGCAAATGATAAAATGAATATAAACTTCATGCCCATTTCCAATTAGATTTATTAAACTTAGTACGACCTAATAACTCATCTTTTTTTATTTGCTTTGTTTACAGGGAAAAAAAAAGAAAATCAGAACGAGAAAAGACAGACACATGGAATATTCTCTTTATCGTCAATTTAACAAAAAACAGAAAATATACAATTTCTTAATTTTTCCCGTACAGCCTTCCTATTCATAACTGTCACGAAGACCTCTCATTACATTGTCTCCCTTATATGACACAACACGAATATGGCATGCACGATTCCATTATCGGAGGAACTATGGGTAACCTGACACCAGATCACGATGGCAGCCCGTCATTAGACCAACAGGCAAATTGACAAGTTGTCACATTGAAATGGACTCTTACAAAGATATCTGCTGAAAACTGGTTATTAGTTACATAAATTTCACATCTTTTCTCTAGGTTTTCAACGCCAAAATACCATGTTTGTGTAAGTTATATGCAAATTAAAGTATTAATGTAAAAGATATACTCATAAGGCATAGGAAAAATGAACGCTTTTAGGGCACGCATTAAAGAATTAGGGAGTGATTATATTGAACTGATCTATAATTGCATGAAACAATCACCAAAAATGATTGCTTTGCATGTAAAAGTAAAATTAAATATACAAAATCTATATCAATGCAAATTTGTTAAAATCTTTGATGGTTCTTCCCTAGCTTAACATTCGCTATTTTATTATTTTTCTTTTTTTTATTTTTCTTCAGAAATATCACCAACACAATTACCAGATAAGTTTACCCCGATATAACATATACTGACAAACCTAATGTCACAGCATCTCCGAAACAACCCTTCTAGATTGACCTTACTTAAACTTTATAAAACCAAGGATTAAAATTTTAAAGTTAAGTTTATTTTTGCCATCTTATCTTAAACATGACTTTACCTAATCTTAAAGGGACTTCACTGAGGTTTTTTTGAGATGACGAGACGAGAAATAATTTTTCGAGATTAATATTCCATTTGATGAAGGTCTATAGCAATAACTTGTGTGCTAAATTTCAGATCAGATGCTCACTCAGTTTTTCCTGAATAATTATTTTAATTGTAAAAAGGTCCAAAAATTGAAAATGGGTCTGAGGTGGTCTTTAAGACAGGTTTGAAAGTATTTTTTCTTCAGCTGGCCATAATAATACAGACTAATTTTGTTCCCAGATTTTTTAGAAATTACATCATTCAACCTGATGATCAATATAGATAGTTAGTATGGAACGAATGTTAGGACAACGCTAATACAATTTGAAAAGCTTGAATTTCCTTACAGGGAAGAAGTCGATTTTTATAACATGACTCAACCCCACTAAAAACATGAGCGACATGGTAATAAAACTGAATAGGATACAATACTGACAACAATTCTGACAAACAGCAGATTAATTTAGCCTATACAAATTTGACAAGAAACCATGAATGTCATAAATTGACAAGCCTCCTAGAAGATCCAGATTCCTTCACACAATCAAGGTCTCCCAGAAGCTTCTGCATGATATTGGAAAGTAATCAAATTTGGTATGTTTTGTTGGGGAATGATCAAAATAATGAGTCGTCCTTCAATTTGAACACCGGAGACAGTAAATTTGATTTTCATGTCTTTGCACGAATTAATGCGACTGCACAGACAACGCTGTAAGGCTTGCTCAACGAGCATCGATAAAAGACCTAGGAAATGATTCAAACATGTAGTTAACTTATTATTTGTACATTAAGACATGGTCCAAATTTTTCAAAGAGATGTTTGTGATGGCGTTCAAAGGACAAATCCAATTTACAAAGAATGAGATTTTTATTAATTAAATTCAACAAAATGAGGATTGTATTGTAATCTAATCACATGATTGGCACGAACAATTCACAACTCCACTAAATAAACAGTAGCTGAACGGAGCTAACAGTATTATGTGGTTTGGCGGTGATGAAGCAAAATTAATTCACAAGGACCTTTTCTACTTGTCATCTATCATGAAATTTACAATGAGTAACAAGGGAAAAAATCTTGACTTCTGGTAAACTGTGACCAATTATTGTTGTTTCGAGAAACTTGTTGAGATCGGAAAACTGTTATTGATGCCTGCCAATATTCACTTGTTGTTCTTACCCAAGGAAATATGCCAGACACTAGAAGTTCTCTTTGATAGAAAATAGTTCTAAACACTTGTACGGTATATAAACAAAATACTGACAGCTTTTGCAGTGATAATATGTTCCCATCATACAGGCATGTCATAATAAATTATATGTTACAACATATGATTTTACAGTACTACCATCATCTATGTTTTTTGCACAAATTTATGAACAGTCTCTATTGATGTATGCATAGCACCATCAACACAACAAAGTATTTGTTAAATATAACAAAGTATTCTGTAGAATCTCATGTCTAAGATCATTCATTCTGTTGTAAATAATCATTCATTACATACTCAAAATAATATTTTATCTGTATAGGCGAAATGGATTTACTTAAGTATATCGAGGGCTAATTTATATTCAAAGATACTTTTTAATAAGCTAGTTGCTATGTTAAAAATGGCGATATATATTGTCATTCTCTTTTTAATTTGTTTTAAAAATATTGATTGGAACTAAGGGCAATAACTCTGATTTTTGTGAAGGAAACTTGTGGGAGCTTTAATGCGCCATTTTTCCTTCCCCATATCTTTATTGCTATTAAGTATTATGTAAATATTCAAGAACATAATGATACTGCTTTAACATACAGCGTGTAATAAACAACGTACCCAGTTTAGAATAGCCGTAAGTAAAAACACAGCCATCAGCACCTGCTACCACACCCTGAATGATTTCCGGTAAACTTCTGGAGCATACCTCCGTCTGAAAGAAACAATAGTAACACATTAGAAACAACACAAATTAAAACTCTTGATAAACGTCATGTCAGTGCGTGCCAAACACATTGCCTAAATTTAGTTTTCAAAACTCCCACCCACCATAGTTTTAAAACAGGGTGTAATTTTTAAAGTAGAAGCAGGGTGAACAATTTATGCCACCAAATTTACCAACTCTTAAAAAAATGTGTGAATCCCAATTAGGTTCATGTTATATAGGTATATACAGCTCATCTTTGATAATGCTACAAGAAAATTGAGCATAACTTTATGCTACAATACTCTCTAGTTACTATATTTTATATTCCTGCATATCTGGCACAGATATTTCAACTTTCTTTCTTACTACTAGGTTAAAAAAAAAATTATCAAGAATTTCTTATTACCTCCCTTTAATAAACTCAAATATCTTCTAAATACATTATATTGTAAACAAAAAAAGATCAGATATTATAAAAGAACAATGAAACACATGAACTACGCTCATGACTATAAAAGTTACTGATTTAGCAAAGGTTTAACATCGGGCTATAAATTGTATTAATGACAATCACCCGCAGCTTATATCGCAACTATTTACTTTTATACCCATGTACATATCATAATACGATGATTCATTTATATCTAGTTTTTACTGGTAATTTATAGTAAAAGAAATTCACAATATCCAAATTACCTTTTGGCAGACATATACTACTATAAAATACATACATTTCTGTGTTTATTTCACCCGTAACTGCTCATTTACGTTATAAAATAAATGTGTACAAGATTTTGTGGTTATAAATATGTTTATAACAAATGGATTTAGCAAATTTGCGGTATTGTTAAAGAGAGACAGTAATGATGGAAATATTTTACTATGGAAGTCTGCGGCCGTATCATACTGAAGTAAAACTAATACTGTCTGAAAATGGTGCTAAATTTTTAGGGGGAAAGTCTTTTTTTTATCATATTCTTTGAAAATACAAATTTTGCAACAGAAGTTCTCAGACAGATAGCAAAAACGATCACTATTTCTATTTTCTAATAGACTTCATTATCTGCAAGAAGACTATAGGGATTGTTGAAGTATCTAGTTGGAATGTCGACAGGTTGATGTACAACAACCCTCATGCTTTGGTTTTGAAATTAGAGCCTTTTCCATTGTAAATAAAAATAATTTTTACATTTAAATAATAAAAGCAGCCACTAAACAACAGGCATTAACAAAGTCAAGTCAATACATTATCTGTGATGTTTTATACAATTTGAACAGCACCATATCAAGTTAAGTGTTTCACTACCTGAATAAATTAGCCAATTCAACAGTCTTGATTAGAATGAGTGAACAAAAATATTTAAGTTGTCCCTATTAGACAATTATTATTATGATCTTTCTATAAAAGCCCTGGGGATGGAACAAACTTTAGCCTAATTTTCCATCATAATAATTTATATCCTTTTTAGAAAAGAAAAAAAAATTGGGATGTTCCTTCATCAAAAGAGAAATATCTTAAAAAGAATTAAAATGTCTCGTATGTTAAAGTCAACTGCACGCACCAACCTAAAGTTGCGGGTTGAGGATTTTGTAAAATTTGTACGTATGACTATAAACACAGCGGTTCATGTGGATAACTTAACGCATTTACGAAAAATATCGGAGAATATGTAAAAAATACATGTAAAATTTTTTGACACGTAATTAAGCCGACGCTTTTTGCATAATCTTCTATAACTGATGGGAAATTAATAGGGGATTTTGTAGAGACTTGACTTGAGAATTTATGTTTCTGAGAATTAAATAATCATAAAATACGATGGAAGCTAACTGTGTATGTTTATGTCTCAATGTATGGTAATGATTCAATTATATATACATGTATTCCATAATTATACATTTCCTCTCAAAATGTTTTTCTAACGGAAATTCATGAGAAGTTTTTATCAAGTTTGAAATCTCTGACAGAGGGTATCTTGATTAAATGTGAAAGTTACAATATTATTTAATTAGAATATAAACTACAGTATTTCTTATAAAATATCAGGCTAAGCAAACATAAATTGGAACAAATGTTCCGTCATTGGAACGGCAAAGGCTAGTAGCCGGTTATTCATTTACATTTTGTATATAAATCATTATAAATGAAGTACTAATTATGAAGAGATTATAAGATACATTCTTAATGTGTTCATTTTTTGAAAAAATAATGACCATGTTATGCATCAGTTAATAGTGACTGCCATGCCTTAGCCCCTCCCCCAACCAATGGGCGTGCGAAAGATACTACAACTTGCAATATGAAATAACTTAGCAGGGATTTTACGATTTGACTGTCCCCAAGTGGGGCCTTTACCCAATACTGGATATTCCAAAAACAAGTCAATACCATAAGTTAAATTTTTCAACAGTTAAACTAGAAACCCATTGTTAATTACAACTTGGCCTTAAAAACCACCCAGCAACAGTTAATCATATATCTAATATTGTCTCACATGGCAGCACCTAAACACTGTTCTAATTAATTTTCTTGAAGATGAAATTTCAGTGCACACAATGTTTTAAAACCCCACAATTCCCATGACCTGACTTTGCATTTAACCGCAGACGTCGCGTCATAATTGTCTCATAATATAGATGCGATCTTACATATGGGGTATGAATTGCAAGAATCAAAAGTTTATCTTTCCGTTATTATTATATCTATGTCTTTATTTCACTCTATGTATTTGTTAATTGATTTAAGATAAGAATTTCTTTGTCCCTTTTTGCTCTTATTTCGCTTTGTTCTCTATATATCTGAATAAGATAAGTAATAATATACAAACGAAAACATGTTTTCTTTTGTTCACATGTTTACAGTAGGTATTTTAATATCTTGATTCTTACGTTGTTTTCTTTTCATTTTTGTTTACTAAGTATATTGACATGTATTTCTGTTATTGTGTTCCCTTTGGTAAAAAGATTTTTGGTACCTGTTCAACCTGAAATGTATATGTAACTAAAATATAAGCTTAATTTTTAATAATCTCAGTGTAAAAACGTTCATTTAAAAACCTGAAGAAAAACAAAGTTAGCGTACCAAGCAATCGTCCGGTGAAAATACACCATCAAAGGCAAACATTTTTGGTGCCATGGCCGCCTTTCTGTGAGCCAGACTGGTAGCATAGCCACTTCCTGCCGGGTCATAGACTGTCACCTGTTTATTACGTGTATCTATATTTAGAACTGAAGCTGCCTGATCTCCATGGTGATTGGTTGAAACTACCCTTAACATTACCTTCACCTGTAATGAAAAAAATACAGTATTATTTTAAATGAATGAAAGTCAAGCTTGTTATTTGTTGCAATATATAAAATCTTCAGCATAAATTGCAAGCATTTATGCCCTATCTAATTTTCTTAACAGATTCACTTTCCCATGAAGATTTCCCTTTTTTCTGTAAACAGTTCCTACTCAACCATAAAACTTTTTTATCTAATTTTTTACAGACTAATTCATGTGTAAAAATGTTTGCCAAAAAACTAAACAGATAAGCAAATATACAAAGTGGTTCATTACTATTGTTTACATGACAACAAGAGTTTCTGTTAACTTTATGGAGATGGATTTCCCAGCTAATATCCGAACCTCTCTAAAATTACGACCCATCCAAGAGGCTTTTTCATAAACTGTTACAAAAAACAGAAAACTAATTGAAAAATCTCAGCTTCAGCTTACCTTCTGCTTCATTAGGATATGAAAAAGCAGACGGCAAAATTTATTTCAGTTCCTTTTTTCTTTCTTTCAATTTTAACAATCTTTGTGGGTTGGAAATTAAATTATCGAAAAATGTCATTCCTCCAAGCCAAAACAAAAAACCAGTGTTGTAAGGGTCATAGTTACACCGTCAGGGTGAAAAATAGCGCAGAAAAAAAAATCACATGCTTTTTTTTTTTATCGTTTTTATAGGGAGAAAATTCAAATCCCATGAGCAGGCCAGTTATCAGACATCTTCCAAACTTCACAGAAACCTTATATAGCAAGATCAGATAATATTCAATTTTATCGCTAGGTTGGACTTTTAGAAGTGCTTGTTTTGTGATAAAATTTCGAGGAAAATTTACTGCTATAGCCAGTTATTGTGTCTTTTATGGTAAAAGCATTGATTTCACATTATATCGCAAAAGAATGTTGGACACACTTGTAACATTGGCTGGGAAATATTATAGGAAAATTATAGAAAGGTCTTATAAAACAATGAAATTTGGCATCCAATAAAAAATCAACTTGATAAGCTTATTACAAAAACTCAAACTAAAAGTCTTAAAATAGCAATTAAAATGTTTTGTTTTTTTAAATTACTAATTTATATTCCAAAACAGAGCTGAAAAAAATTCATGCATGTATAAAAAACAGGTTCATGTCTGTAAATCATACTAAAGATAACCGCTCAAATGAGGATCAACTAGAAACCTTGATCAAACCCCAGCAGGGGATTCAACCCGCAATTCCTTTGCGGAGAGGCACTAAGATCCACTAAGTTTGTAATGCCAAAATAAAAGAAGAGAAAAACAAGCATGGACATAACTTTTATAATCCTCATCTGGATTCAGACAATAATTTACATAACACTGATTCTGATTCAAACCAACAACTTCTCCACTGTATACTGTCTTTTAACAAGTACAGAACAGTGTACTTTACCATAGTAACACACCTGAAAGCATCAGGCCTATATCAGAAATATTGGCCTATTTCTATGGACAACTGATCCTGGCATGCAGCTATATAGTTTCAGGCACCTACAGCAAAGCAGGTATCCACCATGATCCGAATTTTCAACAGATGTATCCTCAAGCTGTTTTCTACTTATTATATATGCAACATAAGAACATACATCCAAAATATTCCCCAGAAAAAAATTAAAACTTGCTGGGTATGATGAAAGATATACAGAGATAAAATTAATCAAATTTTAGACAAAAAGATCATTTTGAATCTTTTTTACCTGTAAATTTGAAAAGAAACGATTCAGAAATGAACAAATCATATGCATTCATTCTATATACAGAGCAGACGACATTTACATTTAATATTGACAAAGATGTAGATGAAGGAACCGAAGAAATTTTCAATGTCACACGAAATTCTGTATCAGCAGGTCACACAGAGTACCTGTCTCCAGTAATTCCACACTTCACGTATCATGCATGTCAGACCGGTAGGGGGCTCAAGCCTGGTACCCAGGTTTCAATTATAAACAGAATTCTGGCACACAAACCCAGTTTGCCCCCCTGTGGCATGGATAACATGTTTAACCTCTTGTTAATCAGTAACAACAATGTGGATAATCTATAGACATGATGTTTTTCATCTTCTACAACAAGCTGACATAGCATACCTTTCTATTTATTTTGTACAAACATTTTCATTAAGAGCCCGTTTTTTTCACATTTTATTGTCTATTCCACAGATCATATATTCTAAGAACATAGTTTATTATATTATATGATTTATCGTTCTTGTTTCATAGTTCATAATACATCTTTTATTCAGCATTGTGATATGTCAGTTCTAGTTATGTCAGAAAAGTTTAGAATCTATATTCTAGAATTAAACTTTCTGAATATCAAAATGCTTCAAATTTAAGAAAACAAATCTAAAGCTTTTAAGTTCTCTATTCCAGCTAGATTACAAAACGTTAGTTGTTCTACTCAGGTGCCCAGTTGTGTCTGAAATAATGTACTGAAGGGCATCTGAGTGCTAGGGCTGGCCTAGTTCTAATAAAGCTGGCCAAAAAGGCACCTGTCATTTTTGTCATTTGCTCTCAACGTTTAACCCTTTCCCCCATGAGCATATTGTGAAAAATGGCCATTTTCACTGAAAAGCCTCCTGTTACAAGTTCAAACTGCTATGAAACTATGAAAAATGCTGCAATACTAATCAAACTTGGCACAAATGTTGACTGGACCATTGCTTTTGTAACGACATGCTCAGTCTTTAATTTCCTGTTACCATGGCAACGAGGGGACATCTCAAAATTGCCAAAAATCACTTTTTTGCCTCGATTTTTTCCATCAAAATTTATTTCAAAGTGCTGCAACTTCTCAAGGGATTGAGATAGAGTCAAAGGCTTTTCAGCGTTGGTTACACGTTACCTTATGATCGACCTGGGGTCATTTTAAGCCTCTCACAAGTCCAAAATTTTCTTGGCGATGAGGGGGACTCCGCCCCGCTTCAAACCCCCCAAACAGAAGGGGGCACATCCCCCTTCTGGCAACCCCCTGATGTTATATTTGGATGGGGGACGGCGCCGAAAAAATGGTCACTTTTTTTAACAACATTTCTCAAACAAAAGACAGTGTTTGGGGCCTAAATAGGGCATTTTTTAACTGTTTGAGGCCTCAAAAAGGGGGAGGGGGACAAAAAGCCGTCGAAACACGCTTATATAAGGGAAAAGGTTAACAAAAAATGATGAAAAACCTTGGAATCGCCCAAAATCCAGTTTTTCCATGTTAACATGTGGTCGTTTACCTAATTTTGGTGAAAAATTGTTGTTTTGTAACATTTATAATTTTTTTAGTTAACCCTTTCCCCCATGAGCATATTGTGAAAAATGGCCATTTTCACTGAAAAGCCTCCTGTTACAAGTTCAAACTGCTATGAAACTATGAAAAATGCTGCAATACTAATCAAACTTGGCACAAATGTTGACTGGACCATTGCTTTTGTAACGACATGCTCAGTCTTTAATTTCCTGTTACCATGGCAACGAGGGGACATCTCAAAATTGCCAAAAATCACTTTTTTGCCTCGATTTTTTCCATCAAAATTTATTTCAAAGTGCTGCAACTTCTCAAGGGATTGAGATAGAGTCAAAGGCTTTTCAGCGTTGGTTACACGTTACCTTATGATCGACCTGGGGTCATTTTAAGCCTCTCACAAGTCCAAAATTTTCTTGGCGATGAGGGGGACTCCGCCCCGCTTCAAACCCCCCAAACAGAAGGGGGCACATCCCCCTTCTGGCAACCCCCTGATGTTATATTTGGATGGGGGACGGCGCCGAAAAAATGGTCACTTTTTTTAACAACATTTCTCAAACAAAAGACAGTGTTTGGGGCCTAAATAGGGCATTTTTTAACTGTTTCAGGCCTCAAAAAGGGGGAGGGGGACAAAAAGCCGTCGAAACACGCTTATATAAGGGAAAAGGTTAAATAAACATTGGAACAAACATTCAAACAGCAGACAATGCCTCTTTTTCCAGGAAATATCTAACATTACATAACAGTTCATGAGAACTGACATTATTCTGACATCATTGTTTCACAGGGTAAAATGCTCACTTAAAAACTATTGAATATTTCATGAACATTTTCTTTCTTTTAAGATATCACTTCTGCACTGAAGGGAGAATGAAAAATATTAATTTAACACAGTCTAAGAGAGCTTGAAGTAGCATGCTAAGAGCAACATGGTTTGGGTGCTTTTCCAGACAGTGAATTCAAGAGCAGAAGTCAATAAAATAGCCGCCTGTCATCATAAAATATTTCTGATACATATCTCAAGTGTTGTCGGTCATTTTCATAGCAACAAATTCAGGTCGTAAATGTCCAAAACCAATTTCTGAGGCACTTCAAGAAATCAACAGGACCAACTTCAGAAGCCTTTAAATTGATAAGGCTAAAAAGGGAGACAACTTTTGTCTCGCTTAATTATCAGGCAGAATAATGCTGACCTATACAAAAAAAATCACCATAATTTTCAAACTTCTATATTTATTTAAATTGAGTTAGTATTAAAGCTCAAGGGAAAAGAACAAAAACTGAGTAATATAACTACTGTTATTATTAAAAAAAATTTCACCCATTTTATGTAAACAAATCATTCCACTTGTTAATTTGTTATATCATACATCTGACACTTACATCTGACTTAATTTCTTTGAAGGGATAGGCTAAATTCAGCCGCAAGCCAATCAAGATATAAAAAAATAAATAAATTGATAATTATGTAGTAAATTAGGTCTAATCATCCAAAAACTTAACATGAAAAGCATGTGGGCTGTGGAAATAGTGGCTTTTGAGAGCTTTGAGCATAAAAGAAACATTATCTGCGTTGTAATATTTGAAAAACGGACATCAAATACAGCGTATCTCTCTGAAAATAGAAAGGTTTTAATACTGATGTCTGGCAATATTATGAGAAAATGATTCGAGGTGATAAAAACTTGAAAATGATGCCCCTAGATACAGTTTATGAAACATAGTACGCCTTTTAAGATGCGATTTGTTGTTATGCACTTTGTATGTTTTGCGGAACATTCGACAAAAATATTAATAAAGTATGCCAGACTTGAATTGTGAAAAATAAATAAGAAATTTACAAAAGATTCCATTCTGAGTGGTGCTCAACTTCATGTTGACATCCTGGGACAGTTACAAACAGGCTACAAGTTTGCAGACACGGATGCTCGTTTTGTCCATCTATAGATAAACAGCATTACAGTGGGAGGGGCAAATCTATATCTCCCTCCCCCTCACAAGTCAGAGCATTAAAATGGACGCACAACAAGTCTTTTTATAAAATTCACTAAAGTACGGGTAAAATACAACAACAGTTTATTCTTTCTTCTAGATACACCAATATAAACCTGCTTAATTTGACAGAAATTTAGATGGGAGGAATGGCATAAATATTTGTACTAACATTTTATACATCCATTATTAAACAGTATGGTGCATGCAAGTCTCTGGATTTGAAGAGAGATAGAAAATTCCAAACGTTCTCGTCACATACTGATTGTGGAGTTATTATTTCACAAATTCTGAAAATTTTCTAAAATTTCTACAACACAGTGTTTTCCTCCTATAGCAATGTCTAAAATAACAAAATTGTTCAGCAGTATCATATGGGAAAAGATGAAAAAAATGTTAAATGTGTAAAAAAATTGACTCTAAAATTACTTTTTGTTTCAAATTATGCTTTGATAAGCATTTAGTGATACTATGAATTTTTTTTGCTGCGGTTGTTTTTTCTAAAAAAAACAACAACAACTCTTAGAGAAATTCAGCCCCTCCCTTTCTCAGGCACTGTGTCACACAGTTCATATTGTTTCTCAATTATTATTCATAGTTAAAATTATTTTATTTTGGTGGTTTGAAATGTTTGTAGCGGGATGCTTCATTTCAAAGCCCGCATGAAAATTCCAGATGCATTCTGGGGCAGCATATTGTAATCACTTGACAAAGTCATTGTAATTGATGATGAATTTCTCCTTTCTTATTCTTCTGCTTTATATGGTGAGAAAATATTCAGACAAAATCCCGAGGAATTAGCCAGATAAGGCTAAATCTTCAACGATAATTTTCCTGCTTTCAGGATTAATTATACTTAATACTAAAGTACACAACAAAATAAGTTGCCTATCAGCAAGAAATAACGACCACCAATTATGTTGTAAATTGATGAAATTAAAGAACAAGATGTTACAGTATGACAACAAGACTTTCCATCGGGTCACTGCAGAACACTCTGCAAGTGAATTATGTAAGATTTTTTGGTAATCTTTTGTTTCTGCTGCTCAACTTTAGAAATTAGCACAACATTCACGTGATCAAAAACTTTTTTATCGATGTGAACTAAAGATTTTTTTGTACTACTGCGTATTAAAGCAAGTTCAAATCCCAGCATGCTCAATAAAGACTTCATACAATTTATCTAATAAAACAGTGAAACTTTGATTTTCATATTGGATATACCTTTGTTTATACTTTAGATAAAACTTATACAATCGTTTCAACTGTCTATGCAATACATACATTTCAGCTATACTTTTAATATCAACTCACAGAAAGATTTCATTTAACAGTTATTTACCTTTTACAAAGAGACATAACTCTTCAAAATGAACAATAATTAACCACAGCCTTGTTCTACCTAATATAAATTAACCTTCGTTTCATCGCTATTTTGACTCATAGAGAATTATGGTTAACTTAATCAAATGTGCAAATGATTTCTTGTTATTGCTTACCTGTCCCTAATCATAATAAAAACTTTCAAGTTAATCTTCACCTTCATAGTATACATGTGATAGTTTTTACGGAAACCATTTTTTTCCACTAAACTTGCCTACAGCAAAACCTTGTTGATATACAGTAATCCTTCTTCCTCCAAAACATACATTATAGGAAAGGAACTCATTTTCAATTAATTCTGCGGCAGTGCGGGGAAATTTCATTGCACCCAGAATATGTGAATATACTTCTGTTTATCTGTTTTTAACTGCCATCATGTATTTCATACAGCCTGGGGCGTGCGTTTACCTACAATTCATATCGCTCGAAAATGTCGTAAAAATGGTTCGAAATTATATAGAGGCATGTACATGAATTTGTCCGGACCTTCCAGGGCCATAACTATGCCAACAAAGAATTTTCCCAGAATGCTCGGAGTCAAACAGGTATTTACTGTGGTACCAAGTTAAATTTGAATGCCTATAAGCAGATTCCAACAAAAAAGAACACTATTCAAGTGGAATACTGTGGTATCTCCATGAACTTTTAGAAATAATTAACTTATTATATTGCTGAACCCTAAATATCACAAAATTGAGAAATGATTCAATATAAAGTCTCTTTTAAACACTCTTTTGATCCCTTTCCAGTAAATTTATATTATCTAGGCCAAAACTGCCTATTAATTAATTCTTCAGTGTCAAAGATTGCCATTTACATTTCTTTATTAACTTTGTACTGAAAGGAAAATAACTCCCAATACATATCAAGTTTCTTAAATCGTCTAAATCTGCCCAATTAGTATTTACATGACATTAAAATTTTGCAGCTAAAAGAAGAATTATGGCACATTATAGACAAATAAAACCTCTAATAACACTGCACCAGAGAACTCCTGATTCCAAAATAATCTACGTTCACGACAAAAAAACAAAATCTGCAGATCAAATTTTAAAGATCTATTCAGCTTAGTAAAGCAAAGATGTTGTTGTGCATTTTAAACATTGGTCCAACATGATAAATAGGTCTTAAAGATCAACAGATCTCAATCTTTAATTCTGGATAGACATTTGCAAAAAGCTGAATTCCTGTCATCAAAGGGTAAAATACTGATAATGATTTTATCAACAGAAGCTTCAACTAGACGACTGCCTGAAATATAACTAAATATCAAATAATATATTACCTTGCCCATGCCAGGAGGTTGCCCTCGTGCAAAATTTCTGAGTAGACAAGGCGGACATGGTGGCGGAGAAAGGCGGAGGATCTCCGAGAACCGGGTCGGGAAGGACGGAAGCTCTGGTTCAGGCTGGTGATGGCGTTTCTTCTTTTTGCTTAACTTCTGCGCAGCCCTGAAAATATATACAAATTTTCTTTTTTAAGTCAAACGCTTAAATTGTTGTAATGTTCTTAACTTTTTATCCATGTGAGAAAAGTTATTATAATATCAAAGCAAGTGATGCTCATGGTAAATGGAAATGCAATCGAGCCTCAATTTAAATCATTCATCTTAATAATCTCGAAGCCAAAATGAAAACATATTTAAGTTTGATTTTTTATTTATTTATTTTATTTTTTTGAAAATATAAAACAACTCTCAGAATTTGTGATTTTTGTCTCAGACAAACAATTCATATCAACACTATTGGAAGATAAGAAAGTGTTCACTAGATGTTTTTACTTAGAGAATACTTTCTTCTATCAAAATGGCTACTCAGTTCTCCATAATAAATGATTATTTCTGCTCATTATTCAAAAATCATTCTCTATTTATGCAAGTTGAATTTAATGGAGCACATAAATCACGAAAACTGCTTCATTTTCATTTTCAAATAAATGGAACAAAATTGATTTTTGGAATTATACAATATATAAATATTGTTCTCATAAAATAAAGCAAAATAATACAACAGATTTTTAAAGAATATTTTCTGTTGCAATGATTTCCCAATTCAATATACAGTTGATTCTCGGCAACTTGAATTTCAAGGGACTGGGCATTTCACTTCGAGACAAACGGAATTCGACTTTAACCTTTAGCCTGCTGACAGAAACTGGTTCTACCCATGCAACCAGTGCAGACCAAGATCTAATAATTAGGCAAAACAAGCAAATAATTATTCATACAGAACAATGAATGTACCTTTGTTCTTCAGATAAATCTTGTTGTAACCTTTTTATATGCAATTTGTGTGTTTGTCATATATGCATGTTTTTAACATTGCACAATATTAGTCACGTGTATCCATGTTTTAAGAATGTATATTATTATAAATGCGTATTAACAAGACTTGAATTAACTATTACACTGGTGACACAGTCAAGACGTTATAATCATGACCAGCATTCAAAATGTGAACCCTTAATTCCTTAAATGGACATGTCCAGCTTTCATTTTTGGAACTGTCCATTGCCATTTTGTGGGGTTATGAAGATGAAAATTTGAAGTTTATAATAGTTAGCCAACGGTCAGTCTGTATGAAAATCGAGACTGGCCTTGCATTATACTTGCAGCATTATAAAGCCTATATCACCTAAATTCGGACTTTGGTTGCAGCAAGGTAAGGATTTTCAATATCATCTTTTGTCTATGTGGCTCAATGATCAATTGATGTAAGAAATAGCCAAAATCAAGTCCGTGTAAGACATATATACAAATGTAAGCTAGTAATATCTCACTCAGCCACACAAGGCTTATCAGCATCTACATCATGTAAATATATATCAAACATCAAAATACAAATTGTCTACAAGTTAGGTGTTCTTCTTTGAAAAAATGTTCACACTGTTTACAGTTAGGTCACCCTTACACCCCAGTATTACCATTACGAAAACCATGTGTGAAATAAAAGTAAATTAAAAATCTTAACAGTAAAGGGAGAACACTCTAATAATATTAAAGGTTAACAAATATTCCTTGATCTAATTAAAGGGTCAAGATAATGTGATGGTCAGACATGATCAAAGGTATACAGTAATTTAATTTACAGATGCAAGACGTATAACAGGAGCATGCCTGCCCCTTTTCATTAAAGACTGGAGGCTAATTAAATGTCCATGATGTTTATATAGATGGGCCCATCTGGATAATACAAAGGGTGCTTCCTGGAAACTAAGTCTTGCAATAAAATCAAGAAAAGATCTTGTAGGCCTCATTTGCAGTAAGGTACTCTCTGAATTATAACAATTAGGTTATTAAGTTTATCAGGCTGTAAAACTTTTAATGCAAATTACATCTCCCACACCTGCTTCTAGTTTCACTTTTGTTTACTCTGGCACCTTAATGAGTGTTGATCTTTCAACATCTTATAAAATTGGATACACTTAATTTGTCCCTGGTGCCCTTTTTATTGATCACAGCCCCTTAGGACAGCATCTATTCCCCTTCCAGGAAATTAAATTCAAATTTACAGTTGCTCATAAAGTAAAGAACATATTTTTCCAGATGGGTTTGCCCTGGACTTTAGATTGTGAACCCTTTAAAGGACCCTAATTGTTCATTTTAATGAGAGGTTACTGCTGCAGTAGGCAACAAAAATAAACCAACCCTAAAATTACTGCATTAAATTACAAGGCACCCCTGTTTTATGCAAACCTTCTATAACCCTCCAGCTGCTTTTCACACAATAAAACTAAAGTGTTTATAAGAAACAGTCTAATGGACAAAATAGCCTTCCTGCATATATCAAGCAAAGTAAATTCACATAATTTTCTATTAGTATTAATTTCAATCTCTCAAGAAATAATGTGAAACTCAAAGAAAAACAAGCTCATTTTGTAAGGACAAATATTATATATTTCTTCAAAAGCAAAATCTATGTACATTGTATAAGCTCCTTCTAGCAAGAATGTATTAATATAATTTCATGAAAATGCCTGTTTATTTCTTGATAAAATATTCTTTTAGAGCGTTACTATGTGATATGAACATATTGTTCTGTTCCATTAGACCATAATTTGTTTACAGCTCTGCTCAATATACTTTTGATCAAATTAATGTAAGGGTCAAAACATCATTTTATCAGCAAATTATTTCTATCAGGAAAGTCAGATCTTGATTACATGTTATAAAAGGGGTAGACTTGAGGCTTGTTTCTGTAAATATTATTTAATGGTCATATTCTAAGTTTTGGAGGCTCTCCTTAAAATAAGCAATATTCTATTGTCAATAATGGCTGGCGGGGAATTTTCAGTTCGCACTTAACATGTAACATTGCATGTCAGGTAGAGCACAAATATCATTCTTACAGAACGTAATAGGAACCGCAGACTTCATTTATATTATAGCCTAATACGACAACACCCTTGTGTACCTTAAAGATGTAGCGAACATAGTCGGTACACTCTTATGTCTACAAATACGTACATTAAAACATCACTTGTCACGTAATAAGGTACCATGAAAATAAAAACTTCATTGGTTGATGTAAAAAACGTATCATTTACATCTGACATTAGATAAATATAACAATAAATCATTGGAATAAATTGACCAGTATATTTCATACATATGCGAATAACATAATCTCCATCCTTAACATCTATATATTATGATTTACTTTAATTTCAGCCATTACATACACTGCTGACTTTGCATATTTTAGGGAGTTTGCCAATTTTTTACTACAATGGTAGTGCCATTACGGTACATGTTTTTATCTTTCGCATATTCAATAAACACTGAATTTTGTATTCATTAGATTACCAGAACCTTTACGGCACATGTATTTTTCAATGCTTAATAATAGAAACTTTACAGTATCTATTTTCTGAAAGTTATTCTCTTTAATCAAAACTACTAAGAAAGGCGGTGTATTCTATAAGAATATTTACAGTATTTGTCTTCCATAAGCTTTTCTACCAATTTTTCAACATCTTTATTCCAACAGATTACTTCCATAAATAAACGAGAAAGAATTAGAAACCATCCAGACCGACTATATGTAGACTCAGTTAGCAAGAAATGCAATTAATTATTTCATAACATCATAAGGACTGTTGCTAATTGGGTATGGACAGGGAACGATTCTTTGTTACATCAGAAATGCAAATGTCAGCAGACGATGCATGCAGAATTCTACAATTATACCGCCAGTAAATCGTATAATAAATAATGTTTAATGACTTCAGTTCCTGTTAGTTTAACTAATATGGACTATTTCTTGACTTAATGACTATGATTATTTGAAATAACATTACAATATTTCATCTATTTTTTTTTCTATTAATTTCTTGTTACGGTTATTTGTTTGTGGTTTTGTCATCATTATTTAGTATTGTAGTCAGATACTTGCAGACAGTTAATTTAACTGGTCTTAAATCTGCGGTCTTATTAACTAAGCAACTTCTTGTTTTGAATTGATTAGTTATAAAAAAATTTTGACAGGTTATATTATAAACAACCATTTGGCCATATAACCTGTCAGGAATCTTTATAACGAATTTATAATATGGCAAACTTCCTTCATAAACTTCAAAAACAGACAGCATCCATGTTTATAAAAATATATAATTATCCAATGAAAAACAACAATACAAACATGCAGTATTATAAAAATAAATGTAAATTTTCTCCACAAATAAAAGTAATCTTCTCCACAAGTAAATGTAACATTTATCCACAGGCAAATACAATTTTCTTTATGAGTAAACTATTATCATCTCCACAAGTTCAGGTAAGTATAATTTTCTCCACATGTAAATGACAACACTTTAACATGAAGCACTTCAATAAGCCACAGAGGACCCTTAAAATTTGATCAATGAATAGGTCATGAAAAAAACAGTCAGTGCTCATTTAAGAGTCAAACTCACATGTTTCAATTATTATACTTTCTTAAAACGGAAATATGATAATTGACAGTTAAAATGTCATTTCTTTAATTATACAACGCTCTCCAACATTTTATTCTCCATCTGAATACCCCACACACATCAATCCAAACTAAGAAATTTATATATCAAAATGTGAACAAGAAATATTATGCTTTCAGCTCTTTAAGAAATTATAAATGTAATATTTGAGATTCCTTACACTGTTTCTTGACAAATAGAAAAAAATAATCCTTTCCTAAATATTAGACAAGGAAAAGAAAATTAACTGTAATAAAAAAACAACAACAACATGTAATAAAAGTCCTTACCTATTTAGACTCATGCCGAATTGTTTATCCTTACATTAACAGATTGTATGATAATCCATCCCACTATAGAACATAGAAATAAATCAAGAAGTTGGTGTATATACACTAGCTGATCCTTCAATCAGCCCCTGCTTGTTTTTCTTGTAACACAATCTCAGAAAAACGAGTTCTTTAACTGACAGCAGTTTTCCATAAATTGTTGAAAAAGT